TTCTCCTGCTGGGATCTTTATTCCTCCTTTCACAGACCCGGCATCCTCAGTTTCCTAGTCACTTGGGTGGTCCGCGCCCAGCTAACACAACATCACACCCACCTGCACCTATCCAAGTGTTCACTTCGGTCAATAACACAAGCCGACAAAGATGCCTGATGTAAGTTTCCTGATCCCTTCAGAATGATTCACTTTACCCCTCTTCCAACGACATCATCTTCTGTTCTCGCGTTACCAACCTGCCACCACCCTCTCTCACAAGAATCCTCACGCAGCCCCTCCCACGGAACATCCGGACTAATGCCGCGATATCTGCAGGTCAAACGCACTGTTAAGCTCATCACAGAGCAAAATCCGACGTACGTATCTCTGCCTTTGTCGCCGTTGTCGATTTTGGGGTTCCCCAAGCCCTCTCTGTCCCGCCTCTATTCTGTTCCTACCCCGCGCCTGGCCGACTTTTCCCCCTTGGAATGACGGGGCCTGTACTACATATATATTGGTTTATACACATGGATGTGGTCGCGATAATGGTGTCAATTATAACAGATGCGCTTCATCTTTTGGGATTGTTGTGCTAATCTAATACCTTATACATTTCATTCATGTAGGGAAAAGACTTCTGAATTTGAAGGCTTGCCTGTCCGCCGATGGTCGATTGAGGTTTATCTTCTGAATGAACATGGGGAAGAGGTCCCCGCGACGCTGTTCAATGAAGTGACATATAATCTCCATCCTAGTTTTGGCGATCGCGCTGTTCAAAGTGAGGCCCCGCTGGATGAGAGCCCATCGGCTTGATAATGGGGTTGAAATACCAACCAAGGATTTTGCTAACTGGCTCTTCTTCTGTCAAGCTTTCAAGTCTCCGCCATTCAGAATTGAAGAGGAAGGATGGGGAGAGTTCGATATGCAAATTAAGTTTGGTGCACCAGATAAAGAGCACGTCGTCAACCATGATTTGAACTTCCAGCAGAATAGATACGAGTCGAAGCACGTTCTTGTGAGTTCTGGGCTCTATATTTGAGTGCTACTGTTTTTGACTTCATACTCCGTTGCCATTGATGGGCTCTAATACAGTGAACAGACTTTTAGAAACCCTAAGCCGGCCGTCCTGTCTGCACTTCGGGAGTTTGGGCCCGTCCCAGGTGATGAAAATGGCCTCAAGTCGAAGCGTGCGCAGGACGACAGTTCAAAGAAGAAGAAGCGCGTTGATAAAAATGTAAGTGCTTGGTCATGATACTAAGTGCCTGTTTGACCAATACTTTTCCCTTAGATCGATATGGAGAGACTCGCCGACGGCTTGCAAAAACTTGGGGAGGATGATCTCCTACAGGTTGTCCAGATGGTCCACGATAATAAATCGCCTGATTCTTACACCAAGAATGATATTGAACGTGAGTATCTGGCTGGCTTGCTTCGATCTTTCTGGGACACTAACTAGCGTGTAGAGGGCGAATTCCACGTTGATCTCTATACCCTGCCTGACAGCCTTATCAAGATGCTCTGGGACTTCTCCCAAGAAAAGGGAGTTGTGTGAGCAAGCCGCTGACATTTGATACGTGAAACATGAAGTCCTTGGGAGATAGTTGGCATCTCGTTTCAATTCAGGAGGAAAAAAGCCGCAAATCATCATACGTATTAATACAGATGTAAATTAGGCCATATCTCTTTGTTTCTGCCCTCATTTTGGGTGATATCTCTTTTGTTATCGGTGGTTCCGGACACGGTTTTACTTCCTAACGGCCTTGGCTCGATTGGCCTGACCTTTCAATGGAGTAAGCAGGTTGGCGATTAGGTTTATGCGTTCCTGGCAACATTTTTCTTGCTGATGCAGCACCAGATATTGTGAATAATGACATTTTGATAGCTCCTTTTGATTTTTCACTCCATCGGGTGTAACCGACGTTTTCTTTGTTCATGGCTCTGTAACTACCCAATTTCGTGGAATATAAGCCAATCAAAATTCTAATACTAATACAAGTGTTTAATACTAATATGAGTGATGTCACAAGAATTGATATGTTTATCATGGGATATCTAGCAATATATACACCAGTGCTAGAATCGCACAAGATGGACACCCATAGAGAATGGTGAGTGTCAGGAGAAGAATGTCATAGCTGACCAAGGATAAAAGGCTCAGCCTCTATCGTAACTAAACATTAAGAGTAAAGGGCCTTTCTGAAGGGAGGTATTATGTGAAGAAAGCCCGAGCGAGTAGATCGGCGGGTAATCCGTGCTAGAAGCGGTGAAGCTTGAGAAGCACTCGACGAGAAAAGTTCGCCGGTAGACGAAATCTTTTATGTGCAATTAGGGTAGAAGTGCCTGAAAGGGCTGTAGTTGGGGCTTGGGTTTGGGCACGGATATCCTATTTCTTCTTAGGTTTGCAAACACCTATTCGAGAGTCAGTCAGTCAGCTCAATAGATCAGGATGTAGACTTGCCGACTCAGGCAAGTGACATAAAAACTTACCGCAATTAGTGCAAGGCTTTGGAGGTTGTGTAGAGCCTGGGACCTCTATTTCTGGCTTATCGGTTCCAGGTTTGCCTGGCTTCACTGGCTCAAGTTCTGGGATAGGCTTGCAGTACTTGGGACATTGAATTGGGAGGCTCTATAGATCCGATGGGTTCTAATTAGAGAAACAGCTTCAAGTGAAGATTTCGAAGGAGAGGTAAGGCTTACCAAAAGTGGGATCTCGAAGATGGGGGTTTTGCCGTTTTCCCAAACGCCAAAGTCCAGGTTGAAGGACGCGCCCGCGGAGACAGTAACACCGGTGGTGATTTTGTTATCCGGGCACCAACCCTCTTCCTCTAGTTGGGAGAAGAATTGTCGTTAGTAAAATGAGCGGAATAGGATGGCAATTCAACTTACTGTGTCCAGCGGTAACGTTGAGATCAATTGGGACACCAAATTTGAGGCCAGCTTCAATACCAATGCCACCGAGAATTGTAATACCATAGGTGATCTTGGGCTCGGGGACAGTGGTGGTATCGAGGTCAATGTATCCGTTGTTGAAAATGACATCTGTCTTGGCTTCAATCTTCTCCAGGCCTTCGACACCACACTTGCCGCCACCGATAACGACCAGGGTCAGTTTTCCGCCGTTTGGTAGGCTGGCGTGGCAGCCGAAATTAACAGTGGCGCTTCCGGTGAATTTAATGTCACCGTGGATCAGCAACCCGACCTTTGCACCGATCAAAAGGACGCCGGGGATTTCGACTCCGGTGTAGGGGATAGCAGCTTCGAAGACCTGCTTGGAGTACTTGAACTCTTTCTTGAGGTTAACCAAATCAAGTTGGAATTCGGCAGCGGTGCTGAAATCTTTAGGTTCGATTTCAAGTTTCAATTCAGTAGTAATATGGTTTTCAACCTGCCAAAGATTATTAGTTATTAATGGTTGACAGAGGAGGAGACCGGCCGTACCTTTAAGGTTCCGGTAGTGAGGAAAGTTCCCTTCACATAGCAGTTTTTGCAAGCGACCTCGACCTCAGAGGGGGATCTATGTGGCTGAGTTAGAAGGAGGCGTCCTAGGTTTAAACAAAGGGCCATACCCAGGACTCTTGTATAAAGTGATCTCAGTGTTTGGCTTGAAGATGTTGATAGGAATGTTGACCGGCAAACAGATACCGCCATCGCCTCCCTCGATAACCTCACCAATAGCCTCAAGTCCGCCCTTGATCCCCTCGATTCCGCCTTTGAATTTCTCAAGGGCTTCGCCAATCCATCCAATGATACCCTTTGCTTCAAGCTTGAGTAGAGCCTGAAGGGACAGTTTGTAGTGTCCAAAATCGACGTCAAAGTTGCCAGCAAACTGCTTCCATGCTACTGCCTTTGCCGTCAAGGTGACAACGAATTTTGAAGCATTGTTGGAAACGTCAGTAATGCTGTACAGGTGTTAGCAAAGCCAAATAACGCGGGTATTCGACTGAAACCAACATATAAGCCTGGCGCTGTCCCTTAAGTCCACAGCTAGCGTGGTTGGCAATCATGATGAATTCTGCGTCCGCCTTGGCATTGATATATGCCCAAGACTTCAGAGCATATTCATATGCAGCCTTAGACTTGAAAGTAAGCGACATTTCTCCATCGTCTCCCTTGCAGTCAACCGAAGATGTCAAACTTTCAAATCCTTCCATCATGACAATGGGAAGGTTGTCTGGTGCGTGAATCGTCATGTTTGCGAGGAACAGCTTTCCGAGGCCTATAAGAAGTAAGCAATCACGGCTACGATCTAGACGACAGGAATAGGACCATACCGGCAATGCCGCCGAAGAGCATGTTCGCGGTTTGCAATGGATTGAAGCATGTGAAGTCAGTGAATGTACGCGCTTCAAGGCTGTTATCAGGTTCGAGGTCCGACAATTTGATCGGTCGGAGGAAATTGGGGCTTTCGGCTTCAGAGAATGCTTCTGCATTCGGGGCCGCTATGGGGCCAGGGAAAGGAACGGCAGCTGTGGCAGCTGTCAAAGCTGCCACAATGGCAGAAAAAAGTAACGAGCGCATGAGTACAGCAGTTATACTGCAAAGCGAATGACTAAAAAGAGTGACTTGGGCTGATGGAGCTGGAATGAAAAATCCAGTATTAAACCAGGGAGCGGATGCGTGATTATATATTCATCCCGTTGAGAAGGCTATGGAATCCTGACGGCTCTGGAGCTGGGGAGGCAACAGTCTAGGAGAACGGTTGTTTCGTTTCCTAGTAACGTGACGGGCATGCATCTCGAGGTGTTGATATGAAAGAATATCTCGAGTTAGTTCAGCTCTCTCGAGACTTGAAACAACCGATAACCTTGAAGGAAAGTGACCGGAGCTCTCTACAGTCCTTTCCTATTGGATCCTTCAACAAAGAACCTTGCATTCCTGGCTAGCAGGCCCATTTTCTCTCATTTGCCAACGAATCACACCTAGGTACGGAGTCATCATCCAGAGTCCGTCGCCCAACACATGTTTCTGCGGGAGACTTTTGATCGTCCGCTAAAAAGCGAAAAGGGGCAGAGCGTTGAATTATCCCTCACGCTAGCATGGAAGAGCCCATCTGAGTGGGAGGAATGGGTCGTTCCAAACCGACATGTTGAAAGTAGATCTGCGATGCTGAATGGGAATATCGGTTCTAACTCGAACTTCAATAGGAGAAATGGCTGCTACTTTGAAAAGTTCAATGTCCTAGAATACATTCTCAAGGACACATGAGCAAGCCGAAATGGGGTATGTACATAGAAGGCGTCAAGGGTGCGGCCCCGACTCCATGGAGGTCTTTGCGCTGGCTCTGCATGGAGTCAACTAGTCAGGGGCAAACTTTTCAAGTGGTTGTCTCTGTTATTTTAGCGTTTCCCATGGAGAGCACAGGAACAGTTGAGGATCCTTGCAATGTGCATGTGAAAGCGAGGGTTCTCCGGAGCTCAGGGAGGAGATAGAGCATAGAAGAATGCCAATTAGCATCAGTATTCTGAGGCACTGTTATCCTCTAGCAGATCACCATCAAACATGAGGTTCACTGCAGTGCTGGAATGTTGAAGTCGGACGTCGTTCGCCTGGAGGTTGAGCCCCACAAAAAGGGTTTAGCGCAAAGGAGCCCGTGGACCCTATTCGGCTAGTACCGATTGGGACTAGCACTGGATGATAAGATAAGATCTGCTTACTCATGCGCTCGCTTCCCTTCATGCAGCTCAAAAAGCCAAAGAAAAGACCGACAACAGCGATCAATTGCTGTGCTTCAGGGCTCCCTGGGATGAGAAATGTCCCTGTACTTTGATGCAGTGTCCGTCCTGAGTGCGTCGCCCGATGCTGGTGGCTCGTTGAAGTCGCGGATATACAATTCCAGCCTGAAGTCTTCGCCGCCGCAAATCTACGCTCTGATCGCTGAAGTGACCAAATGGAATGCGGTGCTGAAGGAGGTTGTTGATAATTCCGCCATTCTTGCGCATGAGCCGAAGGTGGGTCTTCTTGTGTTCTATCCCCGGTTGTCTGCTTTCCGAAAAGTTGGGCGGAGAGATGATTCAGCCTGAAACTGCTTGTCGTTCGAGAAGTGCAGTAGTCTCACCAATGCGACTTAGGCAAAATAGCTCACTCCACTCCTCGCCCTGCTCCTTACCCATGACCTTCTCCTTTCTAGAAAGGGTATCGCTGCACCAGCGAATCATCCGCTCCGCCTTGCGATCGAACGGCACCGAACGCGATTGAATGCCGAGTTCACAAAGATCCGAGTCCGTCGTGGCTGTGCATCGGTCGAGCAGTTGCGCTCAACCCTGAGGCCGACACTCCGAGGCCCTGGGGATAACACGGTTCCCAATCCTCGATGGGTTCGGATCAACAATGCTCGCACGACGCTGGAGCAGGAGCTGAAAACAACCTTCGGCGCCTACTCCCCTGTCGCCTCCCTCAGTGGGCTTGCAGCTACTGGGAGTAAAGGATACTATGTTGACCGGCATATCCCTGACCTCATTGCCGTCGTATCGACCTCTCAACTGCTCTCGACCCGCGCGTACAAGGAAGGAAGAATAATTCTTCAAGACAAAGCGTCCTGTTTTCCAGCATACTTGCTGTTAGGGGACAAAGCCGCTCCTTGGCGTGGGGATTTGATAGATGGGTGCGCAGCTCCGGGGAACAAGACAACACACTTAGCATCCCTATTATTTGCCTCGGGCCAGACGTCTAGCCATATCTTTTCCCTTGATGCGTCGCCCACCCGATCCAAAACGCTCCAAAAGATGGTTGGGATTGCGGGAGTCAAGAATCGTGTGACCGTTCTTGCGGGCCAGGACTTTCTGGCTTTGGACCCGCGAGACCCTCGATTCAAAAAGGTCACAGGCCTGCTACTAGATCCAAGCTGTTCGGGAAGCGGTATCGTGAGACGTGAAGATGTCCCTCAACTTGCTTTACCCGAGCCTTCCTCCCGGACCGCCCGGGGATCCGGATCGAACCCTCGAAAGAGGAAACGCAAAGCAGACGATTCATTATCCGCGACTGGAGAATCGTCAGCGACGGATAATGCAGAAAATGAACCCGTCAACGGGGAGCTCGACATTGCCCGGCTAACCAAGCTATCGAACCTCCAGGCCCAAATCGTCGAGCATGCGTTCAAGTTTCCATCAGCCACAAGGGTCACATACAGCACCTGTTCGATACACGCTCAAGAAAATGAAAACGTAGTATCCCGCGTTCTAAGGTCTTCTACAGCCAGGGAACGGGGATGGAAAATCCTTCCTAGAGCGGAACAAGTGGACGGACTAAGAACGTGGCATCATCGAGGCTGGCTGACAGGTGGCCATGAGCCCGTTGAGGGTGAAGAGTCATGGGAGCTAACGGACATAGAAAGCGACGCGTGCCTGCGATGCTCACCGGGTGATGCAGAAGGGACGGGCGGGTTCTTCGTTGCCGGATTTGTAAGAGATCCTGATCTCCAGGCCACGGATGAGAATCAAGCCGAAGAATGTTTGGGTGGGGAGGGGATGGTGGATGAAGACAGTGATGGGTCTGAGGAAACCTGGGAAGGCTTTGATACAGATTGATTCTGCCGTACATATGTAGATGTTCTACGGTAACATCCACGGGAACCCTATGATAAATTAAATAATAAGTTGCCATGCGCATCATACCTTTCGATTCAGTTCACAAATAAGCCTGACAACTGGACAGCCATTCGTCCCGTCGAACCATCCCTGATGATAATTGAGCTACATAGAAGCCCTGTTTACCACGTGGAGCAAGTCCAGTTGTTTGCCTTTTTGCCCATTGGTTTCAGATCGGAGTCCGTGATGCAATCATATCGTATAATCCTCCGGAATCAAGAAATATCTGCAGAAAAAAAAGACCCGATTAATGCTAGAACCCAGCCAAAGACCGGACAGTTTCGATTTTCCCTAGTTTTGAAATAAGCCCCGACGAGCGGAAATAAGTGCGTTTCAAAAAATCCAAGTGTGACGATACACCAGAGAGGAGGATATCAAAATGATGTCATTATCTATCAAAATGACATTCAGCCCGTCCAATTTACCTGGTCCGAGAATACCCCAGAGAACAAAAAAAAAACCCAATAACAGTCCACTGCCAAAAGAGATCAATAATATACAAATGTAAACCAAAGTGGCTTCATTGGGATTTTGCTCGAAAAGCAGAGCAGAAGAGAATTATAGCACATATTCGGGTATTTCGTGCTGGGTCGAGTACATCCGCTGAATCCAGCAGCGTTGCACCGTATTAAAACCGCTATTTCATTGCTGTATTAAAGGATATCTATTGTCGGGATCGGAAGACGTAAAAGCGTAAACGAATAGAGAGGGGAAAACGTGTCATAAATCACAGGACGAGGTGCCTACAGGGTGTGAATGGTTAGCGGGTGTTTGCTCTTCGAAGAATCAATCAGGAGAAACATACTGCATGAGAAGTGCTTCGAGGCTCGAAGAGCTGCAATTTCGTCCGTTGGGGAGCTGGCGGAAAATATCCACTATGGTTGCAAACACATCACCACCCCGGTAGGCCAGCAGAGCAGGAGCTGTGACATGATCCATCTCCGCTATCTCGTGGTGCAGTTTGATAAACCGCGTTGTAAGGTGCTTCCGCGCGACAGTGTTGAGGCAATCTTCAACGATCGAGCTTTCCGACGACTAGAAGCAAGGAATAGTTAGACAGGGAGAAACATGGGAAAATCACAAATCCCACCAACCTCAGGATCATATATGCAAACAACCACAACCGTGTCCGCCGTGACCTTCTCCACCGCATCCAGATATCCATTCGCACCAACCACATCCACAGTGCCATATCTCCGTTTACTCGGGCTGGAACGCCTCGTGCTTCTGTTCTGTAGTTCGTTCATCCGAGCCTCCCGCCACTCTCGCATAAACCTCTCATCGTCACTTTCTTCCGGTGACCCAGGTCTGGGAGAGCTGGTCCTCGCGTGGTAGCTGGCTTCGGGCTTTGTGTAGGACTGGTAGTCGAAGCCCGCCGCGTTCATCAGGGTCCGACGGAACGACCGCTTCTTTGCCCGCTCGTAGGACTGCGCATCGGAGATGACGCCCTTGGGGCCGGTATTCGCGTCGAATACTGTCGAGGGGATCTGGTAGCTGGTGGATTTGGAAGTGAGCATGTTGGTGGAACGGTCTTCGTCGTCGTCGTCGTCTGGATCGGAGTCGGATGGGATGTATGTGAGTCTCGTAGACCGTTTTTCGCGGTGCGGGATGTCGTCGTTCTCGTCTTCGGAACTTCTATCGTCGCGATGGTGCCGGTCTTCAGGGTGACAGGAGACAGAGTCTTTGTGAGTGCTCAAGAGGCGGTCCACTTCGTCCTGGGCAGATGACATAGTGAAGAGAAGAGGGGCAGGAAGCGCAGCCGGCAGCCAGGGAGATGAAGATATATATTAGTCTCGTGGGATGAAATCGGTAGGGGACGCGCAAGGCGTGCTCTTGAAACAATGGGAGATGGGGGCGTGATGAAGCGCTGGCAATCCTGAAGAGTTTGTTTGGGCCGCCAATGATGAACCGTCACGCGCCGCAGCGAATGAGCCAAAGTCACCGCCCACCACCAGGCGTCTACCGGGGCGAAAGAGGGTCTCGCACAAGAAGAAAAGGCGAAAGGATCGTCGCCGTTTGGCTTGTCGGTTGCTGGGCACACGCTCCTTTTCTCACCAGGGCAGACAGAGATCCAGGACGCTGCGTCTATCCAAGGCGCCCCCTGTTTCGGCAGACAGACTTCTTCCCTCCAGGCGCCCATAAGGCGACGACCACTGCACTCCTTGCGAGTTTCTGGAAGACGATGAAACCGCCTCGATGTCTTGACCCCGTTTTCAGCCTAAGACATCATACCAGACTTTGGGCTGGGGAACGAGGCTGTGGCTTTTCGCCCGGCTAATCGCATGATGGGATCTTGCCGGGCATGTGGCATCATGTTAAGCTTCATCCAGGGGCACATTCTTCTCGGCTTCTGGCAAGGCTTGATTGCGGAACGTGTCACACGGTGCTTCATATCAGACGCTTGTTATATTTGCGCCGTCATCCAGGATCAGATCGATTAGCAAGCTATGAGAAGCTTGATCCAAGACAAACGTCCTCCTACAATGTTGCCAGTGCTGGCTATTTTGCAGGCAGATGAACTCCTCACGACGGCATCCCGCGATGTCAATAAATAGTCCAGACTATTGACACTCCACGCCGATGATCTCAATTCTCCTTTTATAGCCACCGTCGATCAACTTTATGATTGGCGGCCAAAGCCCAATATCACTAATCGTCTCAAGAACAATGAATCCATCCTCTCTTCAACATGCCTCAAGAACGGCCCGATCTCCCCGTCCCTTCGATTCCGGGCGGAGGACAACCTTCAGCTGGTGTGTTGAAAATGAGTTCTCGCACCCCTTGGGAGTGGATGTCTGTGTCTACATTTGTCCGAAGGATCAAACAACAGACAGGGATTGCCGTGGTCAGAAAGGCTCCCTTGAAAGTTGATGGCAGTGACTTCGTCGTTCAAACTGGCTGGCATCGACCCCACGGGCCGCAAGTCTCGTTCTGAGCTGCCTTCAGAAGGAGTGATCGAAATCAGGGATTCACATTATTATTGCGGTATTGACTCAGTCCATTAACTAGCTATTAAGAACAAGTAATCTGAGTAGGACCACACGGGACAACCCCCAATAACCCATCCGTACTCCGTAGATCAAACCGCATCGTCTATTAGAAGCCGTCAAATAGGGCACTTCCATCCTTGGAAAACGTGGTAGAACGCCATGCCGATGCAAAAACTTTGGCTAGATGACCCGGACCAAAAAACTCCTACCTACATATATGACTCTTCCTCACCAAGGCACCGGGACCTTTTCCCAATTCTTTCTGCCGTGCCGATTCGCCGATTCGAAATCCCGTTTCATCAGAAACATCCGCTTTTGCCCACAGAATCCTCCCGGGGCAGCCGGTCGTTGGAGCATTTGGAACGAATCCCCGTTTGTATCTTGATTGCTCATCCATACGTTGTGTTCCACCAACTGGCCCGGCTTGTCCAAGCGACGGGGGTTATATTCCGGGTAGTTGATCTTGCTGACGATGTACTGCAGGTTGCGGAAAATGCGCTCGTACCTCTGGAAAAAGGGTAGCCAGTCCCACGTGCGTCTGGTGTATGATACTCTAATATATGGATTGACAAACACCCCTGTGCCTTGGTCGATGCTCGGCTCGCCATATGCGTCTTCCATATCCGCAAAGATCAGACAGCATTCGGCAGCTTCCCAGAACGGTTCTACTTCGTAGCGAAAGCGTGTCGTGACTCTGGGAGTATATGGCGTTGACATCTCCTGGAATTGTTCAGCGTCAAACGCTACCATGCCACCCCAACAGCTCCGGGCTGGCACTGCGTCCTTCTCGGCCAGAACGGCGTCTCGACTCTGGGCACTCCCCGTGGGCGCGAACCATGGGAAGAACATGAGCCCCATCCCATAACCGTTGGTGTCTCGAACGACGAATGAGTCGTAAAACATGACGCTGGAGACAAAGTCGATGGCGCACGCCGCTCGATATTTACCGTTGTTCGTTGAGAACAGTAGTTGGACCGCGTCGGCCGCGGAGAAGAAAATATCGTTTAGGAATAGGATGCGGTCGAACTCCATGTTCGCATGTTGAAACCCGATTTGGCCCTTAAGGGGTTTGTAGGTGTGATCCAAAGGCCGGAGGGCGCGATTCCGTACTTCCGCCAGATATGCTATGCGTTTGATCCGCTGCTCGCCAGAGGGCATAGTGACCTCGGGCAGCTCTGATAGAGATATGTGGTCGCCTGTGACGACGGACGAATTGCCTGCAGCTACTGTTAGTTGACATGCGATCAGTAGGCCAAGATAAAGGACTCGATTCTAACATGATAACTTTGCCTGAAACCCGCGAAGTGCGTTCCTCGTTCCATCCCCACTGTCATTTTCATAGACGCTGACAAAAACATTCTCTTCTCCAAGCAAGTCCACCAACTCTAGCACCGCATCACCCCAGGCGCCTTTGATCAAGTCCTCGTTGATGATATTGGCTGCAATGAATATCTTCTCTTGGTCTGGATTGCCTCTGCCTGCTTGCGACGACCTGCTTCGTATCGTCTGCTTCAATGTATGATAGTGCTTAGGTGGAGTCTGGTAAGACGGATATAGAAGTGCTTCTAGGACAGAGACGAGAATAAACGCGCCTGTGAGCCATAGCGCAGCCCTGAGGGCGTTTCGAAGGTTACACCTCCTCCGTGTGACAATGCGCGTCCCAAGGCGCTGACGCATGGCGGAGAGCACCAAACTGCCGCATCGCATGTGGGCGCTCCTCAAGCGCGGTTTGAGGTCGTACAGCGGCTGCGGGTTACCGTCGTCGGAGGATTTCGCGAAGAAGGTGGCCTGGGCTTCAAGCTCAAAGCAATCGGCCGTATCTATCAAAGCGCGCTCAGACAGCAACATTTTGCAATAAAAAGGAGAGAGTAGTGGCTCCAGGAGGGAGAGGAATGGGAGAAACCATCTCTTCCCCCCCCCCTTCTTGCTTGCTTGACGCGTAGCAGTGTAACACAATAACGAACAGATGGAGATGCCCGGTAGCCCCGGATCCTGGAATTCCAGTACGTCACTCCAGGCAGCTCTGAAATCGGTAACTTTCGGGCCATTGCGAGGTACCTCTTCATAGGAACGACAGTGGACGTTTCAGCGGGAAAAAGAAGCTGCCTATGTCAATGCCAGCATGGTGAGGTCCTGAATGCTGTCCAGACGGCTGGACAGTGCATCCATTGAGCAAATCTGTTGAGGATGGGCTCTTGGGAGCTGTCAACCAGCCTGGACTTCTTCCAGCAGCACCAGATCGGTCTTCATGTGAACCTCAAGACATGCCCCGAAAATGGCATATCCCTTCATGCTCATTGCTGATCACAATGAACCGGCTTGATATCGGGGTCCAGTGTCTCAGCTTAGTGCTTGCCCTCCATCCATATATCCTCCCTGTTAGCTAATTCACTAGTTATGTCATCAACAGCGCTCTTGGGCATCTCGCCAATAGTGAGCAGCCAGAGACCTCGGATTATACCCGAGCAGGCTTCTCACTGCAGTATTATTCGCTTGCGGCAATCTATCGGTTGAAAATTGCAGATCATGGCGGAGAAGTTGGACGCTTCTTCGCAGCAAGCCTCAACATCATTGCAGCTCAGCGCCACCACAACGCTTCCCCGTGATATAGAGCCCATCCGCGACGCACAATGGCTTCAATATCCCAGAAACCAAAGGTTTTAGCCATAAGCTATCCAGAATACACCGACAAAGTCTACCTGGACGATTTTACCTCCAAGTTTGAGCTTCATGTCCGCCGGGGACCTCCCCAATCACGACCAAAAGTCGAGAGCTGATGATCTCACCAGGTGCTCAAATCCACCGACCGGGCCGGCGCCATTCCCGAGATCGCCCAGCTAGCGTCATCCTGCGGGCCATTCGATGCAGTCATGGTTCGCATGGGAATTCTACCCTTCAAGCCATTCAACGCTGAACTCTTCGGCCCTTTGCTCCCGCATCTGAAGATCATCGCCGCTGCACCAGCTGGCTATAATGCGTTTGATGTGGACTGGATGACTAGAAATAACATCTGGTTTTGCAATACGCGCAATGCGGTCTGCGAAGCTACCGCCGACATGGCCGTGTTTCTGGTCCTGGCAGTGTTGAAGAATGCCGCTGTGGCAGAGCGGTCGGCCAGAGAAGGTAGATGGAGAGGTTTGGTCCTTGCTCCGACCATAGATCCGAGGGGTTTGACGCTGGGCATTGTGGGAATGGGGAGCATTGGGAAGGTGAGTACCTCTCGTCAATCATGGTTTTTTGAATTCCGCCTGGTGAAGAGAAATCAGGCTGTCGTGGATATGTCTTTGAGATTGACTGAAAACTACCTCCCAACGAGGGAGAAATTGGAAATCGTAGCACTTGGCCAAAAAGGCACTGGCGTTTAACCTCAAAATCAAATATTACAACCGGAATCGTCTTCCTCTAGATATTGAAAATCAATATAGCGCTTCGTACTGCGCAACCCTGGACGAGCTGCTCGCAACCTCTGACATCGTGTCGATAAACTGCCCGCTGAACCCGGAAACGCACGGGCTCATGGGAAGAGAACAATTCTCCAGGATGAAAGACAACGCATACTTTGTCAACACGGCGCGAGGTGAAATAGTCGACGAACCGGCGCTAATCGAAGCCCTGGAATCGGGGAAGATCAGGATGGCTGGATTAGACGTTTTTTGCGGAGAGCCAACCATCAAGTACGTAAAAAACTACACAATCCTCCTGACGTCTCCCTGGGAATAAAAGGGAAAAAAAAAAAACAAAATTCCAAAAAATGGCCCCCAGAGTCAGAAATCAAGGTAGCTAACCCCGCATTGGCGCACTTTGTGTGTGTGCGTGTGTGCGCCTGCGTAGTGAATACTTCAAAACCAGCGATAAATGCATCATCCAACCGCACCTGGGCGGCCACACGTCGGGGGCGTTTATGCTCTCGGAGCTGGAATGCCTGGAGAACATCAAGGCTTGCTTGACGACGGGGACCCCTATCGCTCCCGTGAACCGGGTGGAGAGCCGCAATTGATCCCTTTGTATATCTCAGCAAAGGACGAGAGGGGAGGGGGAACGATTATCTAGAGGGATATCCTTGAGTTATTCCACTTGATTTAGCACTAGTGTTTGATGTTGGTAGCTTGCTGAATGAACGTAGATGCCGTCCATATTCAACACGAAAGAACCATACAAGACCTCAATACTCTACCAGAGTAAAGAAAGGCAAAAAGTGATTTTATATTTTAAACATGTCAGGAAGTAGCTGCACATACATACCACACATTCTTCTTTCTCATATTGAACCTAAATACATCAAGGCGAAAAAGCATAAAGGGGAAAAGAAGAATTAAAAAAGTTTATGACAGCCCAACTCACTGATAAAAAACCAAGTGATGCCGTTTGCCCAAAAAGGAAGAAATAAACAAATGAGGTTTCAGCCAGGGAGCAGGACAATGGATAGACGATACCCTGAATATTAAGCAAAGTATAGCCCTGTGGAACAAAACGAGAAGCTGAAGGGGGGAGATAAAAGGGCTGCGGAATTGGATGCGCGGATGGGGGTAGTGGATGTGAATATGAGAGAGCCACAAAGATCCAAGGAAACGCGGAAGGGGAATCGGAAAGAGTGAAGACAGAGAAAACGATGGCACATCTTGAAGAATCTGAGTAAACAAGGCTGCGGAGCGGATGTATGCCTCACAAGGGAAGAGAAAAGCGGAAAAGAAAAACGCGGTGATTTGAACCGCATCAACGTTTCAGACCCGCCAAAAGTCAGGGTAAAGAGGAAATCTGATGGCCGAGGGAGCCAAATGCGATACGGAGAGTGAGAATAAAATGACAAAGAATCAGGACGCGCGCAAGAGGAGGGGTGAGAAAGGGAACAGGGAATAAATCCATCCGCAAAAAGGTCGCTGAGATATTTTAATAGTAAGGGGCAAAAAAAGCAAGCCAGCAAAAGGACAGTCGCCCACTCAACGCAGTATTGATTAGGGGGCAGAGTTGTATGATTGGGTGTTGTGCTTTGCCGCGACCAATCTTGGAACGTATTTTTCGCAAATGTTCCTGTATTCACTCTGGCAGGTCTTTTGCCGACATGTCGCAGTGGGCTATGGTAGGGGAGGGCCAACAAAATATGGTCATGTCATCGTGGATGCTGTGTCATTCACAACAGGCTCGTGCATCAGACAAGCCAGTGCTCCCTTCACCGCTGAAGCGCACACAGAAACCAGGGATCTGTTCGAATCCAAGGGCTTTTTTGAAGAAGTGGAAAATATACTGAAATCATATACGGATAGCGAAAGTTAGAGGGTAAGCGAGGGTCAGATAGTGAAAGGTTTATTGTACAAGGAGGGCCCTTGATTGGTTCGAGGATACACGCTGGCAACTGGTATCGTCTTCAGAGTTTCAGCGAGCTTGGACTTTACCAAGCCCAGATTTTCAGCTATCGAGAAATGGTCAGACTACAGCTGCTTGCATTAGGGTTTAGACGGTGGATTCTTACGAGAGAGTCCCAGGAGCCCGTGCATAAACTTATTCCGTCGTTGCTCACACCTAAGCAGCTGACACGGTTTTCATGGCCGCTTAGTGAGCCGACTTTGTCGCCTCTCAAGACATCCCAGACCTGCGAGTATATTAGTCGACACATTGGGGACGCGCGAGCTGGATGATGTTGACATACCTTGCACTCAAAATCATCATAGCCAGCAAACAGAAGTCGCCCAGAGACCGAGAAAGCGACGGAAGTAATGCCACAGAGAATTTGATCACTCTATATCAAAAAAGGAAGGTTAGTCAATTCCAGATGTAGAACGGAATAAGCATGATATAAAAACGAACCTGGTAGATGTTAAGTTCCCGGTCCGCGCGGATGTCAAACAATCGACAAGAGGTATCATCTGATCCAGTTCCGAATGCATTCCCGTCAGGGAAGAATTGGATGGCATTGATATCGGACTCATGGCCAGAGAAGGTCTGGACGGCCTTGCCCAGTCTGATATCCCACAATTTAGCAAAAGCATCGCATGCGCCAGAAACAAAGATGTTATTGTTCGTCGGGTTGATGCTGATGCTCATGACGTCGCCGAGGTGGTCGGCAAATTCGGTCACCTTAGTTCCTGATTCAATATCCCACAACATACACGTCATGTCTCCGGAGGATGTGATGATTCGGCGATCATTGATAAACCTACAACACGATAAGTAACCCGCGTGGCCCGACAATTCTCTGGCAACACGAGTCGGCCCTTCTCGCGAGGAAAGATTGTAGATTGAGCAGATGTTATCAAGTCCACCGCACGCGACGTAATTGCCACTGGGCGCGTAGGCGCAGGTCATCACCCATGAGGAGCGGAGCGGAATGGCGTGAACTTTGTTCGTGGTGTAGGCATCCCAGATTATCAATTTTCCGTCTTGAGAAGCGGAGACCAGGTGCCTCCTGTCGGTCGACCAGTGCATTGCATAGATCTTGGCGAGATGGCCCTTTAGATTCCGTCGTGGTCGCATGCCAATTCGCGTCAAGGGGTCGGTATTATTCTGCGCGACTTGGCGAACTGGTACATAGAAGGTGTTAATATCAGATGAGCCACGTTACCTTGAAGCCCAGGGCCGAAAGGCTCTCACAATGGCTCGAACCGAGGCGGTCCACGGCCCCGAGGTCAACCAGATGCAAGAGGGAGCAATTGCAGAAAACGGGGAGGATCTTACGGGTGGTGTCAGCCAATTCATCTTTCCTGCGCTTGATGCGATCCTTCAGGCCCTCTGCCTCGCGCCTGGCAGCCGTTATCTTGGCCTGCAACTGCTCACCGTCCATGGTTGGCAACGTCGAGTGGCGACCAGGTGAAGGGACGGGGTCAATGGAAGGGAGGGCGGTTGATGGCTAAAATCTCGATCCAGGGGTGATTAAATTTTGTTGTTAAGACCGATGGTGCAGGAACGCGAGGGCGACCGAGCCGGGGTGTTGAGGGCGGGAGAGGGAGTGTGTTTGCACCGAAGGGAGACGAGGTATGTGCCCACGGATTGTTCCAGGAGGGACCGTTGCTCGCACAAGGCAGACGAGCGATGACCGAGCGATGGCCACAATCAACGATGAGCTGGGAAACAAAGCGTGACGGCTTTGGTCGGGAGTGGAGAGTGAGCAGGAACAGACTGATGAGTGCAGATGCTCACGACGAACAAGCAGAGCAGAGCAGCCAGTGTCACTGGAGGCGCAGTGGAAGGGGATCATTGGCTGACAGCGCATCCCTTTTTGGCTCTCGATTAATGATACCAAGACATGACGATACCGGCGTAAGTTACGGTCACAGAGATTGCAGTACGGTATTATTGGGGTCACGGGGGCGAGTCCGTTCTGACGGAGCGCGCGCTTATTTAGGTAGCAGATGTCGCCCGGGCCGCGAGTCACGACAGCTCTGGAGGGCGTTACGGCAGCTCTGTCCCTTCAGTCGCTCAGAGGAGGACAGGCTCAAGTCTGACCCCGAGGAGGCGAGGAGAAAGGAGCATCTGGTCAGCCATCGCAAAGAGTAGCCTTGGAAGTGAACTACCCACTCTCCCCCGCTTTGGAGCCTCTCCGTGCCGGAAGTGGGAGCTGTGGAGTGAAACTGGCATCTGGTTCTATCAAATAGTCGACAGATATCGACTATCAATCAACTCGGTTAAGAAACCTAACTGGAACAGATAATATTAAACTGTGGAGCGGAATTCGATAGACAACTCTGTGACTCCATGAAAGCTCTCTACAACTTGATCGGGATACTGTGGAGCAGCATCTCTATCCCACAACTAATTTAAGGTCGTCGACCAGCCATCCCTGTGCCAAGGGACCGAAGAAGCGGTTGGGAATGCTACCTCCGTTCGGCGGAAAGTGCTCAGCCGCAAACGCTCGACCCGAAGGAAATGTCCATCGCCCCTTTGTGCTCCCAATGGCGGCTTACGCTCGATCACATCCAGTGGTTTTTCACTGGGATCCATGCTTCTGCTCCTTTGTGTGTTGTCGCTCAAGTACAACATGAGCGATGCAGCTCCCTGGCTTCATGCGGTTTGATTGAGATTTGAACATTCTCTGCATTGTTGCTCCGCCCATGGTCTGAAACCCGCCGAATTGCGGTTTCAATGGTTATTTCAATATTACAGCCTGTACCCCGTATGTAAGTAACATGAGAAGCTTGGACGATGGGGCATGGACTTTACATACCGATACCGAGTCAGCGTTCGTAATGTGTACTTGCAAGACGGATTATGGCTGTTTTGATTGGCTGCGAGGAGTCCGATCGTGTAAATAGCCAGCCAATCAGCAGCCAGGATCTGGGCTTGGCGCAGCGGAAAGCGCAACTCGCTTCGACAGAATTTCCCAATGAGGCAGGCAAGGAATCTTCTTATTCAGCAAGAGCGAGTCTCACGCACAGAAGAAGCAGGCGCGCCGCGGAGTCGGTTTCACGCCGAGTCCGGAAGGCTCAGGGGATTGAGCAGCTGCGGGCGATTGACTGCAACGACCGACTATTATGTGGAGAGCCCTTCATGCATGTCATCGCAGATCATATCCCGGCCCCGGGAGATGCACGCATCCATTGAGCAGATGGAGTCTGCAATCGGCCAGTCTTCTGGAAGAATGAACACATCAGCGAGCTGTCCGCCACCCTGGGACCGAAGGCGCTTTACACACGCACACACACATCTTGAACACTCTTGCACTGACGCCAGGACGGGTTGCTTCATGAGGAGGAATGGGACCGTCAAGGTATCAGGATTGGGGCGGATTTGATGCAAGTGGGAAGAGGCATCGATTAATAGAAGGACATATAACCAACTCTGCTACCCGACCTGATTCATCCCTCGGCACTTTGGAGAATTCGGAGACACAATGCAGATGAAACAAAGTCGCATCGAGTCTACGATGTGGAAGGCAACAGAAACTATGATGGACAAAAGTGACGGACCAGCCGATGAAGCTTCCGCCAGCGAGGTCGAGACTAGTTAGGCTCCTCTTCTTCAGGCAAAGCTCCCGCCCTCCAGGAAACGGCCTTGTGGGAGAGGAGCCGCCCTGATGCACTTTCATGTTCCAGGCGAAACGCGTCCTGCAGATGCGCCAACGTGCTCACAGCATAGCCTAGTGTAGAGCCGACGTGGAAGAACCCAAGCGGGGAATCCCGTACTTGGGGATTGAAGGCCATCACGGCGACTTTGTAGCCATCAGCCCTCGATGAATTCAGAGAGAAGAGCTCCGGATACCTTTGTAGACATGTGGTGGCGTGCCCAACATGAGGGAACAACCAGACAGGATAACAGTGGCCACCACACCGCAACACCACCCAACGCCCGTCGGGCCCGGAAAGCGAGGATCTCCTCCTTTTGGCCCTGGAAACTCCTCGCTTTCTTGCTGTCATTCTTGAAAATTCGGTTGGCCTCCAGCTGCTGGACTGCGTTGGGTGACGGGTCTTGGCTTGGGGGCAAAAAGGTATCGGATCATGAGTCTAGCGCAGCCTTTGCCTTTCTGTCCAGCGAACTTCCCCTGTAACACCATCCTCTCTACAGGTTCTCCTCTTCAGTCCTTCACCTCATCGCAGCATCCTTTTCTCTCTCTCTCTACTGCTCTCTCACGCCGTCTTTGTCTGATTGCTCATTGCTCTAATTCATATGTGCTTCTGCACCGCTCCATCCCTTTACTCCTCACGCTCGTGACGCTTCTCGTTGCCGCCCTGGCCTGACCCCTCGCCTCTTTTCTCCGCTCGCTACAACCAGCACCCTCCATCCCTTTCGTCCCCAGCATCCATTCCTACGCCCAACGATCTTTGCACTGCTGCAGTGGCTGCGTTTTAAACCTGTGGACATCTCTCCTGGTTGCCCGTGGCAGCGCCCGCCCCTAATCCCAACTCCCGCAGTCCTTTTAGCTCCAGCCAGCCTCCCGCACTGGTAACCTGCTGATTGCGCATCAAATTCATTCCTTCAGCTAGCACTCGCCGTTGCTAAACTTGTTCAAAACACCTGGATAACTACCGCCTGAAGTCGTATCCCGTGCTTTCTATAATATGTGCTAGGACGTTGGGATCTGAATGTTCCATCCTTCTCGAAACTTGCCCTGACGCCAAATTTGATTCAAGCCTCACGTTTTCTGGAACACGGCCCCTGGAAATCATCGACTTAGTTTCATCAACACCTGTCCTTCACTTTAATATTTTATTTTTCCTTGCTTGGGCCTGTCCTCTCTATCCCTCCCTGCTGACGGTCTTTTTGGTCTTTTGGCAAGGGTTCGGTGTCATTCAAGGTGAGGATTCGTCGTGGCATCTCCGATGGATGGCCAGAGGAACTAAATTTGGCCCAGTTTCTCACAGCTCATTAGATCGTGGTTGCTAGATCACCACCCGTTCCATACCCTGTGACGATGCGGGAAGTCAATTTCAGCATTCCGAGCGTCAATAAGGCGGCTGTGAGCATAACCACAACCCTATACGACCGCCGTGCTCTGGATTGTACTTCGACGCTTCCGCTTATAAATTCGTTGAACCATCTTGCTTACCTCACTACCTCCTCCGCTCGTATTCGCGACATCCTGACTGTCGATGGAGGCATCGAACGCCTGGTCTGTATCCTCAAGGAGGGACGCAGCAGGGACCTGATGGAGATGTGGAAGTGGAATCTTGCTTTCCAGTGTATTGTGAATATCGGCGTGCGAGGCTCGGAAAATGTGCGAACACGAGTCGTGGAGGCTGATATGGTCCCGGTGATTGCCACCATTCTCGAAAATTACATTCAAGTGGTCGACAAGGTCCGGAGTTCAAGTGAGTCGGAAGCTCAGCGAAGTTCGGCCAAAACCCCAAAGTCCCAGCCCCGCCCCCGGGAGCAAGTCGTTCGCCCATCGTTCGATCGCGCTGCGACGTCGATCTCAGATCATCGTACGACTCGGCGGCAAGCGCCCCCGCCGTCCATAGCAATACCTCATCCTTTTTCCCAAGACGCCCGTCAAACAGATGGCGGAACAATGGAAATCACCCCCTCTCCACAGATGGTCTTGACATCTCCCCCAGAGCGCACTGCTTTCCCTCGTGAAATGCATTCGCACCGCAACCTTCAGCCGGGTGGCCATCGTCACCGAATCATACAGCCTTTGGCAACGGCTGTCCCGTCAATAGATACCGCTGATGGTTTTGGACTCCGACCAGTTCGTGATGTGGATCGATTACCGTCACAGGTCCCCGGGTTGCAAACTGGACTTACCTCTCAGCCAGAGTCTCCAACCACACCCCACACTGCCGCTGATCCACAAGCCATCCCTCAGTACAATGCAAGAGCGAGGAGACGACCCTCTGTCCGCCAACAGCGATCCACGTCTGGCGAGTCCGATGATGGGAATGGAGAAGATGTCGTCATGGGAGAAGACTCAGCGGAGCCGAATGTGGCTGAGCCAATAATTGGGCTCCAAACTGGTATGGAGATTGAGAATGTTGGGGATCAAGATACCATGATGGATGACGGTACAGACTCTCATGGAATTGCCCTTTCGAACCCGTCGGAGCAGCCTGATGCAGAAACGTTCAATATTACTCACCGCTCCGTTCCCGATGGAAGTTTGATGAACCCGGCAGCGCAGCAAACTAATGGCGCGATCACTCTCCCCCCTACCCGTATTGCTGTTACGGGTACTCCCATAATCCACCAGATACCTTACCCGTATTATCTCCGTGATCGCACCGTGTCACACGCAGTTTTGACCGCATTGCCCCGGGACGAGGACGTGCTCATGGCACTCCAGCTTTTGGCATATGTGTCCAAATATTGCAGTCTACGATCATATTTCCAGAATACCCATCTTGTTCCTAAATTGAAGATTGGAAAGGATATCAATTTGCTGGACGATCTGAAAGGCCAATCGATCCCACCGACAGAGCCCGGCGAGGAAGCAGAAGAGTACTTATTACCCGACGACTTCAACATCTTCCCTCTAGTTGAGAAATTTACTGTTAGACACCATACGAAAGATATGCAATATTGGGCTTGCGTGGTTATGAGAAATCTGTGTCGTAAGGACGATTCGCGCGGTGGCATTCGACAGTGCGCCTACTACAAATGTGGCAAATGGGAAGAATACCAGAGACAGTTTGCCAAATGCCGCCGCTGTCGACGCACAAAATATTGCAGCAAGGAATGCCAGAAAAATGCCTGGGTATATCATCGGCATTGGTGCCACAGCTCTCCCTAATCCTATAGACAGCAACGGCGTTTTCTAATCCCCTCTTGGGCACACTGTCTTTTTTCTCTTTTCATGATACAATCCACATGATTTGTTTGCCTCAAACTACCTGTTTTGCATTTTTGTTGCAATTAAATCATAGCAGCTCTTGAACAGTTTGCGGTAAACAACAATACCCACTTGCATCGGCAAATGCCTCTTTCCTGAAAGTTTGACCCTTTTGTTCAAGCCCCTGATACCATGAGCGAAAAGAAAAGTTCGCATTCTCCAACGAGTCCCCTTTATGATACCATATCTTCCGCATGTCTTCCCACGGCCAGTATAATGATATTACAACAAGCTCTGCGCGATTCTTCTCCTTTCAGTTAATGATTATAACCAACTTGAACTTAAAGCTGCCTTGGCTGCATCGATCACGATTCCCCGGTTTGACATCCTCCACCTTTTCAATTCCCTTTAACTTGAAGGCCTTGATTCTTTCCTCTCCCGATCACTGGGCGGTTTGGGAGGGGGCAAACGCGAATTTTTTTCAAATCCTTGCTCGCTTGTATCTACCGGTTTACAGAGACTCGAAGCATTTGGTTGATAGCGTTTTTCCTTGAAGACGGCTTCATATCAGACCCCATAGTTTTCATTTGTTGTTTGTGTTTACTGCCCCTGTTTTTATTCTCCCTTTTGATATGCAGCTGTGCTTCTTTATTTCTCTCTCATATTTGATACCTTAGTACATCATCACTTACATAGTTTATATTGTATTGTGCTCATACTGTCATGGTTTGGCTTGGTTCAGCTTTGATTTTCAACTGAACATAATAGCTACACAGTGTCTTCTCATTGAACATTGGTGGATTTTCCATTTTTTTGAATAATACTCAAAGTTGAACCATTTCAACACCCTACATGAACGCCCATTCCATGCTCAATATGTACGGTCCAATCTCACTTGTACTCATCAGGACTCCTACCATACGTCGCTGCCAATCTTCTCACAAGATGCTCTCGCGCCGTCATAATCCTCCCATCCGCAGGTCCCAGACCCATTCCTTCCACCCTCCGCTGCTCAACAAGCCTGCTAGGCACCGGCACTAGCTCCGCATCGTCCAACGGATGACAGAAATACGCCATACTGTACCTATCTTTTCCCGGAGACGCACCCGCCTGCTCCTCTGCGGGAAACACGACTCTGTGAACCGTAGATTTTAAAAGCCCATTGGTCCAATAGCTCAAGATATCCCCGATATTCACCAGGATCGGCGGAAATCCGGTCTCCGCAGGCCCTCTGGGGGCGGGTCGGACGGGCACGGGTGCCCATTCTCCCGTGGGCGTCTGGATTTCGAGACCGGGTTGCCCGTCGCGTTGGAAGAGGAGGGTGATGCTACCGTAGTCGCTGTGGGCGCCGGCGCGGATGTCGGTGGTGCGGTGGGGTGTGGAGGGGGAGTGGGATTGGATGGCTGGGTAGTAGAGGAAACGAAATGTGACGCCGGAGGGGCCTTGGGAGGGGTCGTGGCGGATGGTGAACCAGTCTGGGGGTATCTATGGGGGAAATGGATTAGATGGAAAGAGAGTGATTGTGGTTTTAGGAGCACATACTCCTAATCCTAATGCGAGCAGGGATAGAATACGGTCGCATGTCTTGCGGCATAGATGCATGAAATTGGATATTTCTGCTTCATGGGGGATGAGGGATGGAGGCAGTGGCTGCTGTGCTTTGTTGTCCTTGAACTCGCCAAAGTTGAAGGCTCTGCGGCGAGAATTAGTCTAGCGGAGTAAGGGGCGGGTGGAAAGGGACGTGCTCTTTGAAATCACCGCCCTAGCAAACATGGCTCAATCAGCTTGGTCGGTAAGTCTGCAAGGGATTAACATACCTGGTGATGCTTGGGATCTAGTGTCTCAGTTCGTATCCCGGCCCAGCCCCGATTCTGCCTCCGTAAGTTACTCAACGGAGTATTTTTAGATGGCTGTCGGTGCATACATTTGGCCCAATTCGGACTTGCTGTTTTTCTTCGTGTGGAGATGCAAAGAACTTTCGTGCCTGTGTTAAAGGCCAGCCATTAGCAAAACTAAATCAGGGTCATGCACCGCACTGCAAGATAGACAGATAATAAATCCTCCAAGGTGGATAACCTCAAATTATAGTACAAGATTCAAAGAGCTACCATTGCAAAAGCTGAATCCACATTCCCATTGGAAATCTCAGTGCTTGCACTATCAACGTATAGGAATCCATAGTTTGTGGCGGCATCGATCATTGCCTTGCCCGTTTCCGGGTCGGCATTTGAGATATCGATAATGGGGAGCTGGATGGGGAGCTGTGTTTGTGACATCGCTCAATGACTATTGTTCAGAGTATGAGATTTTACTGCTTCAACAGCCCTCAGGATGCTTGCTGGGGTATCTAAGTAGCTATCCGGCCATGAGTAAGCGGTTTGGTAGCTGAAGCTGAAGGAGATGAGGGGACAAGTTTGATAGAAGCTTATCTTATCAGCGGCAGACCATGCCAAAAGGGGTCTAGTTGCGATTGCTTCCTACCAGCATGCGAGCATGGCTGCATGGAGCCATCGCACAGAAAAGGGCGCAATGACACAAAGCTGGTATCAGAATAACAGCTTAGTGTCACCCCATTCATCTTGCCAGGCGCCCATGGTCCTACATTGTCTGGCATGCAAACGCCCCCCAAACAAGCACACGAGCGGTACTGCTGACTAAGCATTTTAGGGTGTCACGGGTGAAAGCTTAATGGCACATCCCCCGAGCCTTATGAACAAGCCATCTTTGCTGCAACCTCCCCATCCACCTCATCAGCAGGCGTATTTCACTGGTTGAGCCTAGCTCTTCCACCAGCTTCAGCCTTTCGTGTTTCCTATCGGGGTTGGTGGAAGCTCAATTGACCTCGCCCTTGCTTCAGACGCCTCTCGTCTGAGTGATATTTTGGCTGACGTTGGTTTTTGCCAAGCTCCATGTTTGGGAGAGCTCAGCTGTTCTGCGAAATTAACCACCAACGACAAAATCAACAATGCCGAGTGAGTGCCTTTCTAACTCTTGCTATTGACTGATCTCAAGGAATTGCTACTAATGGTCGTTCTCTCGCTTTAGTCCGCGGTTTCGACGATTGGGCTAGCACCCGCGGCCAGACCTTGTCCCTCTCCGCTCTGAAAGGTGCCGTCATTGGTATCCATGCTTCTCACTACCTTGACCTCCATTTAAACCACCATGTTACAAAAGAGCCCCTCCTCATTGCTTTGGGGGGCTTTCCGTTTGCATTAAAAGCTCATGTCGAGAGAGAACTCCAAGCACTTAAGAATGCTGGAATTTCCTGCATCTTCGTATTCGATGGATTGGAGATTGGGAAGCCGGAACCAGACATTGTAGCTCAGAATCAGTCTACCCGCGCCTTGGAACAGGCTTGGGAGTATTATGACCAGCAGCAGGCGGACCAGGTGGTTGATGCGTTCAGCAACGCTGGTAAGCACATCCGTGAATTGCGAGACAAGGGATGCCTGACCTTTATTGTGTAGGAAGCGCAAAGCCGGAATCACTCTACAAGTTCCTTCAGAGGATTTTACTTGCGGAGGGAGTTGATTTCATGGTGGCACCATATTCTGCAGCCCCTCAGGTAATCAACCATATGATATACGCAGCCTCTTGACTTTTCGGCTTACAATTGATTCGTTTTCAAGCTCGCCTATCTTGAGAAAGGTCCCCAGATCATCGATGCGATCTTCGGGCCATCAGACCTCTTTCTGTTCGACGTGGAGAAGGTTATCACTAAACTTGACACGGACCTGTTCCACTTCAACTGGATTACAAGGCAAACGTGTGCAAATGATCTGAACCACTTGAGCAATGAACAGTTCGCCGACTTTTGTCTCCTCCTTGGCTCTCCCTACCTTCGCACTTTTCCACCTTTCGAAAACCATCCATACCCGGGCAAAGCAGTCAACATTCGCGATGCGCTCAATCTATACAATAGTGCAGGAAGGAACGCACTCGCCCTCTGCGCCCAGTTCGAAGACGATCAGCGCGTCCACGATCTACAGTATTTAGACCGCTTCAAGCGGACATTCATAATCCTTAAACATCATATTATCATGGATATCGATGGCAAAGTAGGGCCAATGGATCCTGAGAATGCGCCCTCTGATCTGCATGAATTGATCGGACAACGCCTTCCAGAAGAACTTTACTTCTATATCTCCAAGGGCATTCTTGGGCCAAACGTTCCCAATTGGCTGACATCCGGTGAAATTCCAGTCACCCTTCCGCTGGGTACGGAGGATTCTGACGTCTATCGCCGCCTTGTCTCCGATACACTTACCCCTATCCGAACTCAATCTCTTTGTTTGCTCTCGAACTCACTACATCGGTTTTATCAAACAAAAGCTATTCATATTCGCCCCTGGTACGACAATAAGTCTGAACGGACTGTCAGCCTGAAATCGTTGCCATCAGTGAAGGAGACCATTGTGTCTTGGAAACTTGGCAAATTTCAACTCCCAGATAACTTACAAGAACTTCAGGTAGTTTCATTTCCGAAATTTAACTGCATTTTGAATGGATGCATTTTAACATCTTTCTAGGGTTCATCCCCACTTTTAACATCCTCCCTATCGGTTGCAAAAGACCCGGCGTTTGCTTCAAAATCATTCGCCCCCAAAGATGCGGCGGTATGCTCTCCATGCCACCATGCCATCATACCATTCAAATACTAACTAATTTAGCCGCTCTCCTCAAAAGCTGAGATTCTTGCCAATGTCATGTGGCGGTTCTTACAACTTCGCGGCTACATTGACGAGAAGCATCAACTCACTGGATGGGGTCAGTCGTTAGAGGCTGCTCTGTCCTCATTAACCTCGTCCGAGAATTTGGAAGAGCCCACATTCCTCGCCATAGAGATGCTCCGCCTAGGGGTTTTAAATGCCAAAGACATGTTTTCGAACATTTCTGGAGGCCCAATGCGAGGCACATGTAAGTTCAAGCGGCCAAAATTGACCATCCAATTGTACTGATGACGGAACCCATTTCACAGCCGAAGAAAAGTCTTTTAATCTCTTGGTTTCTCGGGTTGCATCCTTGGGCAAGATTCGCCACAAGTCCATCGGATATTCGGGCCCGCTAAGCAGACAGCTTTTGTCATTCCATTCATTAATTTACGCGGTTCGCTCGAGTCTCCGCGATTTAATAGAGGTTGTTCTTGCTGGCCTTCTTCTTAGCGGAGAAGCAGAACGTGACCGCAATGATTGGTCTAGCTTGAGTCTTAGGTACGATTATAATCATGTCGCGGTGGTTATAAGCTTCTAACGAAACTGTTTAGCCTACCTTTCATTGACGATAATGATTGCGGCCTGGGAATTGCAGTGCGCACATATCTCGACGATTTACCGCAACAGAATGAGCCTACGTCACAGACTGTAAGGGCCGAGGTCAAGGCTAAAGGAAAAGAATGGTTTCAACATAGTCACAGCTTCGAGGGAAACTTAGGCGTGGCTTTTCAGCTTTGGGACGCCGTAAGTTCCTTGCTCCAAATAACGATTCAATTCGGGTACTAACAACTGATCTAGGTTTGCAAAGCCGCCCGAAATACTCCATCAAAGGAAGTTCCGGGTGCGAAGATTTGGGAGGACACGAATAAATGGCTTGAAGAACGACGGTAATATGGACGCTATCTGATATGTGACTGACACAATTACTGTACATTATCAGCTACTCCGTACAGTTGAACCCATTATGTACCATTTACATATTACGGAAAATGTAGACCTAGCTCGATCTTTCCACCATTGATCTGATGATCGATGGCGTGGAACGAGGAATGACACATTGCTAGTTACCGCTCACTTCTGAACCAACGAGCTGCGTATCTCGTAATTCATCATCATACGTTTTCTATTTATAATGATTGATTTGCCGTTGCGAATTTAATGGGGATGTACCTGTATGGAACCGTTGGGGCTCAAACGAGGCAATGGTGTCCTGACCTCGATGCATAGCTCAATACGCAAGTTGGCTGAGCCTAGCTGTGTTTCCAACCTCCCAAGTATTTGTAAACGGGTTTGTCCAACGCCAACCCATTATTTTACGGCCTTTGGCTCAAAACATATTTTCCTTTCCCATAATTTAAAGATATTCCGCATTGTTTTCTCATATACTGGTTTCAGCATGGTTCGACTGAGCAACCTCCTCGTGGCCTCCCTAGCCCTCTTCAACGATGTCGTCAGCGCCAAATCCGCCGTCCTTGACCTAATACCCACCAATTTCGACAAGGTCGTCCACTCCGGCAAGCCCGGTCTCGTCGAATTCTTCGCCCCGTGGTGCGGTCACTGCCGAACCCTCGCCCCGGTCTATGAACAGCTCGGGCAAGCGTTTGCCCACGCAAGCGATAAAGTTCACATCAGCAAAGTTGACGCGGACGCGCATAAGAGTTTGGGCAAGAAACACAAGGTTCAGGGCTTCCCGACGTTGAAATGGTTTGATGGGAAGGGTGGTAACGGGGAAGAGTATGAGGGTGGAAGGGACCTAGAGGCTTTGGCTAAGTTTATAACGGATAAGACGGGCGTGAAGGCGAAGGGGATGAAGAAGGCTGCGGAGAGTGTGGTGACGATGTTGACGGATCAATCGTTTGCTAAGGAAGTGGGAGGCGATAGAGATGTTTTCGTGGCCTTTACAGCTCCGTGGTGTGGTCGTATGTTTCTCTCTTTCTTCGCTGGTGTTGGAACAGGTGATGAAGATGGGTTGACTGACATATTGATGCAGACTGTAAAACCTTGGCTCCTATCTGGGAAACCCTCACTGAAGACTTCATTCGCGAACCTGGTGTTCTCATTGCCAAAGTCGACGCCGAAGCTGAGCAATCGAAAGCTACTGCCCGAGACCAAAAAGTTACCGGCTACCCAACCATCAAGTTCTTTCCAAAGGGATCCAAAGAGGGCGAAATCTACAGTGGTGCCCGCTCTGAAGAAGCTTTCGTCAACTTCTTGAACGAGAAATGCGGCACTAACCGTGCTGTCGGAGGAGGATTGAACGCAAAGGGCGGCACGATCGAAGCTCTCGATGCAATCGTTGCCAAATACGTTTCCGGAGAAGCGCTTGAGAAGATTATCAAGGACATCAAAGCCGCCGTCGGTGCTTTGAAACAGCAATATGCGCAATACTACCTCAAAGTTGCTACCAAGCTTTCGCAGAACTCTGGGTACGCGGCCAAGGAGCTGGCAAGATTGCAGAAAATGATCAGCAAGGGTAGCCTCGCGCCCGAGAAGTTAGACGATTTGACTTCGAGATCTAACGTCTTGAGGCAGTTCTTGGGCAAAGAAGCAAAGGGAACCAAGGATGAGCTTTGAAGTCTTTATGGCATGATATCCAAATATTTACCGGCATTATATACCTATCTACTTAACTACTGACTCCAGCTTGACTGCTAGAGCAGAGCAAGCTAAGAGATGCCCATATTTAGAGCAAGGCAGGGTTGTTTTATCATATTATGTACTACTAGTGGGGCCTAGCCTCCTGAGGCGCTAAATCAAAACGACAGGTGCAATAATTGTGCCATGAATCCGATGACTGCTCATGTATATACATGGCTGGTGTACTCGCTCACACCGGTTCAAATTATTCTCCAGGGCAATATAGATTTTGCCCATTGGATATATCGTTCTTGAATGTGAAAGCCAGAAGGGTATCGAAAACAACCGCCCAACTTCATAAGTGCTCCGCTCAATATTCATGGTCGCGTCATTTCATAATTATAAGTAAGGCTGTAATGAAAAAGTCTTAGAGAGAGCCTGGAAGGATAACCGGCCCGTTAACTCCCTCGATCCGTATCACCAGCAACTGTCAAGGAAGCTTCGAGTTCGTCAAGCCGCCGTGTCATGTCGTCCACTAACACGGAGAATTAGCTCTAGACAGATACTAGAAAAAGCGCCAGCTAAGCAGCATCTTGCAAAAAGAAGCTCGTTTCCCTCACATTTCCCAAATATCTCGTTCGATACATTCGCAAATCGATGTTGTAACTGGTCGAGGAGGTCGTCCACTGCCACTGCAAGCTGCTGAGCACCGCTTTCTTCGGTTAATGGCTGCTGTTTTGGGGGAATACTTGCGTTAGAACTTGTTTCTTATCTGCAAATGTTGAGCAAAGCCAAGCATGAAACGTACCTCTACGGTTGTAGATTTCCTTGTGATGCTGGGAGAGGTAATGGATGTTCGGGTTGGAGTCCCGCTCATTTTCAAACCAGATTTGGAAAAGCTGAGTTAGCACGGTATAGAAGTAAAAAACACCTCAATTTGCAATATTCTATCAGCGAGTAAAGAAAGTAAGACTTGGAGAGCTGGATGAGGACGTTTGCTTGCCGTTTGGAGAACAGTAACGGTCAAATCTGATTGGTGAGGAGGCATGATCAGATTAGATAAGATTCAATTCACGTGCCAGATGCTAGAGTTTATTACATAATATAGACCCGTCGGCACTTATCCGCTTGTAGTCTAGCGTAAAGCTTCCAAAATCTCGCTGGAAAGATTTCAAGCTGGAATCGACGGAGTCGCGGCTTTCTTAATCACATTTCCGGATCAACCAGTCGAGATTTGATTTTCAAGTGTCTTAAAATGGTGAAGAAAAGCAAATTGCTCAATGCCCTTGACGCGCATAAAGGCCGAGATTTCGACAAGGAGCGCCAGAAAAAGCTGCAAAAAGCTGCTGAGAAGAAGAAAAGGCTGAAGGCGGGAAACCAAGTGGAAGGCGAAGCGGAGAATGAAGAGGTAATTAGCAATTCTATATGGGGGAGAAGCGTTTCCACGAAGCTGATATGGCGGCAAAAAGCAGGAAGCCAATGCTCCCGCAGAATTGAAAAATGGAGAAAAGGCCAAGAAGCAACAGGTTACCAAAGTAAATAAGGAGGGAGAAAAGCAGAAAGCAAATTCGGAACAAGCTCAGACTGAGGTCAATGCGCCTGACAACGAGGAAGATTGGGAAAGCGAAGATGAAGCTGAAGACGAAGAAGAAGATGAAGACATCCCCCTCTCAGAGCTCTCCGAAGACGATAGAGCCGACGTAATACCTCACCAACGCCTCACTATCAATAATTCCGCCGCCATACGAGCATCTCTTAAGCGAATATCCTTTATCAACGAAAATACGCCTTTTTCAGAACACAATTCCCTTACATCCACAGAGCAGATGGACATACCTGACCCCAATGACGATCTCAATCGCGAGCTAGCATTCTACAAAGTGTGCGTATCAGCGGCGGCTGCGGCGCGGAGCTTATTAAAAAAGGAAGGCGTCCCTTTCTCTCGACCAGCGGATTTTTTTGCGGAGATGGTCAAGACCGATGAGCATATGGGCAAGATCAAGAAGAAGCTTTTCGAAGAAGCGGCTGCGAAGAAGGCTAGCGCCGAAGCAAAGAAGCAGCGTGATTTGAAGAAGTTTGGGAAACAGGTGCAAATTGCGAAACTGCAACAGCGGCAGAAAGAGAAGAAAGAGACGCTGGAGAAGATTAACAGCCTGAAAAGGAGTATGTATTCATCGCATCATTTAACATTCGCGAGTGGCGTTCTGGTATGAATCGCATACTGACTCTATTAACCAGAACGAAAAGCCGACGGGGGAGCTCCCACCGAAGACGAGAATCTCTTCGACGTTGCACTCGAAGACGCCAGTAAATCTGACCGCAAGAGACAGAATCCCGCTGGCGGTTCCAATTTCAAACGACAAAAGAAAAACGAAAAGTATGGATTTGGCGGGAAGAAGCGATTTGCGAAGAGCGGAGATGCCGTATCAAGTGGTGATTTGAAAGGGTTCTCTGTCAACAAAATGAAAGGAAAAAAGTCGGGTGCGGCAAAACGGCCTGGGAAAAGTAGAAGAGCCGCCGGGAAAAGGTAATATTCTGTATATAATTGGGAAGCATCGATATATTTGATCAGAGAGCATGTATCCAAATCTGCTGATTTTACCCGTTGAAATCAAATGGGAGTAGACAGTGTGATTTGAAACTAGTGAAGACGCAAATTAGGGCGTAGGTGCGGATATATCAGATACCATCATGCGGACCAAGGTCTGAAATGAAAGTTGTAATTGTAACATATCAAAATATCTGCTTCCTGAAATCCTAGATCATTCCGTTCATCTGGTGTTGCCATCTGGTTCCTGGGATCGGAGTGATGTGAACTAGGATAATCGTTTGACAAAGAGTTTCCAGATGGTCGTTCCTGTTCCCGGCCGGATCTAGCTGTCAATGGGAATATAAAGCATGGAGATCTCTTTGTCCAAGTTCGTGTGCGAATACTCATAGAGAAGCAATGTGGCAGGCAATTATCCGGTAGAAACCCGGGGGCTCTATGAATCTATGCTGTGTTGAGATACATGCTATATCTATACTCAGTCATACCTGGTCAATATCTCCACCACTTAGCTCCTTGCTATTTGCCTATTTGACATAGGATGAGTGAAGAGAAGTCTATGTCTGACTATTATTGCCAAACAATTCGGACCCTGAATTGAATTCATCATGGACTCTACTACAGTCAGATCAATGTATGTTCAAGATCCATCTTTTGCTTTATTCTTTTCCCGCCAGTCATCTAGAAGCCTTTGCATTTTTGCGCTCCACACTTCTTCACCCGCTTCTAGATCCTTATACTCCAATGTCCTCTCGGGGGAAAGCTCAAAATCACCCTGCCGCGTACGTACCAACTCACTCATTATTGCATTGCTACCGAGTGCTAGACCGAGATCGTGCGCGAGGGATCGGACATAGAACCCCGAGCAAACCGTCATTGTGAGCTTGACTGCGGGTGGAGGGGGATGTAATTCTGAGGAGTCGGGCGCGGGTTCGGATTTTTGAGCTTCAGGGGTCGGAGCGGATTGCTGCTGTGTGGTTGAGTCTGAAGCTGTTGCGGTCTCCTCGTTGGATAGTTCTGTTTTCTGGCGTTTCAATGAGGGCTCCTGCGTAGTCGGTGCGGTCCCCTGAGCGTGGTCATCTGGTATTGGAGGTGTTTTTCTTTTCAAGGAGTCGTTTTCCTCTCCATGCTTGAGGTCCTCATTGATAAGATCTTTCTCCTGTGCGATCATCTTCTTCGCAATGGTTTTTTCCTCAGCTCCCGCCTCCTGTGTTGGCCATTTCCATTCATGCTTTCCAGGCTCATACCATTCAACGATCTCCAGGTTCAGCACTTCGACTGGTCTCTCTGCAATCTCCACAGGCGGCTCTTTTCCCTCCCTTGCATATTCATACAGTTTCTTTCCCTGCACTTTCAGAGCCGAAAATATCGATGGGCGCTGCATAGTTTTTCCTCTAAACGCCTTCAGCGCCTCCTCGACTTTTTCTCTCGTGATATGTTCATATGGCGCATGGCTAACCACCTTGCCCACACGATCATACGAGTCCGTCGCGACACCAAACAGAATCACCGCCTCGTAGGTCTTCGTGCAAGCCAAAAAGCCATTCAGCTGCTTCGTTCCTTTGCCCACACCCGTAACCAGCACCCCAGTGGCAATTGGGTCCAATGTCCCTCCATGTCCTAGTTTGACCTGTAAGCGCTTATCTCTGCGTCTTCTTTTCCCACCCTCCTGCTGGCGACGTTCGCGCTCGGCGGAGATCCATGGCTGGAAGAATTTGGAACGGTTGAAGTGGTGCTGGAGGTTGCGAAGGACTTCGGCGGAGGATATGCCCGCTGGTTTATGTACGGCTGGGGGAGAAAATGGTCAGTGGCTTTCTTTAGATTCAGTTACGACCGGATGATTTTCGGTGCAAGCTGAGGGACGAACAGAGGGGAATTGGGGAGCTAACCGAAAACTCCCTCGAGATTGGCTGCTTGAGACATGATGTGTGGCAGTTTAGTTGCCCACCTGTGAGTAGACATAGGACTGAAGCAGTTACTCGCGCTGGAAAGGTGCAGAAAAATCGGGGTGGAGATTGGACGGTGAAGTTTTTCTTCCGCATTTCTCACCTGCTAAATTAATGCCCGCAAAGCAGGCCAAATGGTTAATCACGTTTAGGGGCTTCCCCCCCTATAAAATAGGGTAGTCAAGGCCCCGACGGCCAGGCGGTTAGCCCCTAAACTTCGCCTTTGATAGCTCAGGCGTTGACCGAGTACAGTACCATACCACGATACCGGATATCTTGGCTGCTTCCACAAACAGAAAGATAAAATACCCGGTATTCGACACGTTTCTCTGCCGACCCTTACCTAAGCATCAGGGCGTTCCTTGATTGTTCCAGAGCTTCAGCTTCGAGAGCCGATGAGCTGACCGTCATGAATTCATCCACTAGCTTCCTCACATTCCAATGCCTTGTTCTCCAAAGGATTCTCGTCTTATTCTTGCCTGTTTGTTCATCATGACAACTCTGAAGATATGACTGCACGTATCGAAAGTGTTCTCGCCGCCAGAAACCCCTCCTTGACCGACGAGAACGACTGGGAAGAGTTCGCTTTGACCGATGTCAGGGTTAGAGTGCCTGGAAAAGCTCGTTATGCCAACCTCCTGACTGCATCCCCTGAGAGCCCTGTCTCAGTCACTGGTCAGCTAGAATTGGTTGAACAAAATCAAGAATCCCTTGGTATCTCTCACTCTCCTGAACCAGCTATTGCCGGTTTACTGATCAACCCTGCTCTAGTACTGGATGAAAACTACCGCTCGAAACGAGTCATCATCGAAAACGTCACGCACTATGCATATGGCCAACACGAGGATGGCGAAGTCGGAATCTGGGTCGCTGGGGAACCGGGGTGGTTCTCAATTACTCCGGCGAAGGGCTACAAGCCAGTGTTCAACGAAATGATCGAGGCTGTTGATCTTTTGTACTTTATTATAGACAAACACCAACCAAAAGGCCGGAGGAGGAAGCAATGGAATCCTAAAATGGACTATCTTTTTGATCAAGTAAGCTCTTCCTTTTGGCCGTCTGGCTTGTGCTAACGTCCAACAGTATGTACAGCACACCTATGGAGCTTGTGAAGATGCGGATGATGCCGCAGAAGTGTTCGATAAGCACCATGCATTTCTAATTAAGCAGATGGTTCAGGGGAAGGAAGATGTAGACTGGGACACTGCACCAGTGTATAAATATTTTCGGGAGAAATATTCGGTGAGATTTTTTTTTTTTTCACGAAACAAGGCAGTAAATGGGCGCGCACTAAAACCAATATCTAGGAATTGTTTGGTATTCTGGAAGAAAAAGGCTCTAATGAGGACCATATCTCCGACGGTAATGAAGTTGATAATGAAGATGCTGAGTCGGTGGGTACAGAGACCGTGGAAAAGTCACAGGCAGACACTATTTTTGAAACTATTCTAGATATGAAGGAATCCACTAGAGATTTCAAGCGGCAGTTGACATTGAAAACAGCTGCGGAACAATTGCTGAAACGCTACGAAATGGACTCCCTGGACTATGCTATCAACCTTATCAAAGCGCGGGCAGCCTATTTGATTGAAATGATGGATAATGCAAATACGTTATCTTCGATTGATTGGTCTCGAAGAACTATATATAGACAATTGAAGGCAGCCGAGCGGTCAAAAGGTGTGCAAGATGTTCGGACCACTCCCTTGCATCCCCGTCCTGTCGAGGACCAAGGAGATCAATCATCTTCTGTCGAAGAGAGTGAAGATGAAAACTTCTCGCACCACAGGAGGCATGCACGGATGTCAATTCTTAGGCCAAAAAGCTCCGTATCCGCAAAACGCGCCAGAAAATCTGGCAAACAGCCTCCAAACGAAACCTCGGATTCTGAACAAGAGTCAGAAGATATAGATATCAGCGAGGAAACTCCGACCAGGCGGCTTGGGAGCCATCGCTTGATACAGCAGCCATTACCTTCGCGAGTAAGTGAGCTCGCGCGGTCCATCATCTCCATTTCCGAACCGAGCACTTCGTCTCCCAAAAAAGTGGCTCCCCTAGAAATGGCTCGTCCATCCGAAACAACTGCCCATCCCATCAATGGCAACCATATTACCATGCCCCCAGCGGCGCTGATATCTCCGGAAGTTGACCTTCCCCGGGATACTTGGGTTTGCTCCGTACAGGGCTGCGGAAAAACCGTCCTCAAAGCTTCTTCAAAGCGATCAAAGGAGGTGATACTTGACCACTCATTGGCACATGCGGACGATACCCAGACAAAAATGAGTTTAGTGTTTGCTGAGCAACGGCTCAATGTGAATGCATCCGTTGATTTTCTCCTTAATAGAATTCGGGAGTTTGGAACCCTTGAAGGAGAGCCCAGTGATGCTGGTATGAATTCTGACGCCAAAAGAATCAGGCTTGGGGAGTGAACCGTTTGACATTCGAGGATGTCGAAACTAGAAACTCACTCCTCCTTGGGTTACGAAAATTTTACGTTGATTGCTCCAGCCTGGATTGGCAACATTGTCCGACTGATGTACACTCTCGGAAACGCCTCCGAGGCTTATTGAAGTCCACCTAACGTGAAGGTTGCCTCTCACTTCAGTCGCTTTGCTACTCACATTGAACAAGCAACAAAGGAAGCGGCTAAAGGAACTTATCGAGGTGCAAGGCGCTGTGGATAGTAATATCGTCGTGCTCCGCCACCAATTGCGGTAGGGTAATCTCTACCTACAAAACTCTCGAACAAGCGTTCAAGTATATATAACTTGATATTCACTAACGCTGAGAATCACCCCGTTCCACTTCTCAAACCAAGGATCTTATCGACAGCGTGAAAATGAGTGTATCTAAACCGTTGTGGACGGCCTGGCATTTGACTAGCTCCTTGGACTTGTCTACCTCCCGTGTTTCAATATCTTATTCTAGATGGAGAATGGAGGATTTTAGTCCTTGTCAAAATTACTATCAATAGGTCATGCTGAGGGCTTTCAGTCTGATGGGCTTTTGTGTGAAAGATCCTGTGTCGCCATAGGATATTTTGTCGGAGGCAGGATAATGTATTGACGTCCAAGAGTAGTAGACACTGAAAGCTGGGAATTGGAATAAACAACCCCGACACTATATTCAGAGAGTTTATACATATTACTCTTATTAGACCTGTGTTCACTGCTGTTCAAGCATGCATTCTCTCTCGCAGACTTTACGCAAATTCTTTTCTTTTATCATCCTGATGAGCTGAATGATGCGGATAACAATGTATTTGGTAACCAGGAATACACCTGCTTTTGACTTGCAGCCTGTAGTATGACCACGGTATACAATAGCAGGAAAGACATTTCAGATTGTTTGGGATCCATTAGATCCATTTATTCTTACAATATCGCCTCTCAACAAAATATTAGTTTTATATTTTTGAGATATCCGATAAGTACTCTTTTTAAAAAGGGCCACAGGCCCTTCCTTGAGTTTTGAAAAAAAAATGAAACAAAGATGAATAGGAAAGGGGGGTATCGAAAGCATCCAAATCGAAAAATTTATTTGGCAGGTCATCCCACTACTGAGAATGAAAATGGTGGAATCGTAATCCACTGGCGGGGAAATGAATAGGATAAGAAAACAAGCGAGAGAAAAGTAGATAACTGAATCATTATAGCGCGTCACGTTCAGAAGATAAATGGAAAGGTCAAACCGAAGTAGCTGTGACCTTGATGTTGGGCCAAAGCCAAAAAAGGCCAAAGAAAAGTTGCGGTTGTATACACAAAAAGATAGTGAAGAAGGATAGTTAAAATCGAAAACCTGGTATCTAAAGAATGAAAACGAAGATATCAAAGGGAATTCGTCGGAATCCGTACGGGGTAAATTGAAACAGATAACGAAGATGAATTTAAGGTTTAAAATTATCGATGTCGGTACGTGTTATGCGCATCGAGAAGTGCTTGAAAACAGTTAGCGATCCCGTAAAGAACTTTAGTCGGATTGAAGCTTGAAACCTACTTTGAAGAATTGCCCTCTGCCCATTCCTCGACTCGCAAGCGCATTGCAGCGTGCTCCCGTTGCTAAAATCTAGCACAATGCTATTGGGCAACTCCTGTCTATCTTGGTCTGGTAGAGTGGGCGGTCGAAATTCAGAAAGGTGATAACGTTTCACCGTATTGCGCGCAGTCCCGTCGATAGTTCCCGGTGTCAAGATGAGGTACCCATGGTCATCAATCCGCATGAAGCGGCGTTTCCAGAGTAGAGTGTCGGGAAATTGGACGTTAACTTCGCCGATGTCAACGACTTGCGGTGGCTCCGGAGTAGGTTCTCTTTCTTCTTTTGGCGGTGGAGTTGGTGGATCTTCTTCCTTCAGCGTTGGACTTAAAGCATTGATGAGACCCCGGCGTGAGCTTGACGTAATTGTTGACACACGACGCATTAGGCGCGATTTTCTGGATTCTTTCTTTTCCTCTAGGACTTCGTCAACACTGTCGAGATGGAGGTGGGCATCGATGGATGAGGAGGGAAGTGTCCCATCAGGTTTAGAGCGTGAGGAAACGGAAAGTTTGCTTGTAATTGAGTCGGATCGCCGGAGCGGGATTGGGTCCTGCACATGCTTCGAGCTGATTGAGGAGATAGACCAGCGCTTCTTTTCTTGCTTCGCGGGTGGGGATGTAGGCGGAATTGGCTGCTTCGGCTCAGTATCTCCATCGTGTTCGACAATGAGCTGACTGCGCTGCAGGTTTAGAACGCTGGGCTCTGAGGGATCTGCAGAAGGGTCTGGAGGAGGTATAGACGGATCGCGAACGATCCGGGCAGTCACGCAAACCGAGTTAGGCTTGCCTTTCATAGAGCTCGTGGGAGAAAGGGACTCGTGGCGGCTGGGAAGCGGATTGGAGCCTTCCGGTGCCAAAGGAGATTTATTCCCCTTTGGTGTGGCAGCGGGTGTGAGCATATTTGTCGGGGTCATTGAGGCTCGTTTGCGGAATTTATCGAATGGAGATGATACGGTGGCTGGCGAAGGTAACACAGGTGCATGGCTTGCACCGGATTCGCGGCTCGAGAACATTTCTAGTGCTTTGATGCGCTTCGAAATGCCAGAAGAAACATTAACCTTCTTAGCCACGAGCACGGGAACTGCGTTTTGACTATTGAAGTACGGTCCCGATGCGGATCTGCCGATAGGCAGGGCTTGTACGTCTATTCCACCGGCACTGGGATTGGACACAACGCGAGAGCCTTTCCATCTCTCTGACGAAGAAATGTCTCCATTACTTGAAAACGGGGTAAGGGGAGTTTTGGGGACTGCAACGGGCTTGGCTTCCTCAAGGGTGGCTGATTTCAACTCTTCCATGAAAGAATCGTCTGACAAGAGGTGGTCTTCGTCCAGTTCATCGTTGCGTTGAGGGATAAAAATGGGTTCAAGCATAGCACGCCGTTTCTGTTTACGATCCTTTCGGTTCGTCTCTCCGTCGCTTGGTTCTTCCAATGTTTGATCCGATTTATCAATGTCATTGGCGGTGGGGATTTCAACTGCTGCTTGGCTTTCAGAGACTTCAGTGTCAGACAAGGATGCCGTCTCGTTTGAAATCGCAACCTCTTCATGCTGGACTAGCGCCCTGTCGGGCACGAATCCTACAGTCTGGGGGAATTCTGCAGGGATGGCGCGTGGTGTGGGAGTATCAGGACATTGTAAGTCTGATGGTATCTCGATTTCACATGGATGAACCTCGGTTTGTTGGTCGGAATTCGAAGGCGTGGCTGACGAAGTCTGGGGGCTTTTGTTTTCTTTCGGAACATGCTCCTTGTCAACTCGTTCGAGATTGACCGGCGAGTTATCATCTTGAGCAATTTCGGACGGTCCCGCCACGTCTGTCTCGGGGGCGTCAACCATTGAGGATGGGGTAGGGGACGGAGCTTCCTCAACACGATCAGGTATCACACACGGTAGGGAAATATCTTTCTGAGAGGATTGTTCGGTGATAGAAAGATCGACTGCCGAATCGAGTTTGGATGGATCAGCCAATGGCGCTTTAACTTCGTTCTTGATATCTTCGGGAGGTTCGTTCGGGATCTGGGCCGGCTCAAGTTCTACTGATTGTGATGTTGGTAGACTCTCATCGACCGCTTCACGAGTGCCTGATTCGACATCTGGATCTGCTGAACTCTCCCGCGAACTGTCCTTTTCCACTTCGGCGACCGTTATCTTAATTTCTTCTTCCTCCTTTGCTTCGTTTTCTTCCTTTTGTTCTCGTTTATGCCTTTCAACTTCCTGCGCCTGCTTCTCCATCTGCCTCTTCCGCATTTCTAAAGCTTTCATCAACCGCTGCTTTTCCGGAGACACCCCGATAGAAGAAGCATAGCTTTTGATGGACCTAGGAGACGCTGGCGGGTTTCTCGAAAGCGAGGTGATCGAAGGAGGTGGAGGTAAGAGTGCAGGAACCGGTGGAGCGTCGGAAGGAATACTGGGAGGGAGAATAACGGGCTGAGACTTGGGTCGCGGGGCATGATTTTTCCTCGTGGTTAGCCGTACGCCAGCAGGGAGTGCGGCCACGGGACGTGTCTGGCGCGACCTTCCCATTGAGCCGGCGGTGCGCGGGCGACCATTGACATCTACGGGTCGGGGGCCCAGTTTTATTTTTGGTGGGCGCAAGCTCGGTTGATCCAAGTCCCTGGTTGATGGCCTTGAAGATTGAATTGAGTCTCGGGGTTGGGAGAGTTGGTCCAATAGGTGATATTGAGCAACACCATTGGTGTGGCTGTTTGTGTATTCCTGTGGAATCGACGGCAGAGGCTTGTCCGATCTGTTCGAGAACGCTCTCGAACGAATTGGGGCGGCGTCGGGTGTTAAAGGCTTTGGTTCTCCTGGCCTGTAACCGTCTGGCACGGCTGTGGCCTCAGAGGTCCGGCTATAAACACTTGCTCTTCGGTCATTAACGCTCACACTGCTCGCAGCAATCGATATGCCAGCTATCGACGCGCTCTCCTCCACTTCGGCATCTTCTGTGATCCCCCCCAACTTACAGCGTCGCAATGAACTGGAGGACGAGGTCATGGAACGGGAGGCGGCATGGAGCAAGCATGCGGAGGAGAGGGCATTTTCGGTAAGGTCAGAGGAAACGGCAAGGGCGAATACTGTGTCGTGGGGTGAGAATTTATCCAATATCGACTGGAACTGAACGGAGATTCGGGCTAGAGGTCGAATCGTCAGCGTAAGCCTCCAAAAACGGCTGTCAAGATTGAGAAACGCAAGAGCGGCGTTTCGATCCTGTGTTATACCTTGCAATATCCTCGAAATCCCCTCCGGCACGTATCTTAGAATGATCTTCCTCCGTCGATACTGTAGGAACCCGTAGAGCGGCGACTTTTCTTCGTAGCTATCGATGGTGATCCGAATTTCAGCCACTCCGCCGGTGCCTCTGGCCAGGAGCGCGACCACGTCTCTGGAGACATATTTGAGAAGAAACCTGGATAGAGCATCGATCAATCGGTTAGTAAGACGGGCAATTGACACGATAGAAACGGGGCTCAATCGGCTTTTTTTGGACCAGAGTGTTTCGAACAGCAGCGACGAAGCGCGACTCACCAGCCTCCAGCCTCCGTCAACGCAGTCTGGTACGACTCAATGATAGCGGGATCATCTAATCCATTGAGAGACATCTCTGGTAGTCGTCCCACATTGGAATCGAGCGAGCGTGAAAAGGGGACGGTTCCCTCCTGGCTGGAATTCGGGGTACAGCGAAACCGACGGCGAGCTGGAAAGAGTGCAAAGGGGAAATTGGTAAATGAGGGAGAAAACGAGGGAAATGAGAATTACAATCTCTGAAGACTAAGCAGAATATTGGCGAGGACTAAGGGCCCTGGGGGTGTTCAGGGAGGTTTCTGGAAGAAATGAGATGGAGAACACAGTTGAAGATGCACGAAGCGCGGGCTAACTAGTGAGGGTGGAGATGTTTGAAGAGGAGAATAGGAGGCGAGAACGACAGCCTGCGCGCTCTGGCTCCCTTTGCAGGTGTATTTGCTCGGTTTCGGCTGTCTTTGCTTTCTTTTCCTCTCTGGACTTGTTCGTCTGTGCGCCGACAATCTACGACTGCAGTTCTGGTCCATGAGGCATCGCCGTCTCCCTGCGCTCGAGTTTCAGATCCTTGATGCCCGTCTGGATCGGCCGCCATCCCGGTCGACCTGAACATTTTACGCCTTGAACATTTTGTATGCACAGAGAGCACCCAGCAGCTCCGGCTTCAGATATCCAGGGCCGCTTGAACAACTTCGCTGGCCTGAGCTGGTGGAACCGCAGAACCACCAACCAGCAAAAACGGGACAGCGGCTCGAGGCTGCAGCTGTTGATATCGCTTTGAGTTCACGCCCCCTCCCATCGTCCTGTCGGACGGGTTGAAGCTAAGGTTTCAGAGATAAACTCCGCGTGGAGAGACTGAGCTCGTATCCATGCGCGAGCCGCTGGACGTGTTCATGGCCATGCTTCGGCGCTTGGTGTGGCCCAGTTGCTTCAAACGTCGTTGGATACAGTTGAGTCCGTTGGAAGCTGTGTGACCCTGTATCACGTCTCTCCCTGCCACCGAGAGTCGTCCTTGCGCCAACGACCGTACCTTGATAAGATGCTTCTTGTTATTCCAGAAGGACAGATTAGTAGATTACCTCCCATCTGTAATGTCCATGAGAGAATCATCCATCAGCATCTTGATTCAATTGCAAGGGTCGAGATCGTTGATATTCACATGTCAAAACGGCCTGTCAACAATGGTCGCGAAGCAGATCTTCAGGAACGGCATCGAGTACATCTGGATTTCTGCCTCTCGACTGATAGCACGAGCAAAGCCGACACGGCAAGAGGCAAAAAGAGCAAAGACAGCTCTTGATCGCAGGGCCGTGGCAAACCCAAGCCTGCCGCTATCGGCGTGGCATGTCCTTGAACTTGAGATTCGGGCTCCTCCGCGCATGGCTATATTTATATCTGTCTCCAGGGTCAGGCGGACGCAGTGGCAGCAGGTTTAAGCGGTTCAGAGGCCCGTCTGGCCTACAAACGAGCTGCGTGCACCCGCATCACCGTCCAGAATGCTGGTCGCTGGCGGGGGAGAATAAGACGATTCGAACAGTAGATTAATGCCCCAGTAACCAGTTAACTAGCGACCTCTTGACTGCGCTGCTTCATCCGTTGATCCTGACCTATCTCCCAGCCAGGAGGCAAACGATGCAAGTCGAAGGTTTTTCTTTGATCGCATGCAGCTCGTGACGGGCGACTGACTCTGCTCCACCGACTGTCCTCGAGTGACTCTTCAACACCTTCATCTCCAGTCATCAAGCCCGTTAACTAGATCGATCTGCCACCACTCTGCTTCCTCCCTGCTCATCCTCCCCAGCACGACCCCCCGCTGATGCTCCTCCCTGTGCGGCCCGTGAGAACCTCGCTCCGAACCGCTCGTCGAGCCCATCCCTCTGCGATCGCCCGCCGGCTCCATTTCCCAGCCAACTGCTGAAAATCCTGAAAAAGAAGCAATTATCCTCGTCGCCAATCCCTGCAGACGTTGAACGACCCGTCAAAGCTCCCCAGGAGATCGCCAAAACAGATATTCTCCCCGGCTCTGGCGTGATTCTCATAAGGCTGATTTCGCCGTCCTCGTCCTTCTGTAAGAGTTGCTGCATGCTCGCCAGTATTGCCCAAGCCCGTCTTTCCAGCGTCTCTGTCAACTCGTTCCTTGTCAAGGTATTCCTGATATATCAGTCTCCCGAAATTCGTCCATTGAACCCCCGTTTTTGAGTTCTCTGTTTCCATGGCCCAAGGTCTAACGCTTCCTCTACTTCCCAGATCTGAACAAGAATATGAACAACACGCAGATGAATGCCTCCGCTGCTTCGCCTGCCAGTTTTGCTCCCGAGTCGCCTCCGTCCGGTCGCTCGCTCGCAACTCGACTGCGCCGCCTGAGCCAGATTCGTACCCATCACTCGCACGCCTCCAACGCCCCCCATTCTCCCACTCAATCACGTTCGAATCGGTATAGCCTGACACGTGCGGTTGGCCTGGCTCTTTCCCCTCACTCCCCCGTCTTCGATTCCGCCCCCGATCACCTCTCGCACGACCTCCATCCCATTGTTGCAACGCAGTCTGCCCCGGAGCCGCGCCCCTCCCGCACCGTCAGGGTTGGCGCCCGGAGTGACCTCGCGATCAACCAGACCAGCGGATCGTCAAGCTCCTCTGAAGACCGCTCCGACGCTGCCTCCCACTCTTCCCGGTCCACTCCTGCGAACGAGCCAGAAATCGTATCGTCGGACACGATGCGGTTCCGGGCGTCTACTGATCCACCGGCGGCCCGGATACCGTCCTTGCCGCTAGAGGAGGAAGAGCTTGCTCTGGACCCGGAACAGTCTCCTCTTCCCGCTTCAGAGACTCACCCCGATGACTCTTCGCCGCAAGATCCCGCAAAGACCAGGCCACTGCCCACGATCCGCCTATTCCCCCATCATGCTCAATACTCGCGGCCCTCCCTACCATTCACGCCCATTACCCGTACCCTGCCCGAGGAGAATTCGATCATCAAGGTAGGCCGCTACTCGGAGCGCGATGGGGTCCCCGTTGCAAACCCGTCCAAGCCGTCAGCAGCGCCCGTGGGTTTCAAGTCAAAAGTCGTTAGCAGGAAACACTGTGAGTTTTCGTGCGTGAACGGTCAGTGGCATATCAAGGATGTCGGGAGCTCGTCCGGGACATTTCTCAACCACATGCGCTTGAGCCAACCCAAACACATCGTCCAGGTTATACGCGGTACGGGACGGTGATATTATACAGCTAGGTATTGATTTTCGAGGCGGAGAGGAAATGATTTTCAGATGCGTTCGAATTCGCATCGAGTGCAACCGGACATGGCAGCAGGGTCCGAACGAGTTCAAGTAAGCTGCAATTCGGCATTTGAAAAGCTGTTTCCCGCTTTACTGACTACATACAACAGTAAAAACACAGAGAGTCTCATTAATAACCTTGGGAAGGGTGCGGATGCCGACTACAAAGGTTGCAGGGAGTGCTCTATCTGCCTCAACTCGGTTCTGGTTTGTCTTGTCTTGTCTTGCTTTCTTTGGTGGCCAAAACTGACTGATCAACAGCGGCCTTACCAATGTCTTTTCATGGCGGCTTGTGCACATGTATGGCATTACAAATGCATCCGCAGATTGATCCATACCCCAGAATATCCCATGTTCCAATGTCCGAATTGCCGTGCCTATACAGATCTGAGTGCCGATGTAGACGATACGAATGACTTGGGCGACGAATCCCAGATGGAACCTGTACATTGTCGAGATCAGCCTGCTGCAAGTCAGCCTTGTGAACCTGTGCCCCTGGCTGTAAACCAGGAGCCGTCAGCCGAAATTAGCCAAACGAACGGCGACGGTCCTCCGCCCGCCGACCCTCCCCCTGAGGCTATACCGACTACACAATCGCACGATCCGCCACCCGTCTCTGATGAAGACGCAAATCAAGAGCCAGACGACTTTCTCTTGGGGAACCCGCGGAGCGAATCGATAGACGAGATCGCACGTAGTCCCAACATTGACATCCCGATTCGGGGATTGGCACGCACGATAGATGAGGCGACACAAAGTCGCCTGGCAACTTCAGCCAGTGGATCGCCTCTTGTCCGCGATAATTTTGAAGACTGTCCGTTGACGCCTAGAAACGATCTAGGCCCGCTAGCTCTAGATGGCCGCGCTGGACGATTATGATATTTTGTCTTTTTGGAGATATATGAAGAACTTGTTGCGCCCGTTTGTTCGTTCTCTTGAGTGCCTGCTTAGCGCTCTGGCGTATGGTATATAATACACTTTTTTTGGTATCTGGTGTGGCGTCGTGCCCGCTATTTCTTTCTCTTTGCGGTTTTGGCATCTGGGCACAGGCGGCGGCTTCATTCCCTCCACAGGCCGATGTTTTGGTATCGTTGGAATAAACTGTGCATCGGAGAACTCTCCATGGCAGCACTCGTATCGCCTAGTAGCTATCTATTTTGACCACATCACTTTGCCTAGGCTGTTTGTAGTGTGGGGAAGCTCTCCAGATGAAACCACGGCTTCAGCATCCGCTTCTCCACAGCGCATGGATCATCAAACCCGCGATGAAGTGTCAGCGGGTTAGCTGCTTGGAAGGATCCAAAGACGCAGAATCCGTAACTTGTTCGAATAATACCTTGCGAATAATCTCACAAAGTCACCTCCTCATCGCTGGACACCTTACATATCAGCATCAACATCCCCCCCTGCGAGAGCCTCGCGTGACCCGTACCTGAACACCTCGATTCCGAGTCCCCCGATTTGCTCTCTAGTTATCTCTCCGCGCGAGCTGCATGACGACGATGCGCTTGGAGCAGCAGTCGAGTTTCGGCAGCTCCACGATAAATGTCCAGCATCACCAGCGACGCGGGACTCATCCGTTTATGAACTCTCACAGATCAAAGCCTCGAAGGTACGTATCTAGACTGTACTGAATGTACATGGATCTTCTCTTCCTCCAATTCAACGATGGTCGAACCTTCTGGAGAGCTTCGTTTTCCGCCGGGCTAACGTTCAAAATGTCGTGCAACGTGCAGATGGCCGCTCGTCCTCCGCTTCATCAAAGGTGCCGTCCACAGCGCCATTCTAATCCCTCTCGTCTGCCACGCCTTGTTTACCGTCCTGGTTGTCTGTTTGGATAAATATGTCTATGATAGCTTGGGGTTACCGCCAACAATCGTGAGATAACAGCTTCTTTTTCGTCCTTTTCTTTTCTCCTCCGACAAAATGGGATACGAGGGAAAATCAAAAAAAAAGAATTCAGGACCGCGTTTCTTACGGGCTTTGTTTTTCGCTTTCTTTTACTCTAGATCCCGTCTCTCTCCATCGTCGTTGGTCTCATCCTCGTCTTCCGCAATCAAACCTCCTACAATCGCTTCTGGGACGGCCGCATCGCCCTGACCACGATCAACACCGCCGCTCGCAACCTAACGCGAAACATCCTCATCAATTCATGCAATCGGAACCGGCCCCTCACCGCCGCAGAAAAGCAGGACATCGAGCGCACCATCCGCGTCCTGATCGCGTTTCCGTACGCGGTCAAGAACTATCTACGCACCGAGTGGTCTGCGGGATGGTCGGTGCAGCCGTTCATCGGGCCCACCGACGATGTCAACGGGATTAATGGCGGTGGCTCCTCGAAGCAGGAGTATATAGATTTACTGCCTACGGGATTCGAGTGTCTTGAAGACGATGGGCTGTCCATTCCGCTGCAGTTGAGCTTCTTTGTCGAGGGCTTTATCAAGCGTGGTGTGGAGAGGGGCTGGTATGATCCGCCAGGCGCCAACTCGATGGGGAACCACGTCTCAACCCTCATCGATGCGTACGGGAAGATGGAGACCATCAAATTGACCCCTATCCCCATCGCTCATCTGTACGTCGTCTTTCCCACCCCTGACCCCTGTTCTGCGTTTTTTTCTAACGTCACCGGTAGTATTCATCAAAAGCAAGTTCTCGCGCTGTTTGGCTGCGTCCTTCCCTTCGCCATGGTGGATGATATGGGTTGGTGGGCGGTTCCCATCGTCAGCCTCGTCATCTTCACTCTTTACGGCATTGAAGGAATCGGGTCGCAGCTTGAAGACCCATTTGGGTATGATCGGAACGATATCAAGATGGATGCTATCGTGGAAGACGAAAAGACTGAGATCGAGGCCATTTTGAATGAGTGGAAGAGAGTCACGGAAGTTTCGGATGAAGCGGTCGAGGTTAATGGAGGAAGCGCTGATGTTGAAAATGGTGGTGCGTTTAGGAAGAGAGAGATGTTTATATTTGCGAGATGAATGGAACTGAGCAGCAAACCACATCACAAAGAGCTAAAAGGCCAGTGGCAACTCTTATTGAATAGCGAATGTTGCCAGACTTGAATACAAATCTATTCTCAACTTGGGGAAGAACTACTAATCTGCCCTACTAGATATTCGTCTTGCAACCTTTTGCTGAGGAAATCGACAGCTGGATTCCCCGCAGAGACATACCTTATCCAACCGCTCCCAATAGTGATCAGAGTAATCCACCGTGATTTCATGCCCGGCCAGTATGCCCCGGGAGACCACGATAATATGCTCTCTGCCGCGCCAGAAAAATTTCTGAAACTGGCTGTTTGGGTGGCAAGAATGGTTGATGAAGCGAGTAAAGTTGCCTGTGAGCGCGGTTAGTAGGCATATTTTATTCCCTTCGAGACGTACTTACCCATCTGCCCCTGAAATATTTGATACCCCCGGGTCTTTGAACCGCCCGCCATTACATCTAGGCCCTCAATCCCATTCGTTATGAGCCCGACAAACTCCGCTATTGCAGCTCCCCGCTCATGATCCTAGAGCCAGTCAGCATCCCCGAAGTATGTGTGATACGGTACTTGGAAGCTGGCATACACAGCGAGCAACGACACCGTTATTCTTGCCATTTGTAGTGTGAAAGATCTGGATGGGGACTGGCTTTCGAGGAGCCCCGAACAATGCAGGGAAACAAGCACATCGATTAAGTGTCGTATCGTCGGACTGAAGCTGTCCGCAGACTTGACAAGTATTTGGGTCAATGCCAGGTGTATATCGTGGATCGCTATCACCAAAAAGGCCGCGATCAATAATAGACTCGTCGATGAACTTGAACAAAACTTCTGCTTGGATGTGACGATAGGTTAAGGATATATGCTGAACCGATCTATTCGGCATGATAACCCACTCATGTGGATGTCCATTGTAGAGAGTCGCAGATTCTTGGCCGATAACGTTGAGCAGCTCTCGCCATTGTGGATGTAGGGTGTCTGCGGCAAGTTCAACTGCCGGTCTCAGCTGTTGTAATCTCGAAGCTAGACCATCGTCTCTTCGTGTTCGATATTTGCAGAAGCGATATACGCCAGAGCTAGCAAAGACGAGACTGGCCCAGCCACCAGCATCTTTGATCTCCTTGTAACCCCTCCAAATGGCCCTGCTCCTCTGTTATTGAAAGCTACCTTCAAAAGGTTGTATATATATGGTGTGTGCGAGAGAGGGATTGGCATCATGTATCAAAAATGGTTTTTAGGCTCACATTTTATTTCGGAGTTCTTTCTCTCCCCATCCGAGGGCGGAGCAAGCCTCTTTCAGAGCAGTTATTCGGGTTTCCGAGGCAGAGCTAGTTGGCCTCTCTAGGCGGATAGACTTTAAGCGGGCTTCATAACAATCAATCCAGTAAGCCTGTACGATCATCTCTAGGGCGCGAGCCGTCTGAGTCTTGTTGGATTGTCGAAGACAGAGGTTGCTGACGGCCTTGAACAGCTGAAGATATAATTTAGTTGCACAGCCGGTGCAATCTTAGTTGCTGGGTCACCCACCTTCGCAGTAGCCTCACCGCTGACACCAACTGCTGCATGTGTGGCCTGAGATGCGAGTTAGACGCTCTCTCCGCCCGAGAAAATGACATGTTGCATGTATCATACCAATGCAGACCAATTCAACTCCGTGTTTGAATGGAGTTGCCGCCATATCCCGGAGATGAGCTTGTCGACGGACGACGGCTCGCCTGTCGCGCGAGAAGCCTGCTTCGAGTGACTCCGCTGGGGGAACCTCGTTTCGCTCAGCAGCTGGCGAACTGGCTCCGTTTGAAAGTTTGAATATGAGCTTGAATCATGACCATTTTCTCGGGAATAGGAAGTTCGAGGTCGAAGTCGAAGGCCACCGACAACCTTGCGGCGTTTTCGGCCCTCATACTCGTCTCTTTGCGTGGGATGACTTGGCTCAGCCGGTTTAGAAGTGTCACAGTGTAGCACGGTGTTTGGTCTATTTTCATGGCTTCTGGTGTGTGCTAAGTCCTGTACGTAGCTGTCAACAGATACATGAGTTGTACAGGGCCAGTTACTCCGTGGTATGATGGAGTGGTAAATAAAGCCGCCGTACCTGATCTTCAAGCTCAGGGCCGGGAGATGGCTCAGGAGTGACCAGAGTCTGACCGTTTCGAAGGTCAATCCAGCCCTGTAATACCTTGTCAGTAAGACTGATGGGGATACACCGGTAGAAGAGAGGTGGCTTGTCTTCCTTACCAGAATTAGGGGTTTCTGGTCGTCGTTGGCCTCGGACGTTTTGGAGAAACAGACGTGAGCATCCAGGCGAAGAAAACAACTCCTTTCACTATGCTCAGCAGCAGCTATGGCAGACTCCAGCTGGGTCGAATCAGTGCCAAAAATATTACACAGCTGCGATATCAGGGGATATCGCTCTAGGGGTTTTTGCATTGCCATGTCCAGGCATTTCAGAGCGGGAGCCAACCCAATAGAAGCATCAAGTAGATAACGAAAGGACTAACCACAAAAGGCGTCAGTCAAACGGAGGAAAATGGGTTCAAATCCATTAAACTGCTCTGCATTGCAGTCTTTGTATAACTAGATGCCAGGACGGCGTTAGGGAGTAGGTTGGTGGCGCATAAACATTTCTGCCCGGGCAGAAGCTGAGTCATGATGGTTGTCACTCTGTAGATCCGCCGATGGATCCAACATCAATCCTTGCGAGAAGTCAACCGTGGCATTCACGATGGGTGCGATTTACAGAGTACGGTGGCTAGCACGGCCGGTGCTTTGGTCATTGTCGTGGTTTGATGGCTGCCCCTGGGAAGAGCAGACGGCCTATACTTCCCCCGTATCGACTTTGAAAGCACTGTTCAAAGTCTTTATTTTACTTGATTTCTTTTGGTTCTTCTCAGGGGCGTCCCGCCGGGATACGGGGCCTCCACAGAGCACATTGCCGCTGCGAACAGGATGATCCTCCCATGGCTTTCCGAGAGGCTATTACTATTCTATAAATTCGCGCCTTCTTGCCTTTGAAGAGATCTCAGCGTTGACCTACATCCTCGCTGCATTTCACTGCGATAGAGTGACAGTTCGTCATGTCCTCCCTTTCCACCACAGCTACCGGGGCGGACTCCCCTCCCCCCTTGACTCGCGAGGGAACTAGAGATGCATACACCTATGAGAATCTTCGGGGATGGAGACGGTACCGCATCCTCAGGCCGGGCTGGGGAATATACCACGATATCCGAAGGCGGCTGCCCTATTACAAAAGCGATATCGTCGATGGCTTCACGTATAGGACTATTGCGAGTACTGTTCGGATGTACTTTGTGAAGTATGCTTCGACACCAGAGTAGATCTAACCTTGAAGTTGACTTCCGCTTCCTAGCTTGCTTCCCGCTATAGCCTACACCTTGGACATGTACCGCCGGACAGGCGAGTTCTTCGGCATCAATGAAGCTCTCTTTTCCTCTGCTCTTGCCGCAGTCGTTTTCAGCTTGCTGAGTGCTCAGCCACTCACTGTGGTTGGCATAACCGGTCTCATCTCGCTATTTAATTTTACTATTTACGACATCATCAAGATATATGATGTCTCTATATACCCCCAGTTTATATGCTGGACGGGGATCTGGGCTGCAATCTTCCACTGGCTTGTTGCAATCTGGAATTGGTGCGACTACATGCGCTATGTGACGGATTTTTCTAGCGAGGCCTTTGGGATGTACGTTGGTATTATCTATCTAAGTATGTCAACCCTGATGCCAACCGTCCTTCCAATGCCACTGGATTGACTCGCTGCTAGTCAAGGGAGTCGAGGAACTTGTGTCCGAGTTTGCTTCACATGGGCTCGCCGCTGGGTACCTAAGCTGTTTGATTGGGGTTTTGTATTTCGCTAGCATCTACGCCCTTGAGAAGCTTGGTGCAAGCACTGTCTTGAACCCGATTGTGCGCGGACTACTGGCCGATTACTCTTACCCTGTGAGTAGCTGGACTCATACTTTACGCCCACTTTCCTAGCAAGCAAAGTGCTGATTCATGGTCTGTTTGATGGAGATCGGTACTGTGTTTTGGGTTGGCTTCTCGCATATCCCAGGACGTCTTGAAGCAGCAGATATTGGCCGAGTGCCAACTACCAGAGCCTTTCATCCCACCCAGCCCCGTAACTGGCTTATTGATTTTTGGAATTTGGACACCAAATGGATTTTCGTGGCCATACCGTTTGGCTTTCTGACAATGCTTCTCTTCTACTATGACCACGTAGGCGCTCCTTTCACCGATGACAGCGGAAACGGTTGTTATTAACGGCAGCAAAGAATGTCAGCAGTTTGACTGCGCAGGCGAGACAGTTCCCTCTGAAAAAGCCCGGCGGGTTTCACTGGGACTTTTTCCTTCTTGGCTGCACCACCTTCGTGGCCGGAATTTTAGGCCTACCAATGCCCAACGGACTCGTCCCACAGGTTAGGAACTCCCATCTACTTTGGGGCCCATCACATGTCTAAGTATCCTAGGCTCCCGTACACACCGATTCTCTTACTATTTACGAAACTGAACTGAAAATAATTCCCACGGCAGAGGGAGAAGGAACAGACATCAGGAGACCGGTTGTCAGGGCAAAGGCCGTAGTTGAGCAGCGCCTTTCTCATTTCTTCATGGCCCTCTTACTTATTGGAACGATGACCGGACCGCTACTAATCGTGCTACATACTATGCCTGTAGCGGTCTTTGCAGGTGTATTCTTCATTGTTGGGGTAGGGCCCCATCTCTTCAATCCGTACTTCTATATATGGCTGACCAGAGCACCAGTGGGGATCTATCGAGTCAAACGGAATCTTGCAAAAGGTTATCTTCCTCTTCCGCGAGGACAGGTTCATTCACCGTGATGAGCCACTCCTCTTGATACGCAAAAGCAAAGTCATGCTGTACATTGGACTGCAGATGTTTGGTGTCGCGTGCACTGTGGCTATTTCCCACACAATTGCGGCTATCGGTATGACTCCTGCTTTGGCAACGTCCCGCATATCCTACATTCCAGACGCTTATCCCTCGCTGCAGGTTTCCCTGTTCTCATCTGTCTTCTCATACCCGTGCGTGTTTGGCTGCTTCCAAGATGGTTCTATAATAAAGAACTTGAGATCATGGATGACCTAACAGCCAATAACAAAGTCGTCCTGGCCAGCCTTGGTGGAGCTCCAACCCTCCCAGAGGGCCAAAGACCTGAAGACTACGGACTGGAACGCAAGTACTCGGAAGGAAGGCATGGTGTTCCAAGGCAGCGTGCTGGAAGCTTTCATCGCTGATGCTGATGCTTGCTTCACGCATCATCGTGGCTTTATCATGACAGTTGGCAGTCTAATAGTTGCCGGATCTTCAAAAATTGATAAAAGAGAGGTACTGGGTCAGTACATATGATTTTAGCTGAACGAGCATATTATACGACCTGCTTATTCAAACGAAGTTTGCGCTTGAAATATAGTGTCTGAATGATTTGCGGTTATCCTGGGTTTATTTTGATCTAGGAAATAACAAACAAGGCTTGCATATGCATATTGTAGCCCCCCCCAATCGGGATCGCTGCAAGACGATGGGTTCTAGTCGGACGACAACATCATTACGAGATTTTGAGAAATTTTTGGAGATTCGCTGACAATGAACGGTTATTCGTTGAGCATGGAGGTGACATAAAAATTGCTGCAACTCCATACATAGTCACATCCCAGCCTCTCCTGGGTTCGTAAAATCATCAAACAAAGCCCATTGCCCAAAACCGCCGTGGAAGCCTTTCCCATATCCCTTATCCTCGCATTCCCAGAAGCTACCCTCGTCCCTCATCACAACCCCATCCGTTGCCCAGAATCAATCGAGAAATTCGACTTCGCGCGGTTTCTTATTCTTCGCCATTTCACGCCACATCTTACACATTCTCAGACTTGGCATGACGCGAGGTGTAAAAATCCTACAAATGTCGAAATATGCCTGAGTCAAAGTGAAGAGACTAAAGATGACGGCGAGGATGGCAGTGGCCCTCATTTTCGGAGATGTTTTCGAACGAATATAACTTGACAATCTCGTTTTGGGTTTTCTTCTGAACGAAATGCGGCTCGGATACGGTGGTCAAAGGGCTCAATAAGGATATCTGATTCTTGAGGGCCAGAGAAGAGTGCATAAGCTGTAACTGATACCTATTCAGGAGAGATTCGAGGCCTTCTTATAGGGATGCGGAGGTAGAAGACTGGAGCACATTCGGAGAAATACGCTCTTCAGGAACTATCCCCGGATGAGCATCGTCGTTCGGCATCGGCAGATACCAGGAATAGGAGTTACACGCCATACAACGGCTCTTACAAGAACAGAAGCACCGTGGGACCGGGGCTGACACGAATTCTTCCGCTGCCAATCCAAGGATAAATTATGCATTGTTGTTGCTATCAATTCTCAAACAACTGGTAGGACAAGAGGAAAATTGAAGGAGTGTAGCCAGCATTGGAAACTTCCAAAATATCTGTGTTTCAAAATTAATAGTGCTGCTGGAAACGGGCCTGGTTGATTGCTCGAAAATTCATTTGCATGAGCCCAGTTTAGATAATCGTGTTCAAGTAGAATGTTGGCCTTCAGGAATCATGGTAAAAATGGGTTCGAAGTTGCTCAAAAGAAATATCCAAAGTTCACCTTTGCCGCGATGCGCGAAAGGAGATGGACAATCAATCCACACACAACTATAGGACCTCCTATCTTCGAACCTTCAGTCGTTCCACTCTACTGGGTTGTTTGGGACGACCCTTGGGTTGTTGGGCACAAACCCTCTTCGACCTTCTTGGGGCCGTTGCTGGCAAACTAACTTTCCGCACCCTTTTGTTGCGCTTATCAACCACGATTGCTGCCTCTTTCTCCTGGGCCACAGCCGGCGTTACTTTGTTTTCGGTCAATGTCACAGTTCTTGCGCTGTCGTCCGGTCTTGATTGGGTGTTGCAACTTCGAGGCACACGACAATGGATTGCTGGCGCGGTTTCTGGCTCAATTCCCCTTGAGTTTTTTAGGAATCTGGCCTCCAGTTTCGATTGCCAGGGTATGATGGTAGCGGCAGCCTTTTCCTTTCGCTTCGCAATAACTAACTCGCGCAGCCTAGATATGCGAAGCTCCTCTTCTAAATCTTTCTTCATTCTCAAAATACTATCGGTAATCCAGTTTTCTGAAAACTCGAAACGTTTTCCTTCCCATGTTCGGGGACCATGCTCCGTCCAGAAAGCATGAGCAAGTGCGATGTTTTCTGGGCTTCGGGGATACAGGGCACCAAGTTGGGCGTTCCACAGATGGTCAAGGAGGTAATACAATCGAAGGAGATAATAAAATTTGGGAATTGAAGCTCCGGTAATCCCTTCAGGGAGTTCGCGCTGGATAGGGATATACGGAATCTAGGGGATGGCTGATGTTAACATTGAGATGAGAGCATATGTGCGATACCCTTACCACAAATAACGGCTTGCCATTGCCATCATACGCCGGTTTCGCCATTTGACCTCCCGAGTTTTGCGATGAGTAGAACTAGTTTTTGCCGCCTTTGATAATCTGTATTTTCCGTAAACGTACAAATTCGAGGCACCAAGCGTGTATTAACGGACTTATGACACCTTTGTGAGAAGTATCTCTATCTGAGCGATTCTTTATATCCGGTGATAATGTCAATAGACCAAGGAAAATGATTGATGTCAGAGACTGGAAAAAGCCTGGTATTTTGCCCATCTGCTGGGGGAAGGAGAGAGGAGTTTCAAGGAATCCACGACCAAAGAGCTATTAGAGCCTCTCCTGCCATCCCAGAATTGGCCGGATAGGACCAAGTTCGATGGCTAGACTTCCCAACGGTTCCGGTGAGGAATCCCTAGGTACCTAGGGGTCCGCTGGCCATTTTGATGATGTAATCGGCATGTAGTAGAGATATTGACCGGCTCACAGTGTTACTGCAGAAAGAACACTTCCGTTATAGAGGTGCCTCAACCTGTTCTAGCACTTCTTCAATGATGACATCTGGGGTTAAGTCAGCTAAAGCAGATTTTACTGCCTGCAGACTGCTGCCATAAAGAAGACTGCGATCGTCAGCCGGATGAGCAACGATGACGCGATGCCTATACGCCTTTTTGGCGGCGATAGCGACTAATGAAGGAACTAAAAAGTCCAATCGTTGAAACGGTGCCAAAACATCTACGACTTGGGTAAGAATGAGCAAGATGCGGCGGAGTACAAACATACCTCGCCAATAGCTGAAAATGATGCGTCGCCTTGGCTGATATACCGCTGGCAACTCCACGATGTAGTCTAAGAAATGAAACGAAGTTGTGTAAATAGCAATTGACATCGGCGGACACGGCTACGCTCTTGCTTAGGTGCTGGAGTAGTTGGATGTCCTAAACATAGTGAGTTACTGAGTATCAGTGTTCTGAGGTCATTGTACCTCTTCAAAGATAAGACGAGGTCGATATAAAGCTGGTAGCGTATTTGGAGAGGGTCGAACCACTGATGTAAAGGAGTTGGCGTCGTCAGATATCCAGCCAGATTCATCTTCAAGGTTCGTAAACCCATCCGCTCTATCGTGAAAATGAGAGAGGAAAATGTGGTCATTCTGTGAGCATATTAGTCACTTTTTTCTTCTCCCAACGTACCCGCCGGGCTGTTTGTACCAAATGCTTATTCAGTAGCGTGGGTAGAGGCTTCTGGTCGGAAGCAAGCAGAGGAAGGAAAAGAAACGTTTTGGGAGTGCTATGAACAGCAGTTCTAGTAAAGATACGTTTGGAGCGTATAAGCTACATATAGCCATCGTCAACGCCGCCGGGATAGACCAGTTGCCTGCTCTAACTTACCTCCAAGGCCTGAATTTGAACCTCTTCAGGGGTTTGGTCAAAATTCTTCGCAATAATAATATTGACAACCTTCCTATCGTCTAAATGGGTCTGTCTGAGCCGCGACTTGGCATTTTCCCTTGACGTTATATCGCCATAGGAGATGGGCTCGGGATACTAAGCTCTGTCAGGCACAAAACAACGGCTTTGGCTATACAGCTAAGACCATAGGGAGCAAAACATAGCGAGCTCTAGGCATAAATTAGCTGCCAGCCAAGTCGACATACACTATCTGCATCTGTGCTTGATTGCGAAAATCGAGACCGTCGGCCTCCGTTTTGATCGGGAGTCAAAATCGCGTTGCTGAATTCCTCCAAGGATATATGAGGCGAGCAATCTAGAACCACATTCGATAGCCCAAAAGTGCCGCCAGCAATCTAAAGGCGAATTAGCGGACAGATAAGCACAGAGGTTGTTTTAACTATCGCACCAGACTCAACTCGCGGCTTAGATCATCGATGGTCTGCGAGTCCGTGTCGATAATGCCATGTTCTTGGGCAACAAGGCACAGCAAGATGGCGACTTCAAGGTCGGATAAATCTTCCAGTTTATCAAATAACTCATTATAGTCCACCATTGCCATTATCCAAAAGTTCGCACTCTAACCAAACGGAATAATAAAGCTGATGGACGAGGGATTCGTTTCTTCTCCGTCGGCGAAAGGGGAGGGCGGTGTTTGCCTTGTTTGCACTTGACTGACTAGTTAGGTAATCCGAGACGACCGCCCTTAGACAAGCTGCGAGGCATCGACATTATTGAGACCAGGTGTGCTGATAGACAGCTGCTTCTTGTGGGCTTTTGGCATGTCCAGTCTTTGAGAATTGTCACGCGTCTGCGGTGAAGACCGGGATCTGGACTTCCATGGTTTTCAATGGCTCCTGCAAACCCCCGTGCCGACTGGGAAAAGGTTGGCGATCAGCTTTACCAGAAAGTCCGAATATATGATGCTGTTTTCGATGAAGATCTAGAATTGGAAAATTATATCGCCGTTGGGGCACCTTATGGCGGCGCAATAGGTTGAGCCAACCCCATTATATCCTTGAATTCAGCTAATGCTCTATCGATCAGCGCTCTATCGTGATGAAACAAAACTCCAGAGATATCGAGATCCGCAGACAGCCAAGTCGAGTATAGATATTTACTCGTACTCTGGACAGCGGATAAGTCGTATTAATGTGCGTTTATCATGGACTTTTCTTTTTGGATCACGAATTGATTTCTGTGGCATTTAGTGGGATCATGGATCTATTCGGGGACTCGGCTGGTCCGAAGATGAGAAGCTCCTCGTAGTGACTGAAGATGGCACGGCAAGGTGCTATTACGGCCTAAATGGAGACTTTTCACCTTTCTCTCTAGGAAGTGTATGACCCCCCATTCTGTTTTATTGGACTATGCTAACACGACTCAAGGCTGCGGAAGAGCATGGAGTCAAGGATTGTCGTTTCTGGCCCACTGGATTCGTGGCTCTTCTATATAATAATCAATTTATTTCGGTAACCAGATATGACGAGCCACGGCCCAAGTTACTTGCCTCTCCACCAGAGGGAGAGATTCACTCATGGTCTTTAATACCGCCTAGCTATACGCTCTCGAGATCTGTGGAGGTTCTTCTTGCGATCGAACGGACTATCTATGTAGTCGACGCTACCGATGCCGAAGATCGCGTATTGCAGAATGGCCCTTTCAAACATATTAGCGTTTCACCCAATGGTCGTTTTGTCGCCTTGTTCACACAGGATGGAAAGTTATGGGTCGTGAGTAGCGACTTTCAGAACAAATTTAGCGAATACGATTCCCGCGCAAAAACTCCTCCCAAAGGAGTAACGTGGTGTGGGAATGATTCGGTAATTCTCTCTTGGGAAGACGAGGTCCACAACGTTGGCCCCAATGGGGTTTCAACCAGGTACTTGTCACTGATTTAACTTGAAATAGCAACAAGCTAACATTCTTCCTTGAAGATACTTCTATGATGATCATGTCCATGTTATACCCGACCTTGATGGAGTAAGGTTATTTACTAATGAAACCCTGTGAGTTTTTGCAGAAAGTACCCAGGTAACATTCCATACACCTCCTGCGTAGGTGAAACCGGGCTAATAGAGGAATAGATGTGACGGAAGAAGTATTTATGCTAGGCTCGAGCTCGCCGGCTGCTGTCTTGCTCGATGCAGTGGAACAACTTGAAAAGAAGTCTCCAGCAGCGAATGAAAATGTTCAACGTATTCGACCGAGCCTTGTCGAGGCGGTAGATACCTGCGTAAGGGCGGCAGGGCATGAGTTCAATCCACACTGGCAGAAGCAGTTACTCAAAGCTGCCTCATTTGGCAAATCGATACTTGAACTGTATAATAGCGACGACTTTGTGGATATGTGCGAGAAACTCCGCGTGCTCAACGCAGTCCGGGATTACCGGGTCGGGCTTCCTATTTCATATGAGCAATATCTCCGGCTTACACCCGAGAAATTGAATGAACGCTTAATTAATCGACATGAATACCTCCTTGCCATTCGCGTGTCTGAATATCTCCGATTGCCCGCTGACAAAATTTATGTCCATTGGGCGAGCCAGAAGGTCAAGGTATCTAGCGAGGATGATGAAGCGATTTGTCATTTGATAGTTCAGAAGCTTCATGGAAAGCACGGAATCTCCTTTGAAACCATTGCTCGAGCCGCTTATGATGAAGGTCGCGCTCATTTGGCAACGCAACTTCTAAATTTTGAGCCTCGCGCAGGAAAGCAGGTGCCGTTACTGTTGAGTATGGAAGAGGATACAGTCGCCTTGGACAAAGCCATTGAAAGTGGCGATACCGACTTGATCTTCTTTGTTTTGCTCCAGCTGAAGAGGAAGCTTCCATTAGCAGCCTTTTTCCGAACTATAAATACCCGACCGGTAGCTTCGGCGTTAGTTGAGGCGTCCGCTTGGGACCAAGACGTCGAATTGCTCAAAGACCTGTTTTACCAAGATGATAGGCCTATCGATGGATCAAATTTACTCTTTAGGGAAGCCTTGAAGCAACCTGATTTGCAGGGAAAGGTGGATAAAATGCGTGTTGCTTCTCGTTTGCTCTCTGATTCCAAGGATGCAACTGCTCAAGCTCACCTTAAAGCAATGGCTGAAGCATCCCAGCTCTTGAAAATCCAGGAAGCTCTAGACAAAGACCTCTCCGAAAACACCAATTTTGCAGGATCAAGTGTGAACGAAACTATATACAGATTGATCCGATCTGGTTACGGAAAACGCGCCAACAAGATCCAGAGCGAATTTAAGATACCGGAGAAAACATATTGGTGGCTGCGATTGCGAGGATTGGTTGCAAAGCGTGACTGGGGGGAGCTTGAAGAAATAGGCAAAGCAAAAAAGTCGCCTATTGGATGGGAGGTAAGCAAGTCACTCTACCCTGTGAAAATAAAATTGGTACCCCTTTTATTTTTTGAATGGACGAAAGCTTAGATATCATAGCCTTTCTACAACGAAATTCTTGGGGCTGGAAACACGAAGCTTGCCTCCACATTTATCCCCAAATGCACCACTTTGGCGGTGACTCAGAGGATCGAAATGTGGACCAATTGCGGGATGGTGACCAAAGCGGGAGAGGAAGCCCTCAAGGCAAAAAACATTAGTAGCCTCGAAGGGCTTAGAGCTCGCGCTTCCGGCAGCGCTGTGGCGGAAATCGACCGCATGATTCTTCAACTTCGACCTAAAAAATAGGATCTGTCGTGAGGATATACGTTCAAGCCGTGTTGTTGGAATTTAGGTAATCTCGCCGTCAATTTCATGGTCAAACATCTCTGTTTGCGTGGGCTGGGCCGACGGCGCCGGAAGGACCGAAGACGGTGGTGGTCCGGGTTGTTTAGATTGTTTGGGCCGTGCTTCTTTGTCATCGGTGTCCATAGCATCAACTTGGTCTTCTAAGATTTTATACGCATTCTTGCCGCGTTTATTCAGGTCATCCCACGTGGACTAATTCCTATTAGCACCACCGAAAACCCCTTCCCGGTGTGTGGTCAGGTGTCATCCTTACTTTTCGAGCCTTGACGACCTTCCCTTTGTGCACGCTTTTGGCAAGCTTCTTCTCAGTCTTATCCATCACGACCTCGGCTCGTTCCAGTCCCTTTTCCTGTCGTAATCGCTGCGAACGAGTCTGACGTTTTTGCTTCTTTTTCGATACCGCGGAATCATGCTGTGCGTTGAGGACAGAAGATCTGGTTACGGCGGTTCGCTCCGCACGGGGGAGTGATGTTACGGATTTGTCCACATCGAGACCTGGCGAAGCCTCGCGCCGCGCCGAACGCGATCGTACGGATTTCGCTGGGTAGATGTTAGCGGAGTACATCAAGCTGTACACGGCTCTGGACTCACCACTGCTAGATTTTAACCTCGGCGTCTTCATTGTTTGCTCTTGTTTTCGGCTCGGGCGATGTTTTCTTCTTCTCCCTCCACCGGTTGAATGTCCATCCAAAAGGCAGTTTTTTTGATAAGATTTGACAAGTCAGCATGTGGGGACCAGATTATGTAATTAGCACATTAGTCAGTAATTATACTTCGCCAAGAGTGTGGCCTAATTTAAGCTCGTGGGCGCTAAGCTCAGATAGGCTTGGCTCGCTTTTAACAACAAAACGGAAGATTCAGCCTTCATGCTTCCATAGACATCAGGCCCTAACCATCGGCAACAATGTTCCCAGTTAAAACCGCGGCTCGGATTGCCTTTGCCAGCATTTTCGCCTGGATAGGTATTTTCCCATCGGTAACAGAATATGAGAGTCTCTACACATGCTCATATTGATAGTTCTGGCGCTCGTTTATGCCGGCTTACCTTCGCCGCCGCCGAGGGACAATGGCACCGATTATCCCACCAAAGTGCTGCGCTCTGGGAAGACATTAACTAGGATATATAAGTAAGTTGAAGGGGAGGATGGGCTTTACTTCTCTACATAAAGACGGGACAGGAAGCTTATATATTATTCAGAACCGACATCTACTTCCCATTCGGCGAGTCGGGGCACGAAGCCATCGACAAAGCCCATATCACCAAAGAATCCAACTTTGCCCTATCCTTCACCCTTACTCCTACCTCCTCTATCACAAAGAGTGAAGCTCTCAGCATCACAATCTCTGATAAATCTCCAATCCCTCTGAATCCGCCGGGCAATAGCCATCAAAACGGCGGACACAAGACAAAGGACGGACCACCCGCGACGAGCCCCGAAACCCTATCAAAACCGTTCACAGTCCGATCCCCGGCCGGTGACAAAGACGGAATCAACCTGCCATGGTTTGAAGAAGCGGACGCAGTCCTACTCGGTGCATCAGTGAGCAGCGGACGGATGTACATCACCCTTCGCACCCGGTGGAATGAGAACGGGCAGTTTGAAATCCACACAGACGGACCAGGCTGGGTATGTATCCCCATTCCTTCGTGAAAAAGGCGAGCGCATCATCCGGTTCGCTATTAGTTCACTGACAGATAGCAGTCGGACGACCAACCCCCCGACTACAAACCACCACTCTTGACGATCTCCTTCACTCCGTCGCTCTCCGCTAGCGCTCCGGAACCCCCGTACTCAACCTCACCGACTTCCACCTATCCAATTCGACAATACATCCTTTCCGTCCTCGCTGTGACCTTCTTCGTCCCCATGACGTTACAGACGGTTACCTCTCTCACTTTCGGCGTCATCTTCAGCATCATCGGATTTTTATTCACCAGTCTGCTGTGGGGAATTCTGCTCACACTCGTTGTGCTTGCAATGATATGGCTCTACCGGGGAAAACCAGATATGGGTGAGTTTGTCTCTGACATGAGACACGACATTGAACCGACGATGAATACTCTGCGGACAAACTGGGTGGATTGGCGAGCCCAGCGCCGGCGCCAGCTCGAAGAAATGCTCCCAGTGAGAGAGGCGCAGGTACAAAATCATCCTGGTCGAGATAAGGCAGGGTGAAGAATCATGGTCCTGCTCCCTTAAATATTACATGATATGGGCGAATTTATACCCACGACCCTACGATTATTTCACGTCTCGATTGACAGTACGACTTGGAAAAGCACAAGCAAACATTATAGGTAATAAATGCTCACTTCTCAATAAACATGATCGATGCGAAAATGACATCGTCGCCCCCTTCTGCGCGAGATGCGAATACTTTTACCCCATTCGAGCATCGATAATCTCCCACGTCCAGAGCTGCCGCGAAATGTCTTTCCACAGATCAATCAGCATAGTGGTAACATCGGCCGCGCGCGTCTCTAGACTCATTTTAGAGGCCGTAGTGAGTCCGGCTTCTCTAATTCCGTACAGAAGGTGTCCGAAATCCTCCCCTAGTTGGATGGAGTCTGTAAGCCCTTCACATCGATCACATTCCGATTTCGGATGGAGATGGTGATAATGGAATTCCCTCAATACATAAGATTCATCGGCCGTGACCGCAAGAAGGCCAAAGATAGCACAAATGAGCTCTAACTGAGCGTCTGTCGTCAACGCTATTATCGCCAGGACTATCATTCTTACCCTGGCCGCCAAAGAAGTTGGTATATCTGGCAGGTAATCCTTTTGGCCAGGGTCATGGCGACTGTTTATTGGAGAGAAATCGTTCGCAGAGATTCTCTCCAATGCGTGATACAATCGCATGGAGCCCAATATGCCGCCCGGAATTTCGGCGAAAAAGTGTTTCAGTACGGTAGAAATGACGTGCATATAATCATTACTGCCACGCCCGTGTGCGTTTATCTGCTCCAGGGGAAGATCTGTTGGCCTCATCGTCTTGCTTATCTTTTCCTTGAGTTTTTCCGCCCCCAATACTTGGCCAGCAAAATAGCTATATAGAGCATTAACTTGCTCATGATTCCCCATCTCGCGATGTATAAAAGGAGTAGCGGTACCTACATCTCAGTTACTGATATATACATTTAATTTCGGGGCGTATATGAGCCTATTTACCATAGTTAACCAATGCGCTAATGGGCGCGGCGATACAAGTTGGAAGCCTTAACGTTCCAGGGAAATAGCGAGGAGGAAGTTTCGATAATATGCTCTCCCCTCCAAGTCGGGACAAATCTTCCAACCTTTTACCTGTCAAGGAGCCGACCTGATATTGTGTAACAAGGGTTGCCAACGTCTTCATACGTCGCAACTTTCCTCTGATGCTGTATTTTTTCCCCATTGTCAAACTAGATTTCGCGGTTCGGATCCGATGCAATAAAGATCCTGTGTGGTTTGTAGTTGGAATAACTATACAAGGCAGCTGGTCAGAAGCGTCGCCATGACGAAAAAGGGGGGTCGACATACCGAAAACTTCCGGATCGCCCCTGGGGGGTGCAAGCGCTTCCAAAGAGAAATAGGGAGCTGAAGTATTGAATGCAAGGAAAGCCCTAGACCTTGCGAATTCACGGCGAGCGATGTTTGTGCCTTCCAGAATCCTGCGCGAGGCTCCGTAAGAGGAGTTGCTCGCCTGCCTTGAGTTTATCACGGTGGCTGGCAGCTGAACGTCATTCGAATCTACAGGAGTGGTAAACTGTTCAAAGCTTCGTTTCTCGGTGGCATCGTCATGGTTAGTCGTGTTTTGCAAAGTCCGGGACTGCGATGATATCTTTGAGCATTCCGTGATCGCATGAGCGTCAGAAAACGGGTCTGTCGCCGTTTCAGAGAGCACCGTATCCAACGCAACGATTGGACTCTGACATCGCTTCGACGGATCGTGGCAAACGGTGATGTCCGACTTTTCAGAAAAAGTAGTTTGGTTGCTTGTATTTCTCGGTGTTGGGATGCTCTCGTTATTTGCCTCATGCAGAATGGCCTCTGCTTTTGGAGATAGCCTGAGCTTTTTAGCGGGCACTAAGCCATGTAATTTGGGAGTCTGGGAGTCCGCTCGATCAGGATCCAACCATTCGCGTTGATTGTTAAGAGGCGTCGATTGTTTTGCATAGCTGCTGGGACCGTCGGACACGATAGTTGAGCCACTGTACTTAGAGGTTTCCTTTTCAAGTGCACTTGTTTCAGAGGCACCACTGCTTTGCCGCGAGCGTTGAACTAATAATTGGTCTGCAACATCTAGGTCCAGCAACTCCGGAGACTGGGGTCCGAGTTTCGTCTTCTCAGCTAGATCTATCGTCACCGGTACGGTAGCGGTGGCAGACTCGGACTCCGATTTCAGTGGGATAAGAGCCGGATTCCCGTACGCCCTCCTACGAAGTTGCGACAGGTACTGGCGAGCCTGAGTTAGCATCATTTTCTGGCCTATGGGTCTGAGTCGTCGGTTTGGAGGCCTTCGCTGTGAATTCGAGTCGAAAGGAACACAGCTCAAAAGTACAAGAAGAATTGCTTCAAAGGAAATGACGAACGGCGCCGGACACGGTGCTTCGGCAAGGGCATTCTTATCATCATGCTGGGAAAGAGCTGATCTCTCCCTAAGGGCAGTGTCGCTTTAGGCTAATAGCTGGTGAATGCAATGAAGTAGTACTTCGAAGTTTACTTAGTTTGGTCAGCCTGCCTCTGTATTATTAGCTATAATCTCTTAGACAAAATATAAACAAGCGAAGAGAATTCAATAGAAACACGAAAGCGAAGCAGAGAAATGAATTCCAAGAGGAACGGGAGAGTCAATTGCTGTAAAATAGACATCAGAGCGGTATCATCCTGATGTCTTCTATGCTCTGCACGAAGAGAGAGCCTGTCGTTCCCCAAAAGCCCAAATGATTAACAAACCACTTTGACATGCTCCTTCCAGACCCAGTTGTCCGTTTTTACACTCAAAGGCGTGAGAAAGCCAAAGCCCCGAATCCAAAACCACCTATATACCATGCATGCTCCCAGATCAACTCCATGCCTCTATAAACTCCAGTATTTTCATGCATGAAAGTTCCTTATTAGACTTCTTCTTGCTCACCCTCAATGACAAGATAGTGGAGGATGTCACTTAGTGTGAGAACGCCTTTTAGTCGGAAAAATTCGTCTACCACGATAAATCGGTGGACTCGCGACTTCCGAAGCGTGTCGAGAATAGTGTCAAGGCCGTCTTCAATCGAACATGTATAGATCCCGGGGAAATCCTGGCAACGCGTTAGCCGTTGCATATTTGCAGTAAACAGGCCATACGTACCGGCGAGCGTTGCTTAAGCGCTTCGCCAACTGGCAAATTAAGGTCGTCGTAGACTCCCCCTTTTATCAAGGTGATGACGTCAACAGCTTCAAACACGTTGTAAACGACGCCTAGAAGAGCGAAAATGAGAAAAATAATCTTTCAAAGACGGCACCAAATTTACATACCCTCGGAGTTAACAATTGGAACACTCGATATGCTGCGTTCAACCAGCTTATGGATGATGTCGATTACCGGCGTATCGATTGATGCTGTGACAATATTTTTGTAAGTCCCCAGGTTGATATCCTTTAACGGTTTGCGTAAATTCTGAGTTTGTTGCACGTTGACGGCCATAAATTTTAGGATTCTATATTGCGTGACGACACTGACGACCAGCTGTCGATCCGTTTGACTGTCGTACGACACTAATGGTATCCTACGCGCCCTCGACGATAGCATGTACCGGCATGCTTGATAAAGGGGTTTTTCAGGGTCAATTGAAAGGGTTTCCGGTGGAGCCACCCCAAGTGCTCTTTCAATCTCTGGAAATGCAGTATCCTCGTTATTGGTTTTGACCTATGCTAGCTGTTCATGGAAGGGAATTGGTCATACCTCGGAGGCTGCTTAGCCGAAATTGGTCTATTCTCGCCAGTGCGGCTGGATTCTGGAAATAATACTGAATTACATTTATATAATCGGAGGTTGTGAGGAGGCCAGCAAAAGTCGACGTGTTTGAATCCCAAAGGGGAGCAGAAACGATTCCTAAGGGATACGGATGCCGTTAGCAGCGTTCAAACGTGCCATTGCGCTGCAGCATAGCGGGACTATTCCACTTACCATTTTGGATGAGAATATTGAGGCTCTCTTTCACCGATAGGGAGGTGTCAAAGACGATCAGGCGGAAGCTCAGGGGTAAGACATCATAGCTGGTGTGATTTTTCAGAAAATCCCGGATGTGCCACTAAAGTTCGAGTTAACGGGATTAGTCTACAAATTGCGAAGGCGAGTAGAACTGCACGGCAGATCCACGATTTCAAGCCATGGCAAAAAGGGGTCCTTCGCCAGAGAAAGAGCATTTACCAGTGCTTGTTTTTCATCGCGATCCACGGCCCTCTCCACCGGTGCAATTGGTCGAGAGACGCCCCTGGGCCGCAGGTAGGACGATGGCTGCACAAAGCCAGCCTCGTGACCGCCCCTGGAAGCGCCGTACGGTGGCGAGCCCGGATTCGAGGCGGGGTGCGAGGGCTTCGTGGTGGCCGTTGTTGAAGGAGGTCGGGTCGGAGCATCATCCGGCATCATCGTGGTGTTGACTCCGGTGAGAGCGGCTGCATGCACGGAGCGGATAGGAGGAGAGGGGGGAAAAGAAAGAGGGGGTGAATATTAAAGGAAGCACGGGAAGATTGATTATCAGGGTTGGCTAGCTTAAGCGGCTGCAATACCGGCTGTCGTGGAGACACGAACGGGGAGCACAGGACATACAGGCTCAAGACCTCCCAATCCGACCAAGAGAACTGTAGTTAAAGCTCACAGGAGCTTCACATGGGTCCAGACAGCCATCCAAGAAGACTCAGCACAGGAGAAAAGATCCAAAAGAAACGGAGAGACAGCCCAGGGTCAACTTTTGGAATTGATTGGCGTCAGGCTACCAGTTCTTTCGACATCAGCGTCAGGTTGCCCGCATCTCCTACTTAGCATCCTGGCGGCGATGAAGGTCGTGAAGTGGGATGTTCTCGTCGCTCGGCCCTTAATTGTTCCGCGAGAGTTACGCCGAAGCCCCCAAGCAGCTCGCCGGGAGCGCCAAACTGGCCCAGACTATTATCTCGGGGATGCGATGGAGGAGTGTTTGACGATGGCCCTGATGATCCTCGCCGTCTTCAGATGCTGTGTAACGCGCAGCCCGTGACGAAAATTATGACGGCGCTGATGCCGCCATCCTCGCGTTTGATCGGGAAGCGCCCAACCACCATGTCTTCATGCCGACGGGGGGGAACAATGACAATAAAAAATGATTAAAAGTGTGTATATTATGTTCTCCGTGCTAATACTCTAGCGGGTATCTATTTCGACGATCAAGGCTCCTGCTGGATCGTAAAAACATATATGTAGAAAAACAATACTTCAATGCCGGAAAGTTGAACCCCGAAAGTCCTTTGAAAACCGAAAGCGCCATCTTCATCAATTTTTGACGGTTGATTTAAGCTACCGCTGCTTGGGTTTGAGCCATCGGTGAGCTGTCCACGTTCAGTTGCTCCATCTTCTCCTCAACTTCAATGCTGCTCGCCGCCTCAGTTTCTGCGCGACATTTGCCCGGTCCTCCCTTGAGATAGTTCTCGTACTCGCCCAGGAGCCCACCTCCTTTAACCCACCTTTCGCGGTATTCTTCTCTCCGCTGAGCAGCCAGGGCGTTAAGTGCAGGCCAGTAGGTGGAGTGGTCGTACTCGAACTCAACGTCACCGCCAACAGCCTGCAACAGCTGGGTGGGAGGAACGTGCTGTCGGAGGTCTTCGTTGAACTTGAGTTTTTCTCTCGTTTGCGGGTCGATGAACGGCGTAATCAGTTTCATGAACCCGAGGATGACAAGGGGCACTGGTGAAATCTTAGCACTAGCTCTACAATATTAAACAAGCTTAGACGGCATTTTCGAACTTACTGTTGATCACCAGGGCCCGCCCGAGGCGTTCGGGGTAGTGGTTCTGGAGGATATGCAGAGCCTGTCTGCCCTGGCTGAGTGTGGCATTCTGACCGGATCTGGTCTGCTTGAAGTTGACCAACAACGCCAATGACTCCTGACCGGGTCCCATCAAATCAATCACTCTTTCCAACATAAAGACCAGGTGTTGTATCTGGCGATCGCTGTGTTCAGTATTCTGCCGCGCTGGGTTCAGGTATAGGCATGGGCGTCCACTATTATCGAATCCCAGAATAACCTGCTTGCCAGTCTCATTTTCGATCGAGATATATTCCGGAGTATGTTCCTTCACCCCATACTCCCGCCTCCACGTTAGAGTTGCCTGAAGGCGCTGTGTCGCGTCCGCGACATTCCATTTCGTTGCTCGAAGGTACCGGAGCAAGCATTCTCGAGTAAGGAACATGCGCTCGTCATCGGTAAGTGGTGCCGTGGGTGAATTCTTCGCCGAAGCAGTTGGAAGCTCCGTCCACGCCGAAACGGCTTTCAGAATGGTTTCGTATTTTGTCTGCTGCTCAGGGGTCAATTCAGCAGGCGGCGATGGTTTGCAGTCGTCGAGTGGGCGTGAGAAAAGAGTTTTGACGGGCCCATCAGCAGATGACAATGGCAAGGAGTCTGAAGAGAATTGATTCTCGATAGGCTTTTCCGGCGTAGATTCCTGGTTTTGGCCCTCGTGCTCTTGAACGGGAACTGCGGTCGTTTCCGTCGGTGGACCCTGGGGTTCGACAGGGGCCGGAGGGAGCTCTTTTGAAGGCTCCATTGTTGTGTGAAGTTGGATGCGGCGAGCAGTGGGCACGGTGCACGATCCAGAGCCTGGTCAGACGAGGCTAGTTACAGCACAAGACTCGAACCTGAGCAAGTCGAATGTTCTTGTCGTCAAAACAGCTCAACGAAGCTCAGGAACCGAAGCTCGCAGCCCAAAGCGGTGGACCAACTGGCCAATAACCACGCAGGATGGCTTTGGTCCGGCAGAACCGCAGAATAGTTGATCCGAACCACTTTGCGCGTCCTGAAAACGCGTCTGAAGCGCAAATCCGTTGTGTTGACGGGACGCAGCGACTCGATACAGCACTCGCCTTTGTGCAATATTCAGCAACTGACCGGCTATGAACACTATCACAGAAGAGCTCAATGAGCTTTTTGCAGAAGGCAGCCCCGACGGGCTCCCGGCAGACGTTCTCGCGGAGCTCCGATCCATCATGAACATGCACGCCATCTCCGCGCAAGAGCTTTTTTTCAAATGGGAGTCGTACTCTCTGAAAATGGGGGAAGAGACGACATTGAACCTAAAAACGGCTCGCGCACTGAAACGAGATATCCTAGATACGCTGGAACGGGAATCGAAAGCGAAGGGGCACTTAAAGCCGTCGGAGAAGAGGAATGTTGTTGCTGCCACTCCGCGGGCTGTGAACAATAACCAGGATGTCTTTGGCATGTACGCTACCGTCGTTCCGTTTGGGGTGGGCTTGATTTCACTGCTAATATTTGGCAGGCTAGAGGATTTGGTTCCAAATACACCGTACTCTGCTGGGAAATCAATTAAACGAAAGGCGGGATTCGACACTCCTTCCACCAAAGCCAACCGGGCAGGGGACTTTAGCTCTCCGTTGAACCCTCGTACCCCTATGAAACATGCTGGTGGGCAATTGGACATACCGGCGTATGGCTCTTATCTCTATCAATTCGAAGCTTTCTGTCTAATCATTGCGCAGTCCTACCCCTTTCTCCGAACGCCAAAATAGCGGACAAGTACTAGAAACTCTCAATTCAGAGTTACCCGCCGCCCAACCTCCCATGGCGCCCTACTCCGAAAGCCGAATAAAATTGACAGCCAATACGGATATTAAGAAATTCACATACAAGCCAATGGCAATGAAGCTGTCCGAATCTTCTGAAGTTCTGGACGACAGGATAGATGAATTTGCTGCGATATTCCAAAAACAATATACGTCGGATGATACTCCTTTTGGAAACGCTGCCCAGCAAAGCACAAGAGAGATCATTGCGGTGGGTAGAATTGCCTCTGATAGTTCAGAAGGAAGGCTCAATACTGCGTCTTTGGTGCTTGAAATGTCTCGACGTACGGGTGCTGGCTTGCGTGTTCCGTTGAAGGTCGACTCGCTCCCCTCCGTCCAGTTCTTCCCCGGCCAAATTGTTGCAATCAAAGGTATCAACGCCTCGGGCGAGTACTTTTCTGCGATTGAAGTCTTGTCGACCCCCTTGCTTCCTCCCGCCGCCTCCACGCTTGCTACCATAAATTCTACAAACGAACGACTCAGTGGATCGGGCAGTGAACCTTTAAACGTACTCCTAGCGTCTGGGCCATACACAACGGACGATAACCTGGACTTTGAGCCGCTGAACGCACTTTGCGCCAAAGCGGCAGAGCAATCTGCCGATATGGTACTCTTAACAGGGCCCTTTCTTGACATTGAACATCCGTTACTCGCCACGGGTGACTTTGACCTGCCAGATATTCCTGGCATCGATCCGGACTCGTCCACGCTCTCAGTTCTTTTCAAACACTGCATTTCTCGACCGCTACATCAACTCACCATGGCTGTGCCCAGCATCACGATCGTCCTCGTTCCATCGGTACGGGACGCAGTGAACAAACACGTTTCCTGGCCCCAGGAGATGCTACCAAAACGAGAACTAGGGCTGCCCAAGCAAGTGCGCATGGTTCCCAACCCTGTCACTATCTCCCTCAATGAATCCATCTTCGGACTCTGCTCGCACGACGTGCTCTACGAGCTCAGAACGGAAGAGATACTGGGCGGAAAGCCGACAGAAACCAATTTACTAACAAGACTGCCGCGATATCTCATCGAGCAGCGACACTTTTCTCCTGTTTTCCCGCCATCTGCTAGAGAGCGTCTACCGCGGGCGGGGACGGAGGATGGCGTCGCCACGGGCGCGATGCTGGATCTGCGGTATTTGAAGTTGGGGGAGTGGTGGAATGTGCGGCCCGATGTGCTTATTACGCCGAGCACGCTGCCACCGTTTGTCAGGGTAAGTTTTCTTTTAACACCTCTATACAGCCGGCTTTTGGACATTCCAAGCTGATATCGACTGCAGGTTGTCGAGGGCGTGTTGGTGATCAACCCAGGAACACTGTCCAAGAGAAGAGGGCCAGGAAGCTACGCACAGATCGCACTGCATCCGCGATCACTCACAGAGAAGGAAGAGAGTGCAAAACAGGTTGGGCATAGAGTCTTTGAACGAGCTAGAGTTGATCTTATCAAGATCTAGCCAGACAGACCAAAATTATGGGGGATCCAAGGCCATTAGCCGGCGTTAGCTTCCAGGGTTGAAATAGGTTGATATTCACGATTGCCCATGAAGAAACATTATTATGATTAGCAACGTACAAACTATACAGATCGGGTATCTAATGCAACATATGAACAATCCTACACGCCGACAAAAGAGACCACCCCCAAACAGCAATCACTCATCTCAAACAAACAACCCTCTTCACCCTCCTCTGACGACTGCCCACCAACTCCCCCTCCCCCCCACCCAACTTCACCCCCCTCATCAACTCCTCCAGCCCCAGATCCCGCCACGCCGCCTCCCGCCGACTATCCATGGCCCGGGCAATCCCAAACGCCGCATGCTGGTCCGGCACCACGTCGTCTTCGTCCTCCGGGTTCACGGGCTGAAACTGCGGGTGCACGAAGATGTCTTCGATGGGGAGGAAGGACGGGGCTTGGGAGGGGGGGTTGGCGTTGCTGGCGCCGGGGCCGGTTGTAGGGCCGGCGGCGGTGGTGGTCGTCGTCGTTGTGGTGGTGTTGTTGTTGTTGCTGTTGTTGTTGATGGAGGTGGTGGTGGTGTTCGCGATTGCGGAAGGATTGTTGGCGGAAGAGGTGTAGGGGCGGTTGAAGTCTTCGAAGAGGTCGGCGAGACGGGGGTGGTGGAAGTGGATGTAGGTTGGCGAGGAGTCTTTGGACTAGGTCTGGGGTTAGTTTGGATATAGGGGAGAGGGATTGGATCGGGAAGAGTACCATGATGATGCCTGGTGGTCAGTTGGGATATTCTGGTTCTGTTGCGCTGCTGCCTTGACACCCAGAGAAGTCCTGATGCCTCCTTGACGCCGAGGCGACGAAGGGCAGGCAGGCATGACTAAGCCCTGCTCCCCTATTAAGCCACACCAAAACCCACCCCCCTGCTCTCCACAGCATTTATCTAGATCAAATCAGCATCAGATACCAAGAAGTAAACAAAAACCCACCAAAACCTGCAGGGATGGCGATCCCACACGATCCCGCCACCACCCAGCTCATCGACCACCACTTCCCCACCCCTTCCTCGCTCTACACCCTCGAGATTCAAAAACGCATCGCCCAGCTCGAGGACTCCCTCAACCCTGCCGGCATCTACGCCGCACCCGAGCACCACCACGCCAACATCCGCGCCGCCATCGAGCTCTACAAGTGCGGCCTCCTGCCTGACCCCGATGTCCACGCCGTTTACTTTAGAAATGGCCGCATGATCACCAAAGAAGAGGCCTTTGTCGACGGCAGCGCCGTCTGGATCGAGGTGAGAAAACCCGCCCCCCTTCCCTGTTTGCTTGCGTCTTTTGGGATCAAACCAACGATGGCTCTAGGGCACGCTCTATCTTCTACAAGATAACACTAGCCGTTGTCCCTAACTAGTTCCCGGTGGTGGTGGTTGCGGACTAGTTATGGCGTAACGAGCTAGGCGGTTCAAAATTCTCCTTCGCCCCAGTTTTGGGGTGCTCCGGGTGCTTTTATCTCTAGCTGGCCGGCCAGCGCGTTTGCTTCTTTAATAATTAATTCTGACCCCTCTGACACGGCCGCTAATGCCCGGCTGACTCTCGTTAACTTGTGTTATTCTTGATCTGGCTGCGGTTTCCTTATACCTTAGTGCCTCAGGAAAGAGCGATATATCCAGAGCTCGTCTCGTCCGTACTTTTGTGTCTTCGTCTCCTTCGTTCTTATTGTATGAGTAGCGGCGTTTTACACGAGCAATAGTGATGAAATGAATGTCAAGTCTTATTCTCTGATGTAACAATATGATGTGCTCACACGCTGATCAATTCACCCGCCTCCAAACTTGAACACCTCAAGCCGCCATGTCGTGGAAGCTACTTGCGTTTCCAGACGGCGATCCTGCTCTCGTGCATTGATCCTTCCTTCATCCTGTCTCCCACAGCAGCCATCATGCAGTCTTTTGTCCATTCCTCCTCAGGAACGCGGAGCCATAGATGTCCAGCAATGTCGAATTCTCCAGCGAACCGCTGCAACGCATCTTCGCTCTCAAACAGGGCGTAAAAAACGCCTCCAGATTGGGTAACAGACGCATAGCTCTGGGAAATATCTACCGCGCTGGGACTCTTTTCCAGGACAGATTCCTGGCTGGGAATGGAAACAAAGACTTTGCTAAGCTGGCCTTTTGTGAAATAGTTGGGTGCTGCAGCTTGGTGGACCATGAGGAAAGCACTGATGTTCTGGTACGGGTTGCCAACCACCGGTTTGCTGGTTTTGGCAAACTGATCGCGGAGCTTCATGATACGGGAATTGGTCTCTCCCACCGCGATCGGGTCAGAGTCGAAGACTAGACGACACTTTGTCAATTCCTTGCCGTTCAATAGCATGAAGAACTAAGAATGTAAAACTTCAAGAACTCACCTGCCATCACAGTGTCCGGGAAGAGGGGTGCGATTCTAATCATTCCAGGGCCCAATCCACTTCCAGTAGCTAATATCTGGACCTTGGTGCTGAGCTTCTTTCCCTTTGCAAACGCCGGGTATCCTGCGGCCCAGTTGAGCTTGGTCGGTCTACGTCCGTGTCAGCAGCGTCTGAGAAAACTGGAGTGCAAGGGTTGTCCAAACCACTTACTCCGTCGTTTGCTTCGTCTGTCGCTGGCATTCAGCGTTACCGGAAGCATTCACCTGGTTCTCCTCAGTTGCCAAACCCTCTTCCAAGGACCGTTCGTTCTGGCCTCTCCGCCGGAAGAGCGAAAATAAGCCCGGCCAGACGCGGTTCAGGGCGATCAGTCCACCTGTCGCGATGCCGAGCAGGGACGCGAGTGCGATGATGATCGAACAGACGGCAATGATTCCGAGAAAAGCTGCTATCGTATGGCGAGCTGCCATGTTGGATAGCGAGAGGAAGAACCAACGAATATAGTGACAGAAGTATAAGCTGGGAAATACAATGTGCTCTGGAAGATATGCAACCTCCTCGACGGACTAGTGATGGTTAGACTGCCTATGAATGGATCTCTAAAAGATATAGAAGAACTGAGTCTGCCGTGGGTAGTTGACCGTGGAGAGAGGAATAGCTCTGAAAGCGAACAGCTCTTCGTTGTTTTGACCCCCTTTGCCTTGAGCATCCTGGGGAAAGGACGAGGCCAGCAGCAAGAAAGCGTCATGGATTTCGCGGAAGGCGTGCAGTGTCGATGCGGCTGCCCCTTGACTTTGCTTGATAGAGAGAGGGCGCGACTCGCATCCTGAAGGTACAGCGTGGCTTCGTCTGACGGAAGACCTGGAAACACACATGCTACCCCTGAGCGGGCCTCTGATGAAGAAATCTGCATTTGCAATAATCCCTAGGACCGGCTATACGTCTAAAAGATCCCATCAGCATTAACACTCCTTGCACCGGCGCCGAACTTTTTTTGAAAACAGGAACTACTACATGCATTTCATCCCGAAACCAATAAACCTGCCTGCAACCCAAGCCGCCATCACCCTCCATCCGGAATAGTAGGAAAAGCAAAGAAAAGTACACAAGCTCAGGGCGAGAGATCAATGCTGCCAGCATCCAGGCCGAATGATTAGAATGGAAACTTTCGAGCATGCGGTCTTTTTAGTGTTTCGCGTCTTTCTCTACAAGGGGGCGCAAAGGTCAGCATCAGGTAGAAAAAAAAAGGGGAGAAGGAAGAACTCACCTTCAGATTCCGTGCTCATCCGATGCACTATCGGCACCGCACTGGGCGGCAGACTTCCCATCTCCGTAATCACCATGTCAATATACTGCGCCGGCGTAACATCATGCATAATGTTCAGTAGCTGGAGGTTCTTCATCTCTCGCCAATTCTGCAACGGCTGGCTCGGATCGGTCACGAGCGACGTAGGGCCCAGTGATGACGCTATAGAACCGGTGTCTGCATTTGTGGCACTCGACGCGGTGGAAGCAGCTTTTCCGCCCTTGCCAGTGGGCGCGGGTGTGGGTGGTGACAGGTTTGTGACTTGCTCGGGGGCCTCGACGGCGACTAATTCGTCCGCATCCGCGATTTCGTTCACGACGATGCTATCGAGGGCGACCCGGTCCGTGAATTTGGCTGTCTCGCAGCACACGATGACGGGAATGTTGATGCCGCCAACTCTCTCCTTCGCTGACATTGCGACCAGTGCGGTGCCCACTCTCGAGAAGAGACACCCATTGCTGGTCATGGCATGGGCGCCTAGAAACACCTTTGTCACATCCCTGATGGCAGTTGTGATGCCATTGATCAGCGAATACTGCACCTCCAAGCCAGCCTTGGACAGTGTGCGCGCAAAGTTCCTTCCTTCGAAGAGTGGTCGGGTATCAATGATGGAAACGCGGAATTTCTTCCCCTGTGCGTGAGCCGTAAGTAGCGCTTTTTGGACGACGCTGCTACCCGCGTAGCAAAGTATCACATCTCCGTCTTTAATCCTGTCTGCAGCACTGTTGGCAATCACCTGAGAAGCCACGGTGTATTTTTCACGGATATAGTTGTCAATGTAATCGTAGATCTGCTGCTTCGCCTCGTCTTCAGAGTCGCCCGGATCAATTGTCGTAATCTCCAACTTCAAAGCCCGGATAGCGTTCCCCTGACTGATCGAGAGTGGACGGCATGTCGTCAAGTAATTGATTTGATGCGAAAGGTATGTCGTCAGATGGCGCGATAGCGAAGTTCCAATCGGTGTGATATACGCTTGGACAACCTATCAAGCAGAAACGAAAGAATCAGTCACCCGATTTCTCCCAACAATCAAAGAGGAGGAAGAAGATAACAAAAAACATACCCGCCTGAGAGCCAGCAAAGTCGCAACACACCTCGCCGAACTGCCACAGATCACATAGTCCCTCAATTGCATCCCCAAAGCCACCACGGCCGGGTGAATCTCCTTGCCCACGCCCGCGATGCCCGCTCTCCGCGAATGCCACGGTAGATGCCCAAAAACCGCAACAATATTCTCATTCTCGCTCTTTTTCTTCTTCTTCGACTCCACGGCGGGCACATGCACCGATCCCCTCCGCTGCGCAGCCTGCTTCGTCCCCGCTGCCGGCGCACCCTGCTTCTGTTTCCCCGCCCCGCCTCCTCCTCCTCCTCCTTTCTTTGCCTGCTGTTGTTGATTCTGCAACTGAGCACTCGCTGCCTGCTCCCCCTCCCGCTCCTGCTTCTCCTTCGCTCGTCTTGCCGCTTTTTCAGCTTTCGCTCTCTTCTTCAGCTCCGCATTCGACAATTTTGGCGGCCCCTCGCCCTGCTGCTGCTGCTGCTGCTGCTGCGAATCTTTCTTCTCCGCACCCTGTTTCGCTTCCGGCCCTCCCTTCGCCTCTTGCTTCTTCCTATTCTTGTTCTCGGCTCCACCATTCATCGCCGCGCTCGCGTTGGCACTCGACTCGTCTCCCTTGGCCGCCGATGACTCACCACCGCTCAGTAGCTGGCTCCCCGGCCCCTCCTCCGCACCACCCTGGGCCGAATTTATAATCTTTTGTTTCGCAACCGACATGATCGTATCTGTAGATGATAATAACCCGTGCTCAAGCGCGTTGCCATTAGCGTCGTGGTGGTCGTGGTGACTGGTGTTGTTGGCGCTGACAAGTTGATGCTCTCCCGACGATCGAGTCACTTGAGACTTTTTTCGCCGGCGGACCAGCACCATCAATCTGCGCTTCGGCCATCGCAAACACCTCCGCGACAACGCGACCACCACCTTGCCGAACCCTTTTTTTTGCCTGGCTGAATCTTCCATTTTGAATGTGACTCTCAGCACTGTTAGGAGGATAAGCACAAGACATGCTATTTGTGGCCCGGATATGGTTGCCATCCCTTTGCTTGCCATTCACTGTTTGCTGCTGCTGCTGCTGCTGCTGCTTCTTCTAGCCGCTTTCAAGCCTTTCATGGGGAACTTTCATTATCTTCACTGAAACCGAGAATGATTCATACTCAAGACACGTTGGTATTGGCTACTCCGCCTCTATGCTGGTCACTGGCTCTGGTTGCGCTCCAATGAGCTACACAGTGATGCGACCAGGCTCTCTCCTCTTGTCTCTGTGACCTCTGACTCATAGCAAAAGAAAATATTCGCACTCTAATCAAAAGTATTGTCATTTGAAGAATTATCGGTTTTTGCGCTGGAAAGCATATTTCTGGTCATACAACATACAAAGTCATTGCGGTACTCACAAGCCCTGGCTCCAAAGGTAGCATGCAAAAGAATAAAAATATTACCGTCTCATGTTGCCCCTAAAAAAACGCAAAGTCGTCCTTGGATAGAAATCATAGCAGGCATTCAAAACATATCCCCAAGCGCTGTTGAAATCCCCGTCAAAAACTCCAAAACCCAGGTGGATTCCACTTCGCCTACTCTCCGGTCGGTCATCTATTCATCGGCACTTCGCAAAGCGTTTTGCGGTCTCCGCGACGTCGCCGTTTAACACCAAATCTTTCGCAATCGTCCGCCAGTTTGCGCCGGAAGAAGCTCAGGTCTGACAGAAGATCCTCCATCTCAGCTTGGACTTCGATATCGAGTTCGCTGGCGGAGTCTTCCCAAATAAGATCCGGAGGCTCTTGTGGTGCCATGTTCTCCTTCTCAAAACATTTCTCGCTTTGGATATCGTCCTTCTCCGATGCCAAGGTCAAACTGCTGTTCCTGTTACGCCGCTTCATCACTTCAACGGGTGGTATCGGATTTTTCAGACTGTCCAATGCAAGGTGGAGATGAAGTCTCAGGGCCTCGTTCTCGGTTTGAAGCTGCCGGATCTTGTTCTCGCTGACCATCTTGGTTTCTTCCATCAGTCTCTGTAGTTTTGTTACTTGTTTCTGATATTCCTCAAGCTTTTCATTTTGCATTTCCATGTCTCGCTTGCTGACCGATTGCTGGCTGACGCTTAGTTGAAGAGTGCGAATCGTTTCAGCCATTTCAGCAATCTGCGCATCTCTCTCCGCTGCTGAAACGTGGTCCTGGTTAATAACCGCGCGAGTTCGGATGCGTTTCGCCTGATCAGCGTAGCGGAGCGTTGAAAGAGTTTCGTCATAATCGGATGGAGCTATACATGCAATCATCGCCGTTTTTGAGTTTCCTCCTAGGCTGTCCTTGAGCAGCCATGTCAGGATAGAGTCGCGGTAAGGGACAATATCTTTGTTTTTACGCGGCCGTCCTGGTTTATTGTCCGCTAGAGCGGCTATCACACGGCCCAGAGTCGTGAGAGATTTGTTGATATTTGAGCCTTCGCGCAAACGTTGACCAGTCGCTTCGGTTGCTTTTGCTCGTTCTGAACCAGCAAGGTCCACAAGCCGGATCCTCGCTGTTCGCTCAATCGTCTCATCGGTGGCGAGATCATGATGTATTTGTTTTAACATAATCGTGAAAACTGCATGGGATCGCGAGCTGGTATCATTCATCTTGGTACTAGCTGTCGTACGAGATGTATCTCCTTTTCTCATGTATCGCATCACTTCTGCGAAATTTCGGACCGGAACGTCAGTCAGGTCCTTGACATAGGGGCCATCTATAGGGGACTCTCGGATTTTTAGATAGTAAGGTGGGTCGGTTCTGGGGACGAGCAAGTCGCGGACGTGTTCGTTATAAACCTCGAAATATGATACCCGAACGTGATATGTAACGTCAGGCGACTCTGAATTCTCGATTCGCTGGAAAAGGTCTTCGCACGTTCGCGGGATCAGACCAGGGTTATCTGGGGTGCCCATCATTGTATAACTCTTGCCGGAACCTGTTTGACCATAAGCAAAAATGCACGTGTGGTAGCCTTCAAAATTATGATCGAGAAACTCCTCGCCCAAGCAGTTATACACATCTTCCTGCGTTGCATAGTGGGGATCGTTGTCATCATGGGACCAGAAAGAATTGTCAAACGTAAAGGCCTTGTCTTCGACTACTTTGCTGCGACTCTGGGACTTGGGGGTTTGATCTGACGAGCCAAGCAGTGTCGTGCTCTGAGTAGCAGGATTCATTCGAATTAAACATCGTGTGCCCCGTTGGATTTCTAGAATTCAGAAGAAAAATCAACCAGTTAGCAACCAGTTAGATACCGTAGCCATGAAGTATTTCACTTGGATTTATGCACCTCGCGGTAAAAACCCTCTGACTCTGACGACAACTTTGACATTGCCCCCTCCACCGGCAGTGACGGGAGTTCCTGGCCGAGTGACGGGTGCCATGACTCGCTCCTTCGATCGCAACGACGGACTCGAGGCAGTCGACCTCATCCCGGCAACAGACGCAGACGTAAAAGAAGCCATACTGGGGGCGAAGCTTCCATATTCGGGCGGGTAGTTGGACGACGAATGCGACATGGGAGGTCTCGGTGGGAGATGGGCTATGCTATTATAAAACCGCGGATCCAACGACATATTCTCTGCGTTTCTTAGTATCCAGTCAATCTGCAGGGCAATGTCGCGGTGCCGACAAAGATGATTCAAAAACATACGATCGACAGGGCTCTGAGGGGGGATTGCGGTATCAAGGGTTCATAATCCAATTCTCCAGGGCTTCTTCTCGGAGGTGTCGGTCCTCCTCTAACAAGTGCTGAAAGCGCGCAACGGCTTCGCCCGACTTCCTCGTAAACTCGCGCAGTGAAGCTGTATTGTCGTCAAATGCCTGGACCAGCCGGTCTGTCTCGTCGTCTGGCGGCTCGCGTTGTTGTGAAACTGCTCGAACGGGTTAGCGTGGGTGCTTGAGGCCTGGACTAGCGCCCAGTAGCCTGAGTGTGGTTGAGAGCGGCAAAAGGAACAGAGCAGCTCACAGATAATGGCTGTCAGAGCTTGCAAGATCTTGAAGAAGCTGGTCCAGTTGTCTCCATCAGTACAATACCTCCGACTGCAGGGAGAGGCGGAACAGACATGAATCCGTGGACTGCCCAGTACCAAACTGCAGCGAAGAGCCTGCTGGGCTGAGAATCCATTTTACATAGACATCCGTTGGCAAAAGGAAGGGAGAGGAAAAGCATGGGCTGCGAGTTTACTATTATTCTACGGACTGGGTCTAAAGAGTGGAAGGAGTGTGCATGCATATCTCCAGTGGTCATTGCTTCCCTGACTCAAGTTACATCTGCTCTCAGCTTTGCATCTTGCCGCTTGGAAGTAGATTGGGCTTCTATCCATGTAACTAACTAGTGGCATTCGTTCCTGGTTACTCCGGCAACCATCACCAGCACGAATTGGTCTCGACTTGATGTGGCTGACAGCCATTATTCCAGCTGACTTTCATTGTGAGACTGAGTAGTTACGGAATACTCCGTCTTACCACCTGTTTTAGCTCGCTGGTGGTCTATCCCATGGATCTAGCTTCATTATTCTACAGAGAAACCCTCCTGTTTCCTTGGAGTACGGGCTAACCAAGCATCGAAGAGATCCTTTGACTTAGAGGATATAGATCCCCCATAGTGGAAGCTCCCGTCCCGTCCCTACCAAACTCCTCTGGTTGTTCATGAAGCATTGTTGCCTTGTCATTTGCTTGTGATAATCTGATATTCATGGAATCGCATTTCCACTCACATTGCAACATTTTGTTTGATGAAATATGAGTCCACCCCAATGCATGCGTCTTTGGTGGAGTCGAATGTTCAAACCAAAGCAAGACTGCCGCTCAATCTCGAAAGCTTCAACACTGTCCTCTAACCACTATATTGCCAACAAGGGTGCTCCTCAGAGAGGTAAGCACCACTATCTATGCGCCATTCACTGTATCACTCACCCAGAGCAGACTGGAATTCAAACGATGAATTCTTCAAATTCACGCGGGGCCGCTTCGTTGTAGATGAGGCGGAAAATCTTCGAAGCAGAGAGATTAGATTCGACTTGAACAAGCTTGCGAGAATTGCGGCAGACTCGGTTGGTGCCGCTCAATGCATTTCTATCAAGAAATACCCCGATGGCATGTTCAACAAAGCATTCCTCATGTCTATGGATGATGGCCAAGAAGTCGTAGCAAAGGTGCCGAACCCGAATGCTGGAATTCCACACTTTACTACGGCCAGTGAAGTCGCCACGATGGACTTTGTAAGTGAATCAGCGGTTCCTGCTTAACATAACTAATTCCCAAGGCCAGAAAAGTCCTTGACACACCGGCGCCCCGTGTTCACTCATGGAACTCGCGAGCAAAATCACACCCTGTTGGGGCTGAATTTATCATCATGGATAAAACTGAGGGTGTTCCGCTGTCTCAAGTTTGGGCCTCAATGAAATTAAACCAGAAGCTCCAAGTCTTTCTAGCTATGACACGTCTCCAGAAACAATGGCTAAGCGTTTCTTTCTCGCATTACGGCAGCTTATACTACGCGGGAGACGTGCAATCACCAGCAGGCAGCCACTATTTCAAAAATGGAGAGGCTGTTAACGATTCGGAGTTTGCTATCGGTCCGGCTACAGGTCGAGATTGGATTGATGGAGGCCGATCAGCTTTAGATATCGAGCGAGGGCCATGTTCGTCAGCGCTAATGTCTTCTCCGCACAGTCGCTGATAAGTTTGTAGGGACTTCACTAACGCAGTATCTGCGAGCAATCGGGGCACGAGAGACAAAGGCAATTCAATTTTTAAAGACCCCCAAACAAATTGCTTTGTTCTGTGGTCCAAAATCTACCAACCAGACAAGCACAAGAAGCGTGCTGCTTTAGCATGGTACCGAGATATTATCGATGCCCTTGTCCCAAATGACACTGCCATAACAAATCCATGCCTCTGGCATGATGATTTACATGATGACAACATCTTTGTAGATCCCCATAACCCTGAAAAGATTATGGGTATTATTGACTGGCAGTCTTGTCACATCTCGCCCCTCTTCAACCACAACCCCGACCCAGCCTTCCTGAGCTGGGATGGCCTTGAGCCTGAGACGCTTGACCAGGTACCGAGACCAAACCTCTCTGGGCTTTCCCCAGAAGAACGATCCGCAGCTGTGCACGAATATAGCGTCCAAAATTTGTTTATCGGATGGCGAAAACTTATGCATGCCAAAAACCCGGACCTATATCGCGTCGTCGAATTCCGCAAAACGGCAGCGTTTGGGTTAATATTTCTTGCACACCGTATGTTCGAATATGGCGAGTCCCATTTTCAATCCCTTCTAGTCGATCTAAAGGACACGTGGGCAGACCTTCCTGCCGTCACTCGCAACAACCAATTTCCGTTCCACTTTTCAGAAGCAGATATTGAGCGTATTAAACTGGACAGCGATGGTGCAGTAGCAGGAACCGACCTCGCTATGGGGGCCAAGGAGAGCATGGGCGATTTGTGGCCGGACCAAGGCTTCATCGAACATGAGCGATATGATGATTGCAGAGCCGCACTCTAAGAACTCAAAACCCAAATATTAGAGCAACTGGCCAAGACCGATGAGGAAAAAGCTGAGTACATGCGCCATTGGCCATTTGAATAATCTGGTCCTTGAGGTTTTATGGTAGAGACATGTGGCTTTGGTGAATAAACTGTCACCGCACCTTGAGGTTGACTATTAAACGTTGCTAGGAATTGCAGTAAGTCAGATTTGATTGTCAATGTATGTCTTCATCATCTGCCCAAAAGGCGAATTTAAAAATAATTCAGGCAGATTTTTAATATGTTCTGGGATGCCTTTGCCCACCAAAAACAGGGCCAAATCATCTGTAAAATTGTTGCAGTTCCATAAAAACAAATCATAGGACTAAACTGGAGTCAGCAACGTGTATGGATCAGTCTCTGAGAGGTTGATATTACATCTTCTGTATAAGTTTCTCCTAGAGCATCCATATACTCAACAACGACTTCGATTGGAATCTCTGACTTCCCGAGTAGGAGGGTCTCGACTGGTTGGCCATGATGCGTCGTTCCAGGAGCAGCTTGCTGGATTCCGCGACCAAAATAGTATTCCATTCCGCCAAAGACGAGCGAAGTGTGGTAGATGGCATCTATTTGTACCCCGGTAATTTGTAGCGAAAGCTACTCAATGTATGTATGCAACGGTCAGTTCTCAGCTATGCATCAGCGGAGTTTTGAATGCATGGAACTAGGACATACATCTCGAGCAAGACCCTATTGTCAAGTCAGTGCCATGTAAGTAATGGTGGTGCAAGGGGCTTGCTTGTATGTCTAGTTATACATTTGACAGGTCGTAGACATGCAGCACCACGTCCATTGTGAGGATGCTTCTAAATATTCAAACTTTAGTGGTTTGTGTCCGCGAGATATGAATTCCAAGATTAGAATAATGAAATGTAGTAACAGCTGAGAATGAAACGCAGTGATGCATATGTATTTATCCCAAAGTGCCCGTGATCTAGGCTTCAACCACCTTACGTCAACTGAAGTTCCAGCCCCAAAAGGTCCCATGAGCACAAACCCTCCGTCATCATGGTAAGTTGTCAAAAACGCCCAATAGTTTCTGATACCCTGTGTAATATCACTTCTGAATTGTCCTGAGTGCTAACTACCTTCCCTCTCTTCTCAGCCTCCAAAACGCCGTGGCGCGGCCTCTGCGTCTACCGCGCAGTCCCAACCCAAGAAAACCCGACTTTCAAAACTCGCGAAAGAAAATGACATCACTGCGGAAGAAGAAACCGAGATAAAGGAAGCTTTCCACTTGTTTGCTGTGAAAGACCTTCCCGCTGATGTTGAAGAAGACTATGCATCTGAGAAGGAGGGGGTGATCAAGACAGAAGACGTGCGACGGGCACTGATGTAGGTTAACCCCTCTCAACAATCCATCCACCCTTTACAAGCCTCTAACCCGAAGCCTTTTGATGGGATCCAGAGCGCTTGGCCTGCCTCCCAACTCCCAGTCCGAGTTGAATTCGATGCTGTCCGCCGTCGACCCCTCACGCACCGGATACGTCTGCTACGAACCTTTCCTCTCGGTCTGCGCGCTCAAACTGCACGCACGCTCCGACGACGCCCGTTCAGAAGAAGTCGAGCATGCCTACCGTCTGTTTACGCGCGGCACAGATGGGCCAATTTTGCTATCGCATCTGCGGCGCGTTGCCAGGGAGTTGAAGGAAGATGTGAGTGAAGAGCTCTTACGGGATATGATCCGAGAAGCAAATGGCGGGGAAGGATTACATGCAGGCGTGAATGTCGAGCAGTTTGGGGATGTTATGACGCGAGCAGGTGTGTTTTAATAAACAGTATCATGGCGGAGGGCTCTCATCAGTCCTGGAGTACGGCATTCCTGGTGTACCCGGTTTCAAAAATGGCGTTGGTTGAAATAAAAAGCGACGGCGTTTGGTGACGGATAAGCGATGACTTGTGGGAATTATGAAGAGCTACGATGCGATTATATTTTGACTGTCACGTATTATCACTGGTAGCCAACTTTCACGCTTCAATGTGAGGTCAACGGCCCAAATTGCACCTTTAACTAACTAGTTAGATCAACGTTCTAGATCGCCATCAATTCGCATTCGAAGCATCTCGCTATCTCTTCAACCATACTCCGTACTGGCCCAACAAACGGCTTCTCAGCTGGAGTTGACGTAGTTGAGCAATGGATACTGTCGCGCTTCTGCACTTAACACCGAAGCACGTGACTGGTCTTGTTGTCCCCTAGTTACTTGAGCGCAATGCGATATCTCGGGCTCGCAAACAAGTCGAGACATGCCGGAATCACCACAACAAGTCGCTCCATGGCCAATCCGTTCCTCAGCCGCCTGCCTCGCCCCGGCAGGAAAGGGGGCCGGACATGGGCCCTCTCCTTCCGCATCGGCCTCTGGATGGTAGGCTTCACGTGCGCCTGCAAGGTCTTCAACGAACATGCCTATGAGCTCCAGCTCTCGTCGGGCCCATCGATGTTCCCGACGATACACTTCCAGGGCGATTACATATTGATTTCGAAATATTACAAATATGGGAATGGGATTGGGGTCGGTGATGTCGTCACTTTTAGACATCCGTCCTATCTCGCCATGGCCGCGAAGAGGGTGACGGGCATGCCGGGGGATTATGTCTTGATTGACCCGGAGGACCATGCTGGGGGGCTCGCGAGGATGATTCAGGTGCGTTCTCCTTTTGGATCCTGGACTTATTCGTGATGAAGAATGTTAGTAATGACTTGCTGGTTGCGCATTTTAGGTCCCTGAAGGTCATGTTATGGTCACTGGAGATAATCTACCTTGGTCGAGAGATTCAAGAGACTTTGGCCCATTGCCGATGGGGCTGATCACCGGCAAGGCCATTGCTAAGGTGTGGTGGCCCTTTAAATATCAGCGGCTCGAAAATTCGCTTAAGCCTCTCTCGGATCCTTCAAGGAATCAGTAGTCACCCTGGTATAAGTTGGAAGTCCACCAGAGACAGAATCGTGGATTAATTATCTTCTATGGTACAAACATCCGGGAACCCTCTTTGTAAATAGTTCTATTGTACAATAACTATGGAGTCAGGCAAATGGACAGAGATAACACGCCAAACCCAATAACCGTAGGCAAAATCATCTAAAAGAGGCTGGATTCCTGCGTTTGTATGGCAATGGCTCGATCCTCTTACGTTTCAATTCGATATCCGCACCCTCAATTCCAAATTCATTCATGACATCAGCCATATTTTCATCCCATTGAGTCCTGAACAAATGGGCCCCGATTGGTTTCAGCTGATGTCTCGTTTCCAGGCTACGGAGGCGGAAACCTTCTCTCTGGACCTTTTCAGAAACAGCCTTGAGGTCCAGGGGTTTTTGGTCCTTCTGTTCCATGATCAAAATCGAAAGTCGTTGGTACGGGCTTCCCTTCAGCGCCGTTGGAGGGAACCACGGGAGGACAACCTGGGATTCCGCGGATAGTTTGCCTAGAGGAACAGAAATATCCGTGGGTGTGATGGGTACATTGACGGCCAGGAAATGGCAGCGATAATCAAAACCGTCTGTCTCGAGATTCGGCACATCGGGGTTCACAACTGCGATTGTAACCAGCTTTTGCCCTTTGCTAAACGGTTGTATTGTGAGCGTGGGTGCCACTGTGCTCACGCGAGAGTTGACAAATTCGCCTGGTTGTACGGGCTTCCTGTTGAACGATAAAGTGACGTCGACGACGGGGTTGACGTGAGCTAGCACGTCCGGGACTACTTTCATTTGTGTGATTCGTTGTACAAGGATCTCTCGTCGGTAATCTCTCCATTTTTTATCGGCCAGGTATCGGTAGATGGGTTTGGACATATCACCTGTGTAGACCTGTGTTAGGACTTTCAAAATACTACAATGTAGCATTGAGTAAAACGTACCCAGCCCATCTTCAAATCTTCTTTTAATCATAGGGTCGTTGATATCCGCAAGGACTTTCAGCTTCTCGAGGTACTTCTCCATGCTCTTTATTCTCGTCTGCTTCTGAGCCTCACCGCCCACATCTTCGGCGTTGGCCGCCCGTAACCTTTCCAGCCTTCCCCGCTCTGTTTCAATCTGCTTCAGCTTCTCTGCCCTGTCCTCCAACAGGACCTTTCGCGCTTCCTGGAAACATTGGTATGGCAGCTGTTCGAAAGGAATGTTTAGGGAATCCTGCAACGCAGCTCTTCGTCGGCGGGAGCCTATTGGGAATTTTCCTGCTCGAATAAGCCTTCGTTCCAGACGAGGGCTCGATACTAAAGCGGGATCTATCGCCCGGTAAAAAGGCTGCTTTGAGCTATCGGCTTGGGCTTCTTCTGACAAGGTGGAGGTCGACGCGAAAGATCGGGCTGACTGAAGCGGTAACGCAACAAACCCATTTCTGTAGGACTGGCGCAAGCATTGTAGTAGCGGCTTTGACGCCAGCTCGCAGTGCGCCATGGCGTGTCGGCGGGAATAGGGTGCACTGGATTGAGAGTTGAATGTCAGTAAATCGTTTCCCGTCGGATTTTTTCGTCGGTCGAATTGGGTTTCACTAGCTAACATAACGTAATCTACCACCCAATGATGATCCGGCCCAGCCTAGAACTTGAGACAGGGAGCAAATGCCCTCTGAAGTATGAGTACATCAGAGGACTTTAAACGAACAGCCTGGCTACAGAGAATGGTCTAAGGTCTAATATGCTATGAGTTTCGTGACACTATGATCAGCTATTTGGAGGACTGTAAGATTCTGAAAACGAATACACTAGGGTCAAGAATTGATAAAACGAACTCAAACAGAGTTATATATTTAAAGGTGTTTTGATAATGATGCCATCAAGCTGGGGTCAGGCCCATTGCTTGGATCCTTTGCGTAGCAATTGCACGGAGGTTCTCAACGGACAGCTGAAACCCGTCATTTCCGTTTCGACCGGCGAGCAAGTATGCTCCAAAGAGCTGGCGGCGGGTAATTGGTAGTGTTTGCGGCGCCCCAGTGATGGGAACAGGGAAAATATCCTGTTGCATGGTATTCATGTTAATACGGAGGTCGCCGCCATAAATCTTGGTCCCCTTGAATCCTTGGCATACTTTCGGGCGTTCGCAGGGACGCAGGCTTGAGTTTAGATGTGATCTTGCGGGGGTAAGGGGGGTTGGTCTCTGCAGCCCTACAAGTTAAGGACCGCTAAGCAGCGCTGAAGGCTTGGGAGAGGCCCCTATACTGAAGGACCAAAACATATGGCGGCGACCTCCATACAGTAGCTTAAGAGGAAGTCAGTAAGTCTGGACATACCTCTGTCTGCTGAAGCCGTACGTTCCTAGCAGAGTCTCGGCCAAATAGCTCAATAGCACTAGCAACGCGTCCATCATCCCTTTTGGACCATTTTAAGATAATAACAGCTTGTACGGTAGGGGCCCCCCCAACTAACCACAAATCCGCATCTTGATGTAGTCGAGGCCAGCTTTCAGGCCAGCCCGTTTCAATCACTATTTGGGGAAGGGGTTGTGTATTCGGACAGATACAAAGATCGGGCTCTTTTGAAGACGCAGAGTAGGGGGCTTGGAAATTCTCAAACCCTTTTCCAACTTAGCGAGAGGAGTCAAGACTAGAGAGATAGCTGCTTACTGCTCCCAGCTGCGATATCGAGAATTTCATATTCGGCACGCGTCAATGATCCGGCTAGTAGCCAGCCAGCCGTCTCGTTCTTGATCCATTGCTGCTGGGTGTCGTGGATCCGGGTTGGCATTATACGCACCCACAATGTTTTCGTTTTCGAGTTATAATGGATTCTGTACGGGTAAAGGCAGTCAACAAGCAGGAAACCGGTAAGGAAACGAGCAAGTTCACCGGGGAAGAACCTGCTCCACATGCTCGTCTTCGATCAAGGAGGCTGTGACGAGGGAACCTGCGTCGGCATCAACATTTTCATAGACCAGCTCCTGAAGTTCAGTGATTTCGGTTATTTGACGACGTATTTCATCAAGCAGCTTTTGAGCAGAGAGTTGACAACTGTTGTTCCTGTCATCGTTGCTGCGAAACGCGCTGTTTGAAGAGCCCGACATTATAGCGACGTATGGTGAAGGACGCGGAAATTTTACAAGCACTTCAGCTTGCTGGATGGAATGTTCCAACGCCCTGGATGAGGTATAAATTCAACTCTTTGCTCTTCCATCATTCACTGTTTGTCATCGCATACTCCTTCCGGAGTACTCCGTATGCAACAACTTTCAACTTCCCCGGTTGAACTGCTAGCCAAACGTAGTTGACCACCCAACGATTTTTACCCCCCAATGAACCTTTATTTTTTAGCGCCAAAATTCAAATCGCTGCAAATCCGCAACTCGACACAAGGCGAACATCACACTCTAGCAGCCTATCCCAGCGAAATTCAATCGATTTGACCCGTTCGAGTTAAAGCCATGGCGACTGGCAGCAAAGCGTTTGGGGCTCTTAAATGGTTGAGCCGCAGCTGCGCCTGGGCGCCGGTCCTTGAGCCATCAAAAGTACGCTGTCCGCTTTTTGGGTCCTATTCTCAAGCTGACAGGATTCTAGCAATGTTTGCCAAAGCAATTGTCACGGTCAATGGCGACTGAAACCCAGATCCCGACCGGCAGTCTCTTGACAGCTTTCGCAGACGCTCACGTATCTCCCATCTCCCCAGCCGCTGACGATATCCCGGCGCCGGCATGGAGCTCTAAACCGGTGATCGCCACACTTTACGACTTTCCTTCAATGGAACCACTTCGATTCCTCGAGTACAGGAATGAGCATCTTCTTCTGCCGCTTCGCCGCGACCTATTGCACCGCGCCGTGGTTTATGAGGGTGACATGACACGACAGGGCACGGCAAGTACAAAGTGGAGAAGCGAGGTACGGGGTAGCCGCAAGAAAGTCCGCCCACAAAAGGGAACGGGACGAGCGCGTCTAGGAGACAAGAAGTCGCCCATGTTGAGAGGTGGTGGTGTCGCCCATGGACCACATCCACGAGACTTTTCCACCGAACTTCCGCGAAAGATCTACGACAAGGCGTGGCGGACTGCCCTTAGCTACCGATACCGGCGGGGACAGTTGATCATCGTCAACGACAACATTTCTATGCCGAAAGATACCAGCGTGCATTACTTGAAGGAAATTTTCGATAGAAACGATTGGGGCCGCAAGTTTGGGCGTTCGCTGCTTATCACGGAGCTGAAGAAGGAAAAACTGTTCGAATCGGTGGAGCAAATCGGGGAAGATGCGAGAGTCTTGGATCGTGAGGATGTGGACGTCAAAGATCTGTTGGAGACGGGACGATTGATTGTTGAAAAGATGGCACTGGATCGAATGCTGGCTAGTCATTCCAGTGATTTGAAGAGCAAGCCAAGGAGAGCCTGATTGATGATAGACCATGTGTACAATATATTTTGATTGAAGTATTTAGTTAGCTTACTGTTCTCTTTTCTAGTTAACAGCGATTTGTCGTTTGACTACAGTGCTTTGGGAGTCTTGAGTAACCTCCGATTAAGCTGTTTCCCTGGAATTTCGAACAATTACTTTATTCCTCATTCCAACAGCCAACTTGAAAGGGATGATTACTTCCTCTGGGCTATCTTTCGTCGGAAGATAACTAAACTGCCTGCGTTGAAATTCTCCGAGGTCAACCGAGCGGAGAAGCTCCCAACTTTTTCACCATCTCCAAATCCACTCAACCCCGGCTCGAGGGAACAGGAAATACAACTCCAACCGTTGCCGCGCATCTACACACCACATTTCTAGATTTGATTGCAGGCTCTATATTGATGTTCCTCCGATCGAGCTGCGTCCGGTCATCGCCGCTGAGCTGGTTCTCGCGGACTTCTGCTAGCGCAATGCCATTGAGAGGAAAGGTGGTGAATCCGGCTTTCGCAGGACAAGCAAAGGTGAGTATATCATGAATGCCATTGATTTTTTTTGTTTTCGATGCCATGAATTTGAATTGCGCTGATAGGTTGCCTGTTTACAGATGATTGCTACTGCAGCGAAAATCCCAAAAGAACTCCCCGGCGACGAGCCCGACGATGTCGTTTTCAACAATTTATACGGTATTCGCTCAATCGAGCTTAACAGGTCGAAGAAATTGAACTCGCTAAATGGCTCTATGGTGCGCAAGATTGCCCCAAGACTAAAGGTAGGCAAGAGTATGAGGTGTTTGTCGCGAGGTGCTCCGCTAAATTGGATGGTAGGAGTGGGAGAAATCCCATCTAGCGACAATGGTGTTGATATCGGGAGCTGGAGAAAAGGCCTTTTGCGCTGGAGGCGACGTTGCCACTCTTGCGCAACAGAATACTGAAGGAAAGGAAGGACAGCAAAAGTCCAAGGACTTCTTCTCCCTCGAATACCAGCTCGACCACCTCATCGCGACATACTCGAAACCGTACATTGCAATATTGGATGGTATTACAATGGGTGGTGGTGTTGGGCTCAGTGTTCACGCTCCTTTCCGGATAGCTACTGAGAAGACACTCTTCGCTATGCCAGAAACGACCATCGGTTTCTTCCCCGACGTCGGAGGATCTTTTTTCTTGCCTCGCCTCGATGGAGAGATTGGCACCTATCTTGCCTTGACTTCAGAGAGACTTGCCGGTGTCCAAGCCTTTTATAGTGGAATAGCTACCCATTATCTCCACTCAAGCACGCTGAGCCAGATGGTGTCACGTCTTTCAGAATTGACTTTCAAGGACTATGCCTCACTCGCCGAGCGCCTCGACGTGGTCAATAGCACTATTTCAGAATTCTCTACAGGTCTCCCGGACGAACCGATCTTGCTTGCCGGCAGTCTTCGCGAGTCAATTGACCGCTGCTTCTCGGGTTCTACAGTCGAAGAAATCCTCGCCGCTCTTGAAGCTGAAACGGTGAACACGGAATGGGCACAAAAGACGATTAAGACACTGAAAACTCGGTCGCCGACGGCTCTCAAGGTTACCCTACGTCAACTGCGTGTCGGGCGGGAATGGTCCATTGCTGAGACCTTCCAGCGCGAAGAAAAGATTGCTGGCCATTTCATGGAGCACCCCGATTTCGTGGAGGGTGTTAGTGCGCGCCTCATCAACCGGCCCCCTACAGAGCCCAACTGGAAGCCCGCCACCCTGGAAGAAGTTACTACTCAAGACGTGGACGAATTTTTCCGCATCCCACAGGGAGAGCAGCGCCTCTCGCTCTTGAATCCCGAGGCAGATTATACCGAATATCCACATGCGCGATTCGCACTCCCTAGCGAGGCGGAAATTGAAAAGTTTGTGCGCGAGAATAGCACCTCCAAAACACAGATTGTCAAGGCGTTTGAGGCGAAGTGGAGAGAAAAGGAGGGTGTAAGGGCCAAGGTAACTGAAGTGCTTAACCGAAAAACAAAGTCCACAGACAAAGGAAGACAATGGATCGATGGGGTAGAAGAGATTCAAGAGAGTGTCGAGGAAGAGGAGAAGGCATAACGCAGTCTGTAAATGATCTGTATTATTCAAAGCAAATACCAATGGCAGGGAGATATAGACCAAGTCATCACTCTATGGATATTGTAACAACAATCAGTTCCCGACCCAGCATCAGGGGAGCATGCTCATTGCCCTTGGAAGTTGCCAAGCTGTTAATGAGATGAGATATTGCAACAGAGCATCCTTTATCCATCCTCCTTCTCCCACTAATGTCCTGGATGCAAGCATTTACCCCCTTCCCCGCCTCCCCGTTCTCTACAAAGACCCAAACTGGGCTCATTCCATAATACCTGATTATAACCTTTCTCTGGTGTTCTCTCTGGAGAATAAAACCTCCATTCTCCAACCCTTTCTAACAACCGCACATATGCAAATTTACACACTCGACGGCACTATCAACGCGTTTTTCAACGCGCAAGTTTCACCAAGTCGACAACAATGTGACGACTTTGCAGCCGCACTTGTTCAAGGCCCCGTGCACCCTGTTCCAATACAAGGATTTTCAGCTATACTCTTTCGACCAAGGGCGATGAAGACCAGAAAATTGTTCAATTCCGCGTCAATCACTCCCCGCTCGATGTTGACACCATCCAGTTGGCAAAAGAAATTCATGGTGATATTGTACCCTCCACCCAGTACTATGGGGAGCTTGGGAATGGTCCGGCAGCACCACTTAAGATCTATGTAATTGATAAACTTCCTGGGACAACCTACATCGATATGGTGCTCGCTTACCAGAGGGACTCCTCCCGCCCAATACCGAAACTGAGAACAATCCAGGACCTCTCACGGTACCTACAACCAAGCTGCTCCCCAACTTTGAGTCATTTTTTTAGCTAACATGGGCGCAAGATACTTCGCGTCCGCCTGGCTTCACCCTGAAGAAGTAACACACGCGAAGCAGCAAGAAAGTCAGGAACGGATTTCGAAAAAGCTGACCATTCTTGGCTCTGTCTTACCTCGTCGCTTTCATAGCTTGATATCATCTCTACAAGCCGACTTGCATCATCTTTATTCCCCCGTCTACCCTCAAGTTCTTACTCATGGAGACCTCTGTGAGATGAACATCCTTGTTATGCCGGAGACTGGTCAGATTTCGGGTATCGTGGATTGGGCAGACGCGAGTACGCTGCCATTTGGCATGGAGCTCTGGGGGTTGGAAAAGGAAAACTATGGATTCTCAAGGATGGAAGGATGATGAGAATCGAGGGCAGTTGGAAGAGGAGTTTTGGCGGTTGTTTTGGGATGCAGTTGATGTTGATAGAAATGGGCTCAAAGACCAACTGGAGAGGGCCGTACGGGTTGCACGAGACATTGGTGTCCTCCTAAGGCATGGGTTTAGCTGGGATGAAGGCATCTATGAGGGGCCGGTGTCTGCGACAGATACAAACAGCATGCGATATTTCGATGCACTTCTTTTATCAACAAAACAGATGACATAGCAGCAGTCTTAGCATCCTTATTGGCGAGGCACCTGGAGATCCGCCAACCCATTGTGGACAACAGCACAGTCATGGTCGGACGACACGGAATAGGTCTCCAAGTCCGAAAGCGCTCGGTGGAACAGATCCACCGTCAGCCTGCGGCGTGACTGTACAAGTAGCTCCAGAGCGGTCTGCTTCTGATCATGAACGGATGACTCTGCAACCACGATCCCACAGGGCTGGTCGCCATCAGGATAATCCAGGGGAAGCAGGTCGACAGAATTCCCCGTCTCTACCGGGATTACCACTATTCCAATATCCTGTCCGCGACAGTGCTTTCTCCACGGGGACTCAGCGTTTTTCTTTCATGATGACATTTCAATCTCGCTAGATCAAATCGTCGACCGCAGGGCGTACCCACGAGGTCGAGCTCGCGGCAATTCTAGTTCAGGTTAGTGCACAGTCAACATTCTGTCCCGTGAAGTCATGTTCAGACTCATGACTAGATTCTCGATGGGCTCCAGATCACTGGCTGTTTCATCTAACAGTGAGAGGGAGTCGGGACGGTCGAGTGAAGTCTTCCGCATTCTCGAGAGTGCAAACAAACCAAATACGTTGGCCTTACTAAGCAGCAACTGCACATTTGGCAGATTTCCCACGCCGTAGCACTTGATAAAAATTCAAAAAAAAAAAAAAAAATAAAGGAAAATCATTTTGACAACAATCTCATTTTCAACCAACACCAATGTTGATTCAATTCACAATAAACAGTTCAAAACCACATTCAGTTGCTATAATATGTGAGACGAAGTTTTATGTTGACTGTCGCAAGAATAGTTCGCCTGGAACTCTGCATTTAGATAATCGGTCGTTCCTCGATGCTATCGCACCTGGAGTCATGAATGAGAGCCCCTTCCTGTCGCTTTGAAATAGGGACTATTCCTATTCATCCGACATTGACGCAGCCATACTATATCCTATCCCTACCTTCGCAGCCCGTACCTTCTATCACTCCTCAAAAAAAAGCATTACCCAATCCCCTAAATCTCTCTCCTCGCTTCTACATATGCTAGAGCTCGTCGTTGCCGAGAAATACATAACAATGTGTTTTTTCCCCGAGCGTGCGAGTGTGGACAAAGAAGCAATAGTATACTACAAAGCCACATACATGGAATATGGAGTGGACTTAGCCCGGTGTGGTGAGCCTGATTTCTGGTTTATTTCATTATAGACAGTGAGAAACTGGGTGAGCTATGTGGGAGACATGGTGCTGTTAAGCCCTTGGAGGTACCAGTGTCATGAGCACTAATATGGTGTTATAGATTTTTTTACTTTTCTTAATGGACATAACACATCACAATCTGAACTTTTACATCTTTCTACATCTTTCACATTGGTCTTGCATATTTACATATAATGGAGAGAGCAAGTTGCCCACAAGCATACCAATGGGCCATGCTCAGCAACATCATCCAAACCACCCCTCACTTTTTCCAAAAAGCATCTGCATCGGGATGGATCTCCCATCCCGGCCTCAGCCCCTGCCTCTCCTCCTTCTTCTTCGCAATATCAATGCCAAATCTTTCCCCTGTCTTATCCGCCAGCTCTTTGATTCCACCCGGACACGCCTTCTTGACAGCTTCCTCGGATGTGAAGCTACCCATGAGCTGTGGCGCACCCAGGGGCACCGCATCCCCCCGATCGACCTGCCACATGTGATACGTTTTGCCATAGAGCGGGATCACATTGTCCATTTCCGCCAGTTCGGCCTTGTCCCATACGGCTGCGGGGGTTCCTGGATTTCATGATTTACGACATCAGCAATCGTTTGGGATTTAAAAAGCTCCAGGCGTATCATTAATTTTCTTTTTCTTTACCTTTTGGAGTTGGCATGACGAGCATCCCGCTCTTCACCTCGAATTCATGCGAGTGCCATAACTTGCGCTCCTCTGGCGGAAGCGTTTCGTATATTTTCGGTGTGATCATGTACTCGACGCCGATCAGGCGGGCGTTTTTCTCGGGAGAATCGTAGATGAGGCACTGTCTGAAATCTGCGATGCTTCAAGGAATTTTTTTTTTGGTCTGTCGTTAGCTAGAGCTTACTGGCTCCGACGGGCGGGGGAATCGATGCGTCACTGACCGGCGTTGACATGGCTGCAGTAGTGGTTGGCTTCCACGCACCGCGTGGGATCGTCAGCGTATACGTGATATGCGTGTAGATGGGCGCAGATTTGGTTGACCGGGTTGAAGTTTTGAATCATAGATGCTCCGGTTGTGAGTACTTGATTCTGCAGGGTCATCGGGTCTCCAGGGACCTCTTTTGTGCCGCTCTGGGACATGTTTGAGTGATGCTAGTAGCTAATTGAAAAAGATCAATAATATTCTCAAGAATTGATTGTGTCAATTTGTCTTTATTTCTGCTCTCCTACCCGTTTGGCATTGTACTTCTTATATATCGAGCATATTGACTATCTACAAACACCGTTTTGATAGGTAGAAGGTTGCTCATGCCGGGCTTGACGTCATTGCCACCAACTCGATCTTGTGGTTCCGTCGAGAATCCGTATGGTATGCCAAACAAATAATTGCAAGTGGAAATAGAAATCAAGTATACAGTATTGATCCCCGAGGGAAAACCCACACTTATGATGCGGTACTCCGCTCCCACCCCATTATCAAATCTATTATATGGCAGATTTACATCGCATTCTTCATCTCTCTGAGAGCATTCATAACATCAACGGGGTTCGTTGCCCCAGTAGCCTTTTGCATCTCGGGGTCCTGTTCAAGCAGACTATGTCAGTCGCCGAAATTGTTTCACCTAAAGCTCAGGGGCATCCAGGTCACTTACCGCAACTCTCATGAAAACGTTATGCAACTAGAATCATCCCAGGTTAGTCAGATTGACAAGTTGCAGGCATGGCTTATATACGTACCTTCTCGTCGCCGATCGTGAAGACGCCGTCCGTTCGGGGGTTGCTATCGCAGTATGCGTGCAGTTTTTTGATCGGGTCTGACTGGGATACTGAAAGGCAGAATTTCACGTTCGACTTGGTGTATTCATGGCCGGGCTACAACGAGAGTCTTCATTAGCCCACCTCCGCAAGGTAAACATTGATCTGGGCCTCTGTAAATCCCTTTCATCACAATTAACATAAACCTACGTAAACTTTCGTATCATCTGGCAATGAGGCGAGGACTTCATTCAGTGCTTTGTGCATTTCTTGGGCATTGCCCTCGAAGAATCGTCCGCACCCTGCCAACGCTGTTTAGTATCTTCAATATGACGCTCTTTGACAGTCTACTTAACTTACCGGCATTAAAGAGCGTATCACCGGTGAACACAATCCGCTGATTCCCATCCTCAGCAAAATAGCAAATACTATCTTGCGTATGGCAGGGAGTGTGCAGAGCGGTGACCGTTATCCGGTCGCCGATTTTGAACTTCTCTCCATGGGCTGGGGTTTTGGTGACCATTTTGCAATCCTTGCCGCCAATTATCGGCAGGTGGCCGAATTGTTGAGTCTGATATATCGATCAATCGGGCTTTGGTTAGTCTAGACAAAGTCGCTTCAAGATGGGGACAGCAAATCATACCATTCCCTCGTTTCCGCCGGCATGATCCCAATGACTAGCAAATATCAGTAGGTCGTAGCGATGAACGAACCCATGGGGGGATGCACTTACTGGTGCGTGTTGATGATTGCTTTGAGGTTGATTTTCCCAGAGTCAATATGTGACTTTAACACGGGTATGACCCTGATCTCCCTCTCCATCAGAATTCCCATCTCCGCTGAAGCATTTCAATGGGAGTGAACATACTCCGGGGGGTTTGCAGGGTCAACAATCATGGCATTCTTGGTCGGCTCATCGGATATCAAATAGGCATAATTATTGCCCTTTCCGGTCCCTGTCGTAGACCGATTTCTGTCAGTATATGTAGGATTACTTATAGCAATCGGAGCGAGTCGTCCTCTTTGGCTGGGTTTAGTCCGGAAACACGCGGAGAACGTACACATGGGAATCGATTCGATATGCATCTTGCGTCTCGGTAGAAATTTGGATATACCCGAAAATGGTATTGATGAGATAAAGGGCCGTCGTGCCAACATGAATTCTATAGAGTGGTATAAAGATCGGAATTGAGTGTTTGGTCGCGACCCGCGGAAGCTCAACAATTGCGGGGGTGACGTCGGGGAAGAAGCTGAACTCGAGGTTTTGGAGCCAACTCAAACCAACAGGACAACATTCACCATCTACAGGTGCGCGCACTGGGCTGAAGTGATCTAAGGCACGCTTGGCCTATCCACTACTGTCTGGCTCTGCTATTCTACATTGATATCTTCTCCAAGGTCTCCAAAGAACCCTGCATGGGCTCCAGAAATGCCTATAAATATTATTGCCTTCATGTTAATCATCGGATAGCTTGTTGAACATACAGCACTCGTTGCATTTCATTGCACCTCGGGTGCCCGATCGCGTACCGCAATGAAGGAAATATTTATCTTAGACCAGACCAATCGGTTTGAAGGTCCGTCTCCGTTCCATACTCCAGCCATAGTCTTGAAGGCCCTCGATATCCGATGCAAGTTCTGATTCGATTTCGGCAGCTCTTGGAGCCATTCCCTTCATTTCCAACGTAGCCTCTAACCCATCCTGATAACTCTCCATCAAGCTGTTTAACTGACGTCTCCAGTGGCCGTCTCCATCTCGACAATCCGCTTGAGCATATGATAGGACCAAAAGCTCCCGACGGAGCAGCGCCCAGGAACTCGACTGCAGAATGTGCTGCAGCCAAGCGTAGACTCCTTCTTGGTAGGGCTGATTGTCCGCGTCCGATGAGGGAGAATGTATTAAAACATCGACCATGTTTTCCACGAATTGCGTCAAGAAAGGGGTGTGGTGCCTGCATATTTGCTTGATATGTTCATCCCATGTTGAAAAAGCGCGGTCCATTGAATCACCGAAACTTCATACAGTCAGTTGTAGCCACTAAACAATCAGTCAAGCTCGAGAACGCTCACCTCCGGTCTTGTGGTATCAACACTCCCGACTGTAACAATCCTCGTGCAACGAGTCCGCTTCCGTCGCTCTCGCGCTCACAAATCATCGCAAGTTCCCGTACGCTCAACCTCGAACTTTGATCCTTGCCACCACCGTCTTGACCACTCCGTTTCGCCAATAGGGACTGCAAGGTGGCGGATATTATATCACTTAGCGCTCGCTCGGTCGTTTCAGAGCTTCCAAGCGGCGCAGAGCCACCATAGTCAATCTTCGCCCAGTAAAACTCCCACAGCCAATCGAGCGACCTCCGAGCGGCATCCCGCAAAACCGCTAGCGATGGAAGCTCACGGTGCGTGGCTTCATGGCGCAATTCAACAAACGACGCCGGGACCCCCAAAGTCATGGCTTTTTGATACATGGTCTGCTTTCTCCCATGAAGTTTTGAATCCACCAAGCCCGTCACGAACCTAGTAGGCCCCTATTGTCAGGAAGAAAAATCCCAAACAAAACAAAATCCGCTAGTGATGCGGGCCGTCAAAACATACCTGCAAAACGCCGACGAATACGTCGCGCGAATTGAAAAGATGGAGTTTTTGCTCGCGTCGTCGTGCAGGATGGCATCTGTCAATAGCGCCGTGGCCTCGACGGCATGCGGTAGATTCCCTCGAATTTTCCACACCCATACCTGTTATACGTGTTTTTGGTCAGTATTCGTGAACTGGAGCAGGACCAAGGGGAGACGGAAGCAGGGACTCACGAGCGCAGAGGCCTGTGGACGCATGTCTGGGCCATTGTAGTCTAGGGGTGGATAGAACTGGTCTCGCACAGCGACGAGCTGGGAGCGCTCCTTCCAGGGAGTAAATTGCAACTGTGGCATAGCCAGCAATAAAAAAGAATAAAAAAAAAAATCGATTATAGATCCAAAAGTAAAAGTAGAAAAAAATCCCTCCAAGAGAAAGGGATTTGATATGCTCTGGTACAGCGGATGGGTATCGGTATGCTTTTGGTGATAGGAAAAATTCTGTCTCGACGAACAGCTCAACTCAAGAATCAAGTAGTTAAGGCCAAACTAGAGCATATCGCCCATCTCATATGCATTGATAATGATGCTATTTACGATGTTCTCTGGACTTGTTCACGAGTCGATTCCCAACGAATTTTGGAAGATAGACTTTGCGGGCTAAATGCTTAGTCGAGAGTCTGCCAATCAATACACCGGTTTCATCAGAGAAGAGAGGAACATGTACGAAAGACGGTGATTCCAAAAGGAAATATTCGTTATTTATGTTTATCTATTATATATGATGTTTGGTCTATATACATGAACATGTTGTGGTACAAATATTGGAATGGCCAGATCCAGCCTCGATATCGCCGTGACGGGCATCTTCCAACCCCCAAAGTCCAGAGGACTATCACTCCCCACAAGCCTCATCTTCCGAATCATCTTCCGCATCGCTTTCAACAGGCGGCGGATTGAAAGTTTCCTCCAGCTTCAGCCCCTTCCCGATAATCTGCGCAGGCTTAAGAAACGGGCCATCGAGATTCGTTCTGATCCCAAAGTGACTCTCCATCGACGACGATTCCTCCCACGATATCGCTTCAACAGGCTCATCATACAGCCCCACTCCGACGAGGACTTCATCCGATTTGGCGCCATCATCCGCCGCCAGGAATGGCGGTGTCTTTGGTTCTGGAACGTGGTGATATGAAAAGAGTTCTGGCGACGAGGTTGCAGTGGTGTTTTGCGGAGTGGGACGTTCATAATGTCGAAGGTTGGGTGTCGTAGTCGAAGAGACCATGGGTATGTATGTTGGCCAGTCCGACTCCGGTTCGGATTCCCGGTCCTCCTCCCACGGCTGCTGGAAATCGCCATGGAATGACAGATGAAATGAGTTGCGTTCGTACGGTTGCCGGCCAGCAAGACTCGACATCTCAGCAGGCGGCCACTTTGCAAAACTGTTGCATGTCCCAGGCATCTGGGGTTCTGCGTAGCAGGGACGGGGCTGGCAGTCGGCCACTGGAAGATGGTGCGAGGCCGTTGCTTTCTGGAGAGCGGCGTAGAAGCTCGCGGCGAGCTGATCGCCCTGCGCTGAAAACCGGCGGCAAGAGCCGCTTCGGGATCTGATATCGCCTCTGCCATTGTTCCGCGGGCTATTTCCCGTGCTCGCAAGCTTGGTGATGCGGCTCGGGTGCCGTCGTGCCAGGCCGCCGACATATGTTGGGTTCGCGAAGGCATAGTTCCCGCCCAGGTCAACGGACATTCTATCAAACTGGGCCATGTTGTTTGAATGAAAGAAGGGATGGGAATCGAATAAAAAAAAAGAAGTGAAAGATCCTCTGTGGACCTTTTTATGTCGATATCACAGGCCTAGGGAGCGAAGAGAGAAAGCAAGGCAAAGAACAGGTAGTAGTAGGATCTGATCCTGCTAATAGTGATGTAGGTTTAGCGGGCTGCTTCACAATGATAAACACTCTTCGGCTGGCATGCGTAACATGGGACAACCGGCTGCTTGGGAGTGGACATCATTTCCAGCCCGTGTACGGGGAGTACGGAGTCGAGCAATGTGAACGGTGGAGTGGTTGCAGGCGTCAAAGGGGGAAGAAAAAGACAACCGTCGCAAAAGGTTAACATTTCTTATTGGAGCTGTTATTATTATTCTATTTTGTTACAAGCCGAACTTCCAGAAGAAAAGAAAAATATGACCCCCAGAAAGCAGCCTGCTCTGCACTGACTGGGTCCTCTGGTCCCTCAGACCCGGGGACAGGGCGGAAGGATGATCATGGTTGATGGAGATGCATGAGCCTAGGCTGTCTAGGATTGTGGGCAAAACGCAGAGGGAGCAGGCTAGGAGAAAAGAAAAAGAAAAATGTTGGTTCAACTATAAAAACTCTTGAGTGGACCGTCGCCTGCAGGGACCGGGCTGCTGATAGTCAGTGGACGATGCCGAACTAGACGGCTAACTTAGCTGCGCGGGTTTGAGCATGGTTGGATCCCCATTTTCCGAGCCCTGCATGGCGAGTCTGCCTGAGAAGTTAAATAACAAATACGCTTCGACGAGCATGAATGATGAAACTCCCAATTTCGTGGAGTTGTCCAGGCAATCGTAGCTCAGACGAAGGGCCTTGACCTTGACGTCCTGCCCCTACATATGTACAAACCATGGATCTTCCGTATTTTTGATTCCCACAATCTGCTCTGTATCCTCAGGCAGACTGGGCCAGTTTTCGAGCTTGGTGCAGGGCCCATCGTGGTTGGATCAGGGCCACTTCTGATTTGGGGGAGAGCCAGATGTAACGATGGAGACATTATCCCAATTATTGGCTTGGGTGTGAGGCGGCGAAAAGAGTCAAGAAATCACATCGACTGGATCGCCCCGAAGCCACACGAGACTGGCGGAGCGATGACGATGCTGCATCTCCATGAATTGCTAGTGAAGATCCAAGAATAGGCTGGATCGCACTGCATCGCATCGACAACGCCGGGATGCACATTGTGAACGTTTTTTTCCCATACATGTGACCAATCGACTGCAATTCCCATGTGCGCAACCTCGTAACTAAGTACATCCAGACATTCGCTCTGCCTGTGCACGGCCAATGTAACCAACGAGTCGAATGCCGTGGATGGTCCTTGTCTGAATCCGACCTCCTGGAGATCGCCCTGAGCGCCGAAATGGGCTTGTTGTCGATTCTGGAGACTCGAGACACCTGTTACACCCGATGATCTTGTTTTGCGCATCCACCCGAGGGATCATTATTTTCCTGTGATGACTCTTTTTGGAAGAGAACAAATATCGGGAAAACTCAGAAAACAAAGACAAATCTCGCCGCCTTGTGGGGCAGACACCAAGAGCTGGAGGGGCAAAAGAGGGCCTTTTTATCAATATTGAACGATTATTACGTCGCTCGGCACTGGTCGAAACATCATCGTGATCACTAGCGGAGGTGGAGTTGGGCATCGCGAAGCCGGTGATTCGAGCCGTGTTGCTCGACGAGATCCCCAAAGAGGCGACCAGATGCGCTCGGGCCACAGACACGCAGCATCCAGCCGAGACAGGTCAGAAAGGAAGAATTCAAGGGCAGATTTCCCCAGTTGCTGCTCCACAGCGTGATGAAACCGCCAGTCTCGAAGCTGTTGTTGCGCAACAGCCACTCCTTTCAGGGCTAAACGGCCCGGGACAGGCCAATGATCGCAGCGTGAGAATGTTGTCCACAACCTCATGGATGCCGGGGTGGCCCAGCTAGCAAGCACAAATGCAACCATCGCCTAAAACTCACCGCATCATGGGGACGACACTGGCTCCTCGGCCCCAGCCCCTGGAACCCTCAACTCATGGCCCGTTCCACCAACAGCCTATACCCAAAAAGACGAACAAGTCGTTCACTCGTCGAAGAGACTGATCTGCCAAACCAGATCCCGAAAACGAGTCCGTCATCTCATCTCAGCCTTTTTGTTCTCCGCCGTAATCACTCTTGTCGCCGAGGCTTCTCCGGATCTCCATCATCGTGCAACCCGGCTAGATTCTTTGTCGCAGGCCGTTTGCAGCCCCAGACGACAACCTTGCGCGGTGCTTTTCCCTGCTGAAAGAGCTCGCTCATTGTGCAGCTGCCCGAGTCCTTGGCCCTTGCTTTGCTGGCACAGAGCAAGATCATCGTGTGACATCCGGGCAACCGCCGAGCGACTAGCTAGTTATTAGTCCAAAGTTCCTCGTTCTCTCTTCCCGGCTGGGTGGAACGGGAGAGCAATTCCGCCCATGGATTTCGACCTGCAGGAAGCAGCACCAGCCGTCACAGTCCCAACCGCATGTTCTTTTGACTTGCGCTAGAATCATAACATTCAAATCCCTGAGAGACGTCTTCCCGAAACTTTGATCGCAAATTATGATACCTGGGCGGAGGGACACGAGTTTGAGACAAGTTAACATGCAGTCATTTTGATATTAGATTTTTTTTTTCTGTTGGCAAGTTTCGAGGTTGCAAGCCCGCGGCAGAGTCACGCCCTGTTCTGGATTCAATATTGGTTGATCCCGGGTTGACTCTCGTTCTCGTCTCTCAACTCTGCAAATACTTCGTCCCTAAGATGATATCCCATGCTCTTCAGCCCGGAACATTTGACAAATCGCACCGGCCTGTTTGAAATGCCGGTGTTGGTCCTCTCCACGATGAACCCTTTCTCTGTACTCCGTACCTTGTCTCCAATATTAATCTACTTCTGTAACGCAGGGTCGTTGCTGATCCCACAGCTGAAGGCAGGCACATTTCTCTCAACAACCAGGCCGCGGAAACTCGCACAGCCAGCGCAACTTTTCGCTCTGTACCAGAATATATCTGCCTGACTTGAGTCACCGACCAGAACCCGGGTCGAACGACAAACAGTCTTTTTAATTGAACTAGGCAACATGCAGTTTCAAGATTATATTGGACTACGATCAGATCGAGATTTCACAGTGCGCTTTGCCGCCCTAGGGAGAATTTCGGCGCAAATTAACTGCAGGTTGCGATCTCGTGTTTGCCCGATTTCAAGTCCTGGCCATCGTTAATCAAAGGGCATCCGAGGCAATATTCGGATCTTACCCAGACCCTTAACGGGATCATGCCCTTGATACACCAACTGTTGACACTCTGGCTGGTGGATGGATACACAAATGCGAGGATGGACAATCACATTGCGGCGAGACCGCACCTGCAGTCTGACTTGTCCTGGGGTTGGATTTGAAATATTAGCCGCTGGGGTGATTGATCCTCCAATTCGTCACCCTTGCTGACAAGACTTCTCCAGATGGGTTGTTTGGATCTTCAAAAGCACGCATTTTCTGTTGGACTGGCGCTCAAAGCTATTTTGGGGCACCCCTGCTAGCCTGCTCTAGCCGTGACATTGAAGCATTTTCCTTTGCGCAACCACGGACGGAGTACGACGAATGCCGCAAAAGTAGAGGACGGAGTACCCATACGGACTGGTCAAACGCCCAATAATAATGATTGCTGGAGACACAACAGCTTTCGCAGTTGCCGCCAGGATCCCTGCCCTGTCCAAGCCAATGCTAGAAGAAGAACAAAATGTGATAGTTAATTATTATGCGGCTATCCACCAGTTTAGGTGAAACGGCCCGGCGGCTTTCCTCGGATTTCTCAGCCGAAACGAATGGCACATGCTATCCATGCACTGTGATTTGTTTGTGGGCGGGCTTCACTCGATCCAGATGGCATGTGGAAGAGATGATGATTTTTTGGTGATTTTTCCCGTTTTATTTTTGTCAGGGTACCATTCATATGCTCTTATCCTGGCAATAATAACTTAGTGACTCCAGAGACTTCCCCATGCCATAATTATTTTATTGAGCGAGTGTGATCGGCTCTCCGTAACAGCCTGCATCATCAGTCACTCTCATCCCATGCTTCTTTGTATTATTGTTGTATTATTAGTTTCCGAATCGCTTTGATCCCGGTATGACGTAGTGAACGATGCACTTAAGGCTGGATGCGAGCTTGAACCACCAGCAGCAACCAGTTCACAGCATCACCACGCATTCACGTCATTCCCGAGTGATTTGACAAGCAGTCGCCATAGTTAGAGGAGCACGCGAGACACACACACACACACCCTGCCCTGCCATGACGGCAGCACCCTGGCCTCGAGCTGCGTTGACGCCCAGTTGCCTCCCTCGGTCCATCGCACCACGCAGCCCAACCCCTTCACAGAGGGACCTCAAGAAGCTCGGGCCATTCAGAATATTCGAATCTAAAAATCCCATCTGCCCTGCTATCGCTTAGCTGTTTACTCTTTATGGCTAATCCTCTCGGCGTGGATACGCGACTGCATCGTGACATGGTGAGTGCCTTGCAACCCTGCAGCGTCTATTCGTTTTCCGCCCCGAACTCGATGAGCTGCCCTGGCCCAGGTCCCCCGTTCAACGTGCTCCCAAACAGAATTTGTGATTTTATTAACCAGACCCTATCATTATACTTAGGCTGCACGGGAGGAGTCTGAAGAAGATTCAGACAGTCAACGGCGGCTCGAGGTACAGTGGCCCTGAACCCCGAGGGATGTGTGTGTGTGTGTTTCAATTCGACGATCGCCCGGGAAAAACCCTCGCTAACGCTCGTTTTCTGCTTTTTTTGTTTCGTTTCTGCGAGAACAGGTGACCTTTTGCACCGATACCACACACCGACGGAAATCCTCCTGGGTCTCAGCTGATACCCCTCGACCCGCCTGTCGCCACGCCGAACACCCAAGCAACGCGGCGTGCTTCGTCCACTCGCTTCTCGGAAAACCCAAAGAACTGCACCTGCAGCCGCTTCGGGAGGCCGTCCGTGAAGTCGCAGATGCGGCGCAGGGTGTCGGGCATGTGGGCGCCGTGGACGGCGCGGTTTTGGAGTCGAGGCTGTTGACGAAGAAGCAGTTGTCTGATATGGCCTGGAATGTGAGGACGCTGTCCAGGAAGTTGGGGAATATCAGGTTGAAGCTCAGTGTGAAGAGTGTCTTTCTCCTGACGAAGCCGCGAGATAAATGCCTCGTGCAGTTGACGAGAGATGTGACTCGATGGCTCCTCTCCGACCTTCGAGAGACCCAATACACGGTTTACGTTGAGAAGAGGCTGGAGGGAGAACAAGATTTTGATGTGGCTGGAATATTCGCCGATGAACCCTCCGCAAAAGGCAGACTGAAGTATTGGGATCTGAATCTCATCCGTCAGAGCCCGCAGTTGATTGATTTCATCATCACTCTTGGAGGTGATGGTACTGTTCTCTACTCTAGCTGGCTATTCCAGCAGATTGTTCCGCCAGTGCTTTCCTTTTCCCTTGGCTCCCTTGGTTTCCTCACCAAGTTTGATTTTGGAAATTACCAGGAGACGTTACAAAAGGCATTTCATGAGGGTGTCACGGTCAGCCTTCGCTTGCGCTTCGAATGCACCGTTATGCGAACCAAGGACCGCGCCAAGGGTAGCCAGAGGGACTTGGTGGATGAGATTCTCGGGGAAGAAGCTGATGACGATGTAACACATATGCCAGATAAAACATTTCAGATCTTGAATGAACTTGTTGTCGATCGGGGACCGAATCCAAGTGCGTCTCAAAGTCCCGCCTTTTGCTGGTATCTGAACGGCATATAAATCGCTTACACTTTCTCATAAACAGCCATGTCCTCCCTGGAAATATTCGGAGACGATGAGTTTTTCACATCTATCCAAGCAGATGGCGTATGCGTTGCCACGCCCACCGGATCCACGGCCTACAACCTGGCAGCCGGTGGCTCGCTCTGCCATCCAGAGAACCCCGTGATTCTCCTGACCGCGATTTGCGCGCATACTCTGAATTTCCGGCCGATCATACTCCCCGACACCATCGTGCTCCGGATCGGGGTGCCGTATGATGCCCGGACCAGCTCCTGGGCGAGTTTCGATGGCCGCGAACGGTGAGTTGTTTTGGGCCAGCAATCCATCTCCAGAGCGGACTCGACTGATTTTGGGGGATGAGTACAGTGTGGAACTTTTACCTGGAGACTATGTCACGGTCTCAGCATCGAGATTTCCCTTTGCGAATGTGATGACTACGAATAGCCGAAGTCATGAGTGGATCGATAGTATCTCTCGGACGTTGAATTGGAATACGAGGGAAAAGCAGAGGTCGACGGGCCGTGATAAGTATTGTGGAAAGTGTGGAAATTGAGTGTTCCTGGAGAAGAGTTGAAAAGGCAGAGTTGGATGTGCGTACCAAGATGATTCTGGGGCTCCTGACATGTCCAGAGGTCTATCACCAGTACAAGGCATATTTGAGAAACCCGGGAGCAGATCCTCAGGGTGATCTTTTCCCAAGATATTCTCGTTATACATACCAGTGGGGCTGAAACCCATGTATTCATTCTCGAGCGGCTGAAATTGCTACTTTCAATCCTGGCTCCATCTGAAATATACGCACAAGGGATGGCTGTGAGACATTGTTTCGAACTGGGTTCTTCTTGGGAGTCGAATACGGAGTAGAAACCAGCATATCATAGCACTCCTCGTCCGTGAGACACGACAGGTGGCAACGGCATATGCCTGTCTCTTCCCACTGCATGGCCTTCACCCGGATATCAAGTCTCTGCACGTAACCTGCACGGTATGTATGGTACATTAGAGCCGCAGGCCCTGTTGCGCGTACCCTTGTGAAATCACGGTACACGGTGTAGGATTTGAGAAGCCAGTAAGTAAATGCGTTGATTAGCCGCTCGGCAGCGCGTTGTCGATCTTGCAGAATTCTTAAATGGTCTGGCGCGATGGACTTGTTCAACGGGTTGGACGGGCGTGTGATCAGACAATGCATGATGCGGGATTCGCGAATGCATGTACTTAGCCCTGTACCACAGTCGGAACATTCCAGTGGAAGAGGAGCCTTTTTCGGCTAGGTCGAGTATTCAAGCGAATTATGTAGTTGGTATTGAGGCCATCCTGCGGATTGCCCCTTGCTTTGGAGAAACCGAAGTCCAGGTAAAGAGGAGAGAAGAGAGTTGATGCAATATATCATTCTCCCGGCCTTTAGTTATCACTACGATGCTACCAACAAAACATAGCGCTGCCCACTCAAAAGGCATCCAAGCTGAAGAGGATAGGGTCTCTATTAGCACGCCGCGACCTGCCCCATCTGCCTGCCTACGTATCACGATATCAGGGTTCTTTTCTACCGCCAGTCTCGCTCGACTGAGACACAACCATCCCCGGCCTTGGTTTGCCCTCCTGCATCTGTTTATCTGCTATGTACGCCATTCTTGTAAATATTTTTAGAGGAACTGGTTACAGCGTTTGACTGGCGCCTGGGTCTGGGTATGAGGCGCGATGGAAAACATATCCACCATATGAGCCTGTTTCAGGTTTCAGGGCGAGGAGGTAATCGAGGGCCCCTGTGGGAGAACTGTTCTTGAGATAAGTTACGGCCAAAAATCCTCCTGCTGTGATTATTGTAATGGACGCAACGGCGACAATCATTCCATATGTTTCCAGCTGTGCATCGAGATCTCGGGGGCCTGAAAGAAGAATCACTGTTAGCTGTGTTATTCTCGTGGTGTCCTACAAAAGGGGAATAATACCGTCGCCCTTTTTCGAAAACGTCTTTCGGTTCTGACACTTCTTTAAGATCGTCAGACGAGGAGGGAGCATGGGACTTGCGACATGTAATCGCCCCCCCACAAGGCCGCGGGAGTAAACGAAGCAGAGATGTCCGTATTCCATGGGACTGCTCCTCACTGGTAATCACGGACATCCATCAACTTGCATCATTGTAATGGTTTTGACAAAGTGTAACGTATGTACACATAACGGGAAACGGGCCAAAGTGTCTTGCACGCTATCTTTGAATATTGTGTCCGGTTTGATTATGGAGCATTGGAGGGCTCGATCGTTGATAATGATGAAAGTGACGTGGCTTGGCATTCCATCCATGTTCAAGAGCTTCATTTTAGTGAGAGCGCGGCTCTCCCTGTCGACATAGGTAGCTAGTAATAAAGCGCCCGCTCAGATATTCACACCAAGCTCAACTCCCCTCTCCAGAACGATGAGCGCCCCCGCAAGACCTCCGCCGTCACACGTCCATGCTGCATCTACGAGCGCAATCCTGAACCAGCCCCGAGACGAGAAGCAGCAAGCTCCGCAACACCAACAACTGCCCTCTATATCCCAACAACCTCTCGAGAGATCCGCGGGGCTACGTGTCCCGTCGAATCGCAAGACGATATACGATCGGAACCTGAACCGGAGCCGCAATGCCGAATCGAGTCGAGCGGGCTTTGCGTACCTATTCGCGGAGATGGTGACCTATGCACAGAGACGGGTGACGGGGGTGCAGGACCTAGAACGACGGTATGGCAGAGCTCTGCTTCTTTTTTGTTTGTTTTACTTTTTTGGAATCCTACTGTTTGAATATGGGAACACGCTTGGGGACGCAAGCCGCTGATTTGAACTCGTGATGGCCTCTAGTCTCAACGAACAGGGCTACCCCCTCGGCCTCCGGCTCCTCGATCTCCTACTCTACCGCACCCTCACAGCCTCCTCGTCCAGCACCTCCTCCACCCAGCCCATCCGGCCCCTACGCATCATCTCCCTCCTCCAACTCATCCACGGCCCGCTCTGGCGTCTGCTCTTCTCCCGCCCCGCCGACGCCCTCGAACACTCCGTCTCCCCCTCCACGCCAAACGAATACATGATCACCGACAACGACCCGCTGACGAACATGTACATCTCCGTGCCCAAGGAGATGGGCCTGCTGAACTGTGCGGCGTTTGTGGCGGGGATTGTCGAAGGGGTGTGTGACGGGTGTGGGTTCGAGGCCAAGGTGACGGCGCATAATCAGGGGAATGAGATGTGGCCGAGCCGCACGGTGTTTTTGGTGAGGTTTGGGGAGAGTGTGATGGAGCGGGAGAAGATGTTGGAGAGGGCTGGGGTAAAGTAGATGTTGCGTGCGTTTCTTAGTCAAAGGGGGTTTGGTGTTATCTCTTGACCCGCGAGTTTCGACGGATAGAAAAGGACTGGCAGGGAATTTTTTTATGTGAGGACCTCTGAATGAGTATACGCAGCGTTTAGCCGAATTACTGAGTCGGTTACATGGAGTAGGATCGACGGGAAAAGATTACATCGTTTGCACATAAGGTCTCATTTTTCGGACGACATTGAAAACGGGCATGGTACCGGCATTGGGTACGGCGTACAGAAAGAGATCCGCTAACTAGCTTGGTTAATCCAATTGTCAAGTTTGAAAACGCCTTGCAAATGCAGCACATAATATAGATATAGTGGAAAGATTCAAGGTGAAATGCGATTCACGCAGAGACATCAACTCGTCTCCTCTTCTCCCGATCCGAGTATGGCGAGGGACTGCGTTTCCGCCTGCTGCGATCATAATCCCTATCGCGAACCCTTCTCGGAGGAGATCTAGATCTGGAGTATGACGGAGAACGGCGTCGCCGCCGGGTTTGCGACACTGACCGGGATCTAGGTCTGTAGCTTTGCCTTGGAGGTGACCGGCTTCGGCTTGTTCGTCGCGCTGGACGGTCTCGTTCCCTTACCGAGCTTGCATTTGCACCCGTGGGACCAGAGGGCCTGTCACGGTCAGGTAAAAATCTCTCATCAGTGACCCCGAAGCGAGAGGAGCTATTGGCGGGAGCCGAAGAACGGTAATAGGCGTCCACGCCCCAGCGACCGGTATCTTCAGCTCGTAGATCCTTATATTTTGTTCTTCCCTTCCTCCCAATGCGCGTCATATCTCGAACCTGTAGGTATTGTGGTAACGCCTCCCGATTTCGGACCTCATCAACGTACTTGCTGCCCATCAAATCTCTCTCTGTCAAACCATGCTTTTCAGAATCAGGCTGGAAGAATGCGCCCTTGTGGAAGTATTTCTGCATGAAGCCGGCCTTGCCTCTCCCTGCTTCTCGCTCCTCTTTTTGCTTGGCGAGATACTCGCGATCTTCACGTTCTCTCTCCTCGGCCGTGAGATTTCGGCGTCGTTCAATCTCTTCGCGTTCCTTTTCGGCAGTTTCGATTTCTTCGCGTTCGCGTTTGACTCGTTTCAACTCACGTAATTTCCAAGCGGCAAGCTCTGCAGCGGGATCCAGGCCGTCGGTATCATCAATATTACCCTCTTCAACCCCGGCCCCAGTTTCATCATCGTCATCCCACGACTTTTTCTGCGCTGCTCGTGACGCCGCTTCCTTTTCCAATTCGTCACGAATCAGCGTGTCTACCTTTGCTTTGCGAAGAACGGCTTCGTCTTCGTCAGCGGCTGATGTTGCCGCAAGAGCCGGGCCTGGAGTCGCCGATTCTTTGCGTTGAGTTTTCTTAATGAATGTTGGCCTAAGGAGCATTCGTTTTGGGCCTTCATCTTCAGAGCTTGATTCTTCTTCATCCGACTCTTCCTCCTCCTCTGAGCTCTGTTCACTTTCGCTAACAATTGGAGGTACGGGCCTGTGGCCAGGAGCTGTGGTGGGCTGGCTCGGCTCTTCTGGCTCCTCTTCCGTCACAAAGCCTTCCTCGTCTTCGTCTTCTTCAATTGTCACATCCCTCACGCCACTTGTAATCTGCTTTGCGCCAATTGCCGGGAAGGATGTCGCTTTCGGGGGCGGAGGCCTCTTGGCTTGCTGTGGTTCAGGCCTTTGCGGTTCGTCTATGGTTTCTTGTTCTTCTTCTTCTTCCTCCTCTTCTTCAGACGACTCTCTTTCGTCAATTATGGGTTTTCCAGGCCGGTATCTTTTCGCTGGCTTGAGCGGGTTCGCCGTCATGCGGCGATTGGAGGAGGGAAAGGCAGGAGGAGGCATGTCAGCGGAGTTGTCGCTCCAATATACAATATCGAGCTAGATGGTAGGCATGGTTCAGTCGAGAAGCTCGACTTGCATACAGTGAGCTTTAGCCTTCGATGTTGACTTCTTTCACGTGCCGCTTCGGATGATGTTTGCTTGGTTTGTCTTTGGTCGGAGATACTGATTCTCCGGCATTCGATATGATTTGAATCTTGGCATTGAGATTCTCTCTCCTGTGATCCAACCAATGACCGCGGACCTCCAATTTCTCAGGATCTCCCGTTGTTTCAGAGTTCTCCCGCTGAAGCATCGCCAACCCTGCTAACTATCCGGGCATGGATGTCGATTTATCAGAGCGACGGTCAGTTGCAATGTAATTCACGTCCGCGGCAGATAACCTCCTGTACGGGGTATATTTACGGAGAACCTCATTCATCGACAACGGCCGAAGCCAGCTTTATTCTTAGAACTCGCCAAGTCACTGCGCCCATTGTGGCGCTTAAAGGGGTCACAGCTCTCCAGGGGCTAATCTGCAGCCAGGCCCGTGCCAAGCAGGGTGGAGCACATCGGCTGCGGTATTCCAGCGCCTTCCCCAATCGGGCCTAGGTGCCGAACTCTCGGTTGTTTACACTAAACCTGAAACCGCAATGATCTGTTCCTTCCTGATCCCTTTTGATCTCCGGTTCATTTGAACTAGAAATGCTCTTTCCCTGCCAGGAACCTCCTGCTCCTCCTTCTTTTGCAGTTTCAAAGACGCTCCTTCCCTCAAAATTTGCACTTTCCTTTTGAATACATATCATCCAGTCACTCCTTCCTTCCGTGGGCCCTTCTTTCTCCCCCTGGCGGGGTCTTTCCCTCTAAACGTCGTTCTTTCCAAAGCGATCATCGTCACTCCCTTTTTCGAACCCACCCACACTCGCTCCTTCCCTCCGCAGCATTGTTTATGCTGTGAAACGTCGCCGCAACACTCCTTTTGCTTCGTCGATATATCAACGGTTACTCTGAACACAGCTTATACATATATACTACTCATGGCTACCTCAACACGAGTGTCGGTTGTCTGGCTATTGGCCTTGATCGCTGGCCTCATCTCCCCGACAATAGCCCAGACATGGACCGAGTGCAACCCTCTAGAACGAGATGACTGCAGACCAAACCCGGCACTGGGCACCAACTACACCTATGATTTTACCGGACTCCTCAATCCTGCTGTCTGGAACACCACTGCGGGAGAAGTTATCAACGGAAAGAAGGGTGGTGAATTTACCATTAGAGAACGGCTTCAGTCACCCACAATCCAGTCGCACTTTTACATTTTCTTTGGCAGACTTGAGGTACATATGAAGGCCGCAACTGGGCAAGGGATCGTCAGCAGTGTGGTCATCCAGTCCGAGGACCTTGACGAGATCGACTGGGAATGGGTAGGCTCTGAACAGGGCTCCGTCCAGACCAATTATTTCGGCAAGGGTAATGATACCACTTTCGATCGCGGAAAAAAGCACGACGTTAATGACCCCATGCACTCAATCCACAACTACACCATTCTCTGGACCGCCGAGAAGCTGGAATGGTGGGTTGATGAGAACTTGATCCGCACCCTCAAGTATGAGGAAGCTGAAGGCGGCAAATTTTACCCCCAAACCCCGTCAACCGTTCGCTTGGGCATCTGGCCTGCTGGAGACGAAGGCAATAGGGCCGGTACCATTGAATGGGCCGGTGGAAAAGTGGACTATAGCAATGGCCCCTACACTATGATCGTCGAGCGGTTGATGGTCGAAGATTTCCATAAGGGAAAGGAGTACGTTTATGGAGACAACTCAGGAGACTGGCAAAGCATCAAGGTCATAGAGTACGTGTCGCTGCCTATCAACTAAAGTTTTCATTGCTGACTTGTTGTAGCGGAGTGTCGGACGTTTCGAAAGAGGCGACCAAGCCCCCGCCAAAATCACTATCGCAGAAATGGGCGGAACTATCCGCAGGCACAAAGGGAGGTATCTTTATTGGCATTGCCGCTTTTGTCGGCCTTATTCTGGCCATCATTGCCTTCTGCTGCATCAAACAACGCAGAGCGGGTCGCAAGGAATTCAATAATGAAAACAGCAAATTCGTCACCGAACAAACTAGCAACATGGCTCTTCGAACACAATGGAATCATAAATATCGACAGGTCGGTGGGTGAAAAGTCCGTTTGTCATAAGCCGAATGGCTTTCTTTTATTTTCTGTAGAAGCTTGGGCCATGGTGCTTGGCTGGTCCAAGCAACTCTACATACCTTGAGTTATCCAGGCAGTTTCCGGTCAATTCACACGGTACACATATTCGTCAGACTGTTTGTTTTATTCCCAGTATCATTTTTTTGCCCGACGCCGCCTCCCTGTTCATTGCGGAGTTAGGAGTAGTATAATTATCTTTTGCTCATCTTGTTACTTCGAATGTTCATACTCTGCTAGTTTCTGGAACCCGTGCTTTTCTTTGCATGTACATATACGATAACGAAGCCTTAGCGTCTGTGCTATTCGGTGACCTATTCAGACCTCTCTTTAGATCCTATCACCTATTGTCAATTGAGTGTGCTCTTGCTGAGCAGATCTGTTATCTTATCTTATCTAGTGAGATCATGTCGCGCTTCCTGACTAATCAACGCGTCCCACGCGACTCTTTTGACGTCCGTTGAGTAGGGCCTGTGAACGGAGTGATATTCTAACAATCTTGAATTCTACATACCTAACTCAGCGCTCAAATCGAAGCTTAGTTTGTGTGTACTTGACTCACAGCACTCGCGTTAACCACGTATCACTATGGCTCTCACAACCCCCCGCATCCTCCCCGGACATCTCCATGCCTTTCTACCCTCCCCAACCAACCGCACGCCGAATGCCGTCCGAATCTTTGGTGTCGTGGCAAAGCTTCACGGCGAGACTGCGACACTATCCTGTCCTAATCACGGCGAGGTCACGCTGGTTCTAAGCAGGGATTCGCATCTCCAGGTCGGAAAAATGTTTGATGTTGTTGGGAAGGTGGTGGAAATCGAGGGGGTAGGTTTGCAGTTGAGAATGGTTGAAGGGACCGGGGCTGATTTTCTTTTTCTTCTGTGCTGTGGTAGGGTGCTGGAATACGGGTTTTGGGAGCTGTTGATTGTGGGAATCCGAATGAGTGTGGTGAGTTTTTTTTTCCTTTTGTATTAACTACTTTTTTTTATGTTGGTTGATTTGCGCTGACTTTTTGGCGGGAAAGATTATAAAATATACGAACACGTTGTCGAGATGACGCATCGGTTTAAGGATGTATTTTATACCGCAAGTTCATGATCTTACGAAATAGAGACCAACTTCTTTTGACGACGTTGAATTTCTCTGGGGGGCCTCCGCAGGATTATAGACTTTCTGCCTGTCCTGTCTTTTGCTTGGGTATGGCCCCGCTAGATGAGTGTATTCGGGTTGAAAAGCCGAAATGAATACCGATATTTGCCAATTCAATGCAGGCATGAATGCACATTTTGATATGACGGGCGAAATAGGCGTACGGGATTATAATTTGGTGGAATGTGCGCTTTAGTGAATTTGTTTCCATGTATAAAACCTGACGCATCAGTTGAGCCGGCATAGGCAGAAATCTTCGGTATTGCTTCCAAGTAAGTATATCTAAATGAAATTATCTTTGCCTTTTAATCTCGATTTGTATAGATCAGATTGAAAGTAGTCAGAAGATTCTATTATCAAGATCTCATTTACAACTAAGCAGTAGCTCTTGGTATATCGAGAATCATTGATTTGATTTCTGACGCCAGCACCCTAATGGATGATAGCAACACAAAATGACTGAAAACGAGCAATTCGAACTACACTTATAAAAGCTCACATAGCTACCTGTCATCGTACTTCAGTTGCCGTATCGAGTTTCCGCTCTCCACATGGTAGTCGAAAATCTGAAGGGTTATGCAGTCATGGAATAGTATGCCTTTTCATGTTCATTGTGTCATCAAACTTAGTGTATTCATCAACAGCATTCCTAAGGGGCGGTTTTCATCAAACAAAAGAACAGAAATCTAGCCAAGTGCAAAGACTCTGCTAAATTGGCAAGTGTGCCTAGACAAAAAATACATAAACAATGAAAACAGTGTGAACTGTATTATTCAAGCGCTATGCCACGGATAAAGCAAAACTCAAGGGCATGAAATGTAGATAAATGCTTTAGGTAGTACCAGTCTTACTAGTAACCTCCTGGATAATTGCCGAAATAACTTCAGCGTCAAATTGTTCCACACCAGTGCCCTTGCTGCTGGACGGGGAAGTAAGAATGTCATCCTTGTCCCACATGCTGTTCAACAACTCTGGATCCACCAAGGCAGGGTCAAAAATATCGGAGTCCGAAATGCCCGAGGCATCATTGAATCTCATATACTCGCTGGTAGATGCTAGAAGAAGAGATCTGAGTTCCGCTTCTTCGTTGGCCCGGGAGTCTGAAACCTCGTTAGGTGCGTCTTCATTGCAAAGGCCAGGGGATGTCGAAAATCGCGTATTGTCCTCGTTAGATGCAGTGCTATTCTGTCCTTGTTTATCTGCTAGTCCTTCAGCTCCTTCTGAAGTTTTTGGCGAGATATAATCAGACGCATCCCAGTCGGCCCAAGCCCCGTTTGCAGGTTTTGACGGTACGAAAGATTGAAAAGCATCGGTCTGCGCTAGGGATTCTTGGTCCGACTCAAAAATGTTCAAAACCAAGCCATCAATTGTCTCAAAGCTTCTTGAATTTGGGCTATTCCAGAAGGATGAGATGCCACTTTCGCCGCTCGGGTTTTTACCGGCATCGATTGCTTGCCCTAAGGTTTGTTGTTCTCTAGAGGTATTTGGCGCTTTTGACGGTGTATTCAAATTTTCTTTATTGATAGTTTGTGTGTTTGAGCGGTCTTTCTGTTTTGGGCTTGGGCTGTTTGGGGTTTCCAGGTCGAAAAGCCCATCCTCCCCTCCTTCAAAAAGGTGATCAAGGCCATCATCCGGAAGTTGTGATTTTCCTTTTGGGCTGGTGTTCTGCTTTGACTTTTTGGGGCTCGATCGGGGACTACGTCTCACACTGTTGACTAAAGCCTCGGTGAGGGTTTTCATGGCATTGTCATCTTTTGACGATTGGAATAAAGTCCTTCGAACAGGTTTAGGTGTAAGATTAGGCTCCATAAACGAGTTATTGCGCGTTTCTAGGTTCCTCGCTGGGCTGGATTGGATGGCTCGTCTGAGTGCTTCAAAAGCATCTTCCTGTTTCCAACGATCGTTATTAGTCGTCGACTTTTGCGGTTCTGCGCTATTAGCTCTCCTGGTACTTGAACGGCACTGGGAAACACGATTGTTTCCCAAGCCCTTCCCGTTTTTTGGCGTGGTCTGTTCATCGTTGGGAGACGAAGCTTCCGTTGGTGGTGGGGAGGATTCCGAGCGTTTGGCCGCCAAAAGTCTCATCTGTGAGCGGGTTGAGGCTGCGGGGACCGCTGGAGGTCTCCTATTAGATTTCCGTTTCCTCTTGTCTTTCGGCGGAGGTTTGTTCCATTTATTTTCTGGGCGCATGTTCTTGAACTTATGAAGCCATAGTCCACAGGCTATCCTCTATTAGCAAAAATCAAGAATTGGTCAACGACATAAGTACTCACGATTGCAAAGCAGAAGCTGAATATAATCCTTATCCTCATTAGCTAGTGACTTCTTGAATTGTTTGTACGAGGTCACCGCCCCATCGGATTCGGTATCGACCGCTTCCCAAAATAGCATTCCAGGATCGTTTCTAGAGGCGTTCGCGTCCTCTGCACTGCCTTCGATAACTTTAGACCAAGCTCGTCTCCATGTCGTGGTTTCAATAGCTCCACAATTCTCGCAATATGGGGGTACCGTCCCTTGTTTGATGCATTGGTCTAGACGTGCTTGAACTTGCTTCACACGCCTTGCCCCAGCGCCACTTCTAATCCTAGCGTCTGAGACGCCTATAGGTGCAGGGGTGGAAACTGTGGCCATATCACTCATCGGACATGACGAGGCTTGGGGGTTGGTTTGTTGTTGTTGAGCAAGGTGTACAGGGTCGCTTGCAGGAACTGGAGGAAGTGAGAGTTGGGCATTGCCTGCCGTTGCTGGTCGAGCTGGTGCTGGAGCTGGAGCGAGTGGTTTCGAAGTCCTAATACTAGCTCTCGAAGAAGGCCGGGAACCTGTTGCTTTCCTTGGCTGGGGCGGAAGCGTGGATGCGGTATTGCCAATTGGCGCCATGCCATCACTCATAATCTGGCGGTACTGGTATCCGTTTGAAGAATGATTTCCAGGTCTTGAGAGGATTTGCGAATTAGTTGCCTCAACCATGCTATTCTGCCGTTGCACATTATTATATTCATTATTGACATGATCATCGTCGAGAGCTTCGATGTTCCCGCTCATAAACCCGGAGTCTTGATCAGGAAATGGTGGGAGGACGGGGCTAGAAGTCTGTGGGCATGTCGTGTCTACGACAGGTGGTGAGGAAGGCATATTAAACGGTGTTTCGGAGTACACTGCAAAACGTTGCTCATCAGGTGGAGATATGGTTGTCATTTCTGATGGACGCCGGTCATCGGATACATACAAGGATGCCTGTGAAGGCTGGCTAAAGGTTGATGATTGTCGTCGAAGCCCACTTTGAGCGGGACGAGCTCCTCGGCGATTTGGCGCGTTGGCCATAGATGGAACAGGCGTAGGTGGGCGAATTGGATCATCATTTGAAGGTTGGTTTCCTTGACTGTTAGGATTCAAAGGTGTCGGCCGATGTATTCTCACGGAAGCCGCAGTGCTAGCAGCAACGCGAAGAGATCCTGGCTGTCGCTCAATGTTCAAATTCGTCTTATCCAGATCAGCCTTCATGAGTTTTGCTCTCTTTTGTGCTGGGCCTTCGGGAACTTCATCCGAACTCCCGTAACCGGACATGACAGACCCTCTCCGGTGTATGCTAGGATTTACATTGTGAACAGATCCTCTAGAAGACGGTCTGAATGTTTCCTCAGCGCCTCTTTTTTGTGACTGAGTAACAGGTCTTGCAAGTCCAGGGGTCGACGTTCGACTTGGCACAGCACTCGTGAAGTGGGCTGGCGAATCGGCGCGGAAGTTATTCAAATTGGAAAAGTCGTGTGGCGTTGATCCCTCGCTTAACATTCGGTGGACATTCTCAATCCCTGACCTATTCACACCTGGTGTGTCACGCTCTGCTGCCTGTTGCGTGTTGCTGCCTGCGAACAAGCCCGGATTCGCCTGGATGAAGTTCGTCCAAGCCTGTGAATCGAAATCTTGAGGGATCACAGAGCTCAATTCTCTGTACTTTTGCATGCTGTTTAGATACTCGCTTTGAAGAATCGTGGGTACTGGGACCAATTTTAGTTTCACTTCCAATGTTTCTTGTGCGCCCCTCGCGAAAAGCCCGGCAGTCTTGCTAACACGTCCCGTCACCATAGTTTTCGACTGATGCGCGGGGGCATTGGGTGTTGGCGAAGCGGAAGCCAAAACCCATGATAACATCCCTTGTCCCACCAATGGTGTCTCGTATTCGGAATAATCATAGGCATAAACCGTATAGTCTCGACCAAGTTTTGCAACCAGCTCGGGACTAAATTCCAAATCAGGAGGGCTGGTGACAGCAAGAAACGACTTGTGACATAATGAATGAGTCATACCTTGCAGATACAATGGCTTGAATACAAGTCTTTAGTTCGATAACTCCAACCTGCGTTTCCTCATCTAAGAAGGCAGTTTGAATGTCAAGTAAATGAGGCCATCGTGCAAGGCAGTTGGTTTTGCTTTCATCATCGAATGTGTAGAGAACCTTGACTGGAGGAAGAGTTAGAAAATGGGCTTGGTTGGGCGGTGGAATGCAGGACAACTCACGCCTCATAGGATGAACCGAGATGCCATCGCTTTCCTCCATGGTAGCAGGCAAAATGTTGTTGCGAATAGCTTGAACCGAGAATATTTCCAAGCTCAAAAACCCACCCAGAACCGACAATCAAAGCATCACACAATTCACAAAGACTTTTCACTCGGTACGACTCAATTGCCTCATCGAAATCCAGCGGGCTTCTTAATCAATTCGACCGTGGACGCGAAAGATCGAGTCAAGTAGCCCAATCAAACAATAAACAGCAAGTCCTTTGCCCTAGCAATGCTGATCAAATATCGACGCGTAAAAGGAATATCAATGGGTTAAGACATGACTTGAGTGCGTAAGGCGGGATCTGGCGTGATGGGAGTGACGCGGAGTTGAAAGAAAAGCTGAGGATAATTAAAGGGAATAAATGAAAGATAAGTGCTGGAGAAGCTCTCAATCCCTCAATGCGTGATATTCATAATAACCGGAAGAGGGAGAGAGAGAGAGAGGTTGGGGGCGTGAGAGACGCAGGTTGAAGAAAGACGTGTAGTTCAACCTGCAGCCGCGAGCACACGCGATGTACCGAAACCTTGAAGGCACTAATAGATCTCCAATTCCGGTTTAGCGCGACTGGACGCGTCGTGACCTCGACTCGGCATTAATAATTATCCGACGCATCCATCTCTTGACACGCTAGTGCTGAAAAGGGATTAGGCCAACGCGGTCCTGGACTTCCAAGCAAGAGAGAGCGCCAGCACCGCAGAGCTTTCAACGAAGTGTGTCAAATCTGCGTGTCAATTCAAGAGAAGCCGTTCCCCGCCCGCCCTTTTATACTTGTCCAAAATGTCCGACGTTAAGATCCAGTAAGCTTGCCTTGGCCCTTTCGGGTCAGATGACCTTGATCTGCCCCTCTGCCAGGCTGCCCTTGGGGAGCTACTCCGTTCTCGTCGCATTACAGCTGAGCTAACAAGACGTCCCTCCCCAACAGAGATCTATTAAGCAAACCTCGCAGCGAGCTCACGTACGTTTTCAGAAGTCCGATTCATCTTGGGTGTTGTCTAAAGCTGTTGATTCTCTCCATCACCTTTGGCTCGCCCTCCAAACCGCGTTATTGCTAATCTCGTCTTTTTAACGATAGTGAATACGAAGTATCAATTCTTGAGGAGCATGAGCTCACTACCGGCCCTCTCTCCATCCTCCAGACCGCTACTCGCTCTCATTCCCAGGTCCTGATCTCATGTCGAAATAACCGGAAGCTTCTTGCGAGAGTAAAAGCCTTCGACCGCCATTGCAACATGGTCCTCGAGAATGTCAAGGAGATGTGGACGGAAAAGCCCAAGGGCGGTAAGGGCAAGGGTGTGAATAAAGATAGATTTGTCAGCAAGATGTGAGTGCTGTCATAATTCCTTTTGCGGAATATTTTCATTCGAGCGGTCGATGAGGCTGCGATTCTATCGTTGTTTTGGCTGTTTGGCCTGGGACTGACTAGTTTCCATACCAGGTTTCTAAGAGGCGATTCCGTCATCCTTGTCCTTCTTAGCTGATTGTCTATCTTCCTATCCCGAAATCCGAACCGTTATTCATGTCCCCCTCAACTTATCATTTCGGCACCCGTCCATCTTGTCTACATCGTTGATGACGGCTTGTGCCGTAAACCACCATTATCTCAACCATATGAACCTTTGAAATAATTGCTCCGATGTGTTCTGGCCCCCCCAAATTTCTTTCTTGGCGGGATGAAATAAGGCACGATGGTTATCGGCGTCGGTGGCGTTCTTGACCATTTCCGTTTTCCTTCAGAGCTACTACCTACTCACGGGTCAAGGATCTTTCAGGCAGCAGCCGGGATGGCCTCTAAGGGCTGAATCTACATACAATTTCCCAGTCTTAGCCTGCTCTTTGACAATAGACTTGCTACCCGAATTAGCATCTATGATCTCATTTTCAAGATACTCTAATAATCTGGTCCTGTCTTGCAATCAGACATCCGTGTGAATATGCTTGTCCATAACCCTGGAACTACTGGTCATATATCATCTATCGTATATCCCATCTCTTCAAATTTCAAGTGCCAACCCACTTAGGAATTCACTTAGCCCATATGCCCCAGGATCGGGGACCCTTCCTATCCATTCGTCTTCGCCTCCGATATACACTGACCTTCCCAGGCTAGCTTTCATACCCTTTGTGGCCTCGGCTCCCTTTACTGCAGCACACGCAGCGGCATGAACATCCCCCGATTCCGCAAGCTTGTTTATGAAAGGCACCAAGGCATCTATAAGCGTTCTATCTCCTAGCTGCGCCGGGGTGTATTTCGCCAACGCCTTCAATGAGCTCTGAAGCGCATGTGACCAGATCTGAGCCGTCACTGGTGTTGGACTAGACGAGGAATCTTGCTCCCTCAGGCCATGGGCAAGGGCGTTGAGGAAAATCGCGTAGATGGCACCGCTGGTACCGTCCATGGTGGTTTCCACCACACTGATGATTTTGTTGAGGCTGCGAATGATATCGTTGTTTGATGCGATGGAGGGGTTATCCATGAGATCTAGAATGGCTTCTGCTCCGCGCTTCAAACCGATACCGCAGTCTCCATCGCCCACAATTGTGTCGTAGCGAGTTACTAGGCTTTCTGCGGCAATGAGACGGTTTAATCCGGATGTGAGAGCCTTTTTGAAAAGGGAGGCGTCCACTATCATTGGTTAGACTGACTGTGTTTACTTCAGGGAGCCAACTCACCTTTGAGGTTTGAAGGGGCCTCGTGGACGGAGGATGCTCGTCGACCATCGAATGTTTCGTCTGATTGATTTTCCCAGGTGGACGTTTGAATCGGGGCAGCCCAGCCAACTGCTTCAGCGGGCGCATCTAGAAGCTCAAGGAGAGATTTTCCCGGCCCAAGTCCAGTATCAGCTAATCTTAATAGTGAGATGCTAAAGCCCATCCCATTCAAGCTGGTTAAGAAAGTTCCCTGGATTGTTCGGACAGGCTTGATTTGATACTCTCGCTGTAGCTGGAGATTTGTTTCTGCAGTAATTCCAGACAACTCTAGGGTGCTCACACCACCTAGATTATTGATAAAGAGGACGAAGCTGTCTGAAGGTCCCCACTTCAAGAATCCACGGTCTTTGTCGTTCTGATCCAGAAGCTGTTTCAGCATTGTTTGAATCAGCTGTTCAATGGTAGCTTTCACTCGATGAGAGCCGGGCTCGTTATGAATTCCCATTCCAACCTCGATCTCATCGTTGGGTATCATCTCGTTGGAATTAGGATCTGGGATCACTCTGCCGGGCACATGTACGTGTTCAAGGGACGATCCCAACGTCACCACATTATGCGAAGCCAACTGTGCGGTTGCGTATACTTCACTCAATGGGGCCCTGGCATGCCACTGTCAGTCAAGAAAGTCCAAGCTATGGGCATAAGAATCCCACATACCCCTTTTCAGCCAGTGCTCCTATTATTTTCAGCACCAGGATGCCACCGCCAATACCCCTCCGGCCAACCTTCCCTCCCTTCGCTCTACCGACGCCAACATCATCCCCAATGGAGAAAAACTCCGTCTTAATTCCCGCTGCCTTTGCCTTTTCAGCGGCCATTCCAAAATTAAGCACATCGCCAGTATAGTTCATCGTGACAATTAACACGCCCTTGGATGTGTCCACTCGCTGCATCACAGCTCTTCTCACTTGCTCTGCGGAAGGAGAAGCAAATATGGTTCCGGCTATGGAAGCTGTCAACAGGCCTTTTCCCACGAAACCGGCAAACGCAGGTTCGTGACCGGATCCTCCACCCGAGATGATAGAGACTTTGGGCTGTATGCACGCATCTTTCGAGGGGCGGCGGTAAATTATCTTATTCTCTTCGTCAAAAGCGAGGGAGGGGTTCGTGATGGTGAGAGAGCGCAAAGCGGAAGAGACCAAGTGTGTTGGGTTGTTGAAGAAGTGTTTAGCTAGAAACCTGTTAGCCGAGTGCAGAATACGTTTTCACTTGACCAAGGATGTATTTGAGGTTTCACACTGTTGGACTTACTCTGCATTGTAACGATTGCGGTCCTCGCTTGAAGTCGAATTGGTCATAGAATTGGGCATGCGGTGCCGAATCCAGAGTGAATGAGGTTGCGATCCACAAATTGAAAAGAAAGACTTCGAAGATTAGATCAAAGGCGCAATTTATTAAAACAATTGACAAACAGAGGTGAGGAGATGTGAAGCTGAATATAAAAAGGATTTCACCGAGGAGCAACAACACTAGGCTGTAGTTCCACAGCTAACTTGCAAACAGCAGCAGGTGAATGTGATTCATACTGTAAGACCCTTGCAAAAACAAAACCAATACCAGTGTTTCCTTACTCCAGATAGTGCTTTTACCTGTACCACGGCTGTTATGTCCTGGTTACGGAATACACCACTGTAAGTTCTCTTGGAATGCGGAGAAACCTTCACCTCAGTTAAGTTTCATACCCGGCGCAAGGTGGCTGGTTGCGTTTCTTGGGCAAACACATACGATATTCGCATATGTCTTTTGGTTCCTATTGAATTTGCATCACAGCAATTGCACTCTCTTCGTATACACGGAATTCTAGGTGAAATTACGGAACCTCCACTGGGCTTCTAGAACGAAACCGGGATTACCGCTTCGGGAATTTCCGTCGGCCGACGAGCAGATACTCAGTTCCAAACCCCTTTTGTCGGCCGGAAATCAGGAAAAGCTGAAATCGGAAGGAAAAGATGATTGATCCTTGGCGATATTGCTATTGTCAATATTTTTGATGTGAGATTCCATGGCCATCCGAGACACCGTACTCCGTAACGAGCGGTTCTTTGCAGCGAGGCGTTATCTTATCTGATCAAACTCCATTGACGTCACTTAAGGTTGGGTTCTGGAATGCGGGGTTTGTTCTAGCGTGGAACTTCGACTGGCCTTCCAGAAGAATTCAACACTGATTATTTGTTTCACAGAATGCAAGGATTTTCATGGAAACACTAGAGTTGACAGCTTGAAACTACTCCAAAGAAGAGCTAATTGCCTAAAGCTACTCCTACGTCGAACACATCTTTGGCCGTACAACATTAGTGTCAGGCGGGACCGCATCATATTGGTACCCTCATAGATTAACATCCCACATGCCAGACTAGCAGGTGACCAATAGCTACTCAGAGCAATTTTACTATTTATCTCCCTCAGTATTTACGTCAGATACTTGTACTTATTAGACTCGGTGTCCCGTTCCATATATTCCTTTTCAATCAACCTACATTGAATCAAAATATCAGCTATAGGCCATCACCTATCTTAAACTAAGGAAGTTGCATGCTTACTTGTCAATGTTCTTCTTAATATCCGCCGGATCGAGATCGCCACGGTTCTTGGTTGCTTTTATCACTTCGACGATAAGCTCCTGGGGTGATATAACTTTTCGGCTCTTCATGATGCGGACAATGGCTGCCTGTGTTTCGTAATTCCGATCTGCCGCAACGCGTTCATGTGTCTCTTTATTTTCCTCTTTCGTTTCTTTCAGCTGGATTTGGTTGATTTTGATGCGCATTTTGGGATCAGAGAATTTGGTGTTGAATCCGAAGGCATCCGTCGCATTTACGTCTCTCCCTTTTGGGCTTTTGGTGAGAACTCGATATTTCGCACAGGCGAGGGATTGAAGGGTTCTCTTCAATTCAATGTCCGCTAATCTCTGTTAGTCTAATTCTGAGGGTCAAGCACTTGCGCAAAAGGTCAACTTATTGCCAAACACTTACAAAGGCCTGTCTCTTCCTGGATTTCACGGTATGATAAAGTTTGACCCTCAGATAGATCGTTGAACAGAAGTAAGACAATTGCCTGGAATGAGCTTACAACAATCTCTTTGTTGCCGGCGGGGAATCTTGCTTTCAGCTGGCAATGCGCAAGAGAGTGCTTCCAATTGAGTTTCCTCCCATTATATTTGTTATTGTAGAACAACTCGAAGTCGGACAGCGCATTCGATATCACTCGAGGTACTTTCACCGGTACATCGGGATAGGATGGCCAAGCTGCCGATGAGAGGACGTTAACGTACAAATCCATAGCTGGCATTTCTCGTTTCTCGCGCTGCAAAGCATTGTATGAAGCCATCTCATCACGCGCAAGGTCGATGTCTTTGAACATAGACTCGAGATTGTGAGTGAAGTTCGAGCCACATTCTTTAGACTTAAGGTCAGCACGCTATTGGGATAGTTGTATAGGCACTTGAAGTCCCTACCTGATGCTAATCTGGCCAGCATGCTTTTTTCAGCATCATCGCTAGCGCTTCTTCCCATTAACAGACGCCGAGCAAGGTCATTTTTATAGAAGGCTTCGAAAACCGCCTTTCCGTGGACAAAACGAAACAAGTCCAGAACTTGATCGAGTGCCTTGTTCAATTCGACATCTTCATCGATCATCGCAATGTCTTCGCCGTTCTTCATTGGAACCTCACGTTTGCGAATCGCTTTCAAACCTCCTCTAAGTAGAAGATCCACATGCTTTGCAATCATCTCCCCAGGCTGCGCACCATTAGCCCTTCTCTGTCTTTTGTTGATGAATGTCTCAAATGCTTCCCGGAGGGTACGCCCGAGTACGTCATTCTTTTGAAAGGAGTTTATAAGAATATCATCCAAATCCTGTTTGAAATCAAGTAGCCTGACAACCATTTCATTCTCTCTGTCTTTGTCGAATACAATTGAGGAACCCTCGTCAGCTATATATGAGCCAAACGCAGACTTGAGACGGGATCCCAGATCGAGGCGTTGAAGTAGTGAATATAGCTGTTCAAGGGCAACCTGGTTATTGGTCCTGAATAGTCCTAGTACGTCGCTTTCCTTCAATAGCGTATTAGTTTGATTTGCTATCAAGTAAGTATCAAGCATTTCCGAAATGCTGTGCTTGGTGCTCATATCAAGGTTGAACAGATCGCATCTCGCCATCTCCGTTTCAATGACACGATGGCTTTTATCAACGTACGTAGCGAGATAGCTAGAATTGGCTTCGGTATCCGCCCACAGCTTTAAATATTCCTTTGAGCTTTCTAGCATCACTGGTTCGAATTCATGCTTGTAAATTCTGAGGTCTAGGCATAGTTTGATTGCGCGTCTAAGCAAAGTAGAATCGGCAGAGGGGTCATTATTTCGATCCAGGTCAATTAATTCGCACGTTCCCTGCAGAACTTTCGGTTTTAGTGATGCATTGAGGAAAACAATTGATCGAAACGCAATCATCCCCATTTCATAGATGGTAGGGTGTTCTGTAGAGCGGAGGAGAAAAGACTGATCAAGATAGTAAAATACTGATCGGATTGTAACCTACACAGCATAAACAATCAGTCTCATTTTTCACATGGGTTGAAATGAAACTTGACTCACCAAACGTAAACTCCAAGTTGCCCATGCAGCCTCCACCAAGCGCAGAGTATCAATGTTGTCATTATTCTTGGATTTCGCGACCAAGGTTGGTACCACGTAATTGGAGATATAAGTTTTGCAACGGTCTTTCAGCTTCTGTGCCAAATTTAAAGCCCGCTTTTGGCGGCAAACATTTTCTGCGCCTTTGTACAGTTCCTCCAACGAATCGGCTGGCTTTTGACCATTGAATATCGCGGTTAGAGCACGGTCGAGTTGTGCCCATACTGTCTCAAAATACTGGTCCTGATCAAGCTTCGGCACCACTCGAAGGTTCTTAACTGTGAGTCGTTTGGGTCCCGTATGTGGCGTGAAATTGGTTGGAGTTGTCGACGGGCTTGGGTAATTTTGGATCACGGCAGGCGAAGAGATACGGTTGTTTTGCTGCCTGATCGACGAGTTTTGCGCATCCTGACTTGAAAAGCTGTACATCCTCTCGACCGGAAGTCGTTCTTGGGTTGGCTGCAGTTGGACCGAAGGGTCTCGCTGTTGGTGAGATTCCACTTCGCTGCGCTTCACCCGTTTGCTCGACGGCGAGAGTGGCCGGTTCTTATGGCCCGATATGTTATTCCTTCCTCGTGAAAAGAGATCCGGAATTGTGCCTTGATTATTTCGTACCAGTTCTTCAGCTGTTTCTGCGTTGCCCTCACAGAGTTTCCTCTTGCCCGTTGGTCTGCGGTTCCCACGTGTCCCGTGATTCTGCATCTAATGTTCAGGCGATTTGAATAGTTAGCAATGTCCTGAAATAAACACAGGGTGGCCTCGAGAGATTATTACCTGGACTTTGGGAAATGGGCTCTAGAAGTGTAGCGTGAGGATGATGTTGGGCAAGATGAGGACTGGATGCTGCATCCGTCTGATGTTGTGATTAGGTTCACTGGAGCTTGCTCGGAGATAAGCTTAGTAACTTAACCCCATGCGTCACGCTTCAACCACGCTGACTTTCCACAAACACCGGCTGCCGGGGGTAACCATCAAATAAAAACAATATGCACACGAGAAATTCTAGGTCTACACTGTTGATGAGATGGATTTGGCCCTGGCACTTTAAAAAGTTATTCTTATGAAGATGGAATCAAAAGTTTGGTTGGTATAGATAGAGTGGAAGGGAGCAGCATCCTTGGGACCTGGGTATCTTTATTGTAGAAATATGTTTATGTTTTGAAACTTTGACCTCCATTGCACCAAAATGCTCTCCTTGCCCTGACTATATTTCATTGTTGAAAAGTACTATGAAAATAATTTTTTGTACGGCTGGTTGCTGCGATTGATCCTCAAACTGCAACAGTCAGTACTTCAAGTCATTGCAAGGTATAGCAGCTAAAACTCACGTCTAGAAAGTCTACAGCAGCAATCAAGGCGACATATAATTTGACAAGTTCACGCAGAGAATCTTGTATATCTGTGCGCTCAGAACCTCCAACTTTGGCAGAACGTTTGAATATTCCGACCATACTCTGTCGGTTCTCGGACAAGAAGTTCCTAGTTTGCTCAACAATTTGCTTGTTGTGTAGGCCCCGCGTGAAGACAGCAGCCACAATGACGCGAAGTACTGAAAGAAGAAGGTCAAAATATTTATGGAGAGCATCGGGGTTGTCAATGTCTAAGTCAATGAGTTAGTTGGGTCATCATAAAAGGTCAAAAGGCTCCGTACCTAAACCGATATCTGGATCAGCAGCAAAAATCTGCGACTCTTTCACGGCCTGAAACAGACCCGCATCGAGAAGATGAATTGCTCCGATTTTTGACTGTGAAAGCTGCTGTAGAAGTGACAATAAAGCTTCGTAGAACACTAACAATTGCGATGTCTCTGTGGCCCATTAGCCGCTATCAAAAAGTATGCTGAGGTGATACATACCGGCACCTTGGGTATTTCGGAATTCCGACGCCATAGACCTGACAGCATCAAGGAACATTAGGAGATAATTAGATTGGGAGATTAAAGTCACGAGAACGGAAGACGATTGTTGCTCGCAAAGGACGGAGAGAAGGTTCAAGAAAACCAAGGCGGATATTCGACAATTCTCGTCCCCGGAATACGCGTCATCGCAAACGGCGTCAATTAAGCTAGAACCTGTAGATTTAATGATTTGATGGGCGCGGCTCCCGAAACGCACCTTGGCGCCGCCTTTTTTGGTAATCCGTGAAAGATACCTAGAGCAAATGTGATAAAGGGTTTCCCTCAAAGCCTTTTCTTCCAATACGGAGGGAATACCACGAACGCATACATGGAAAAGATGATGCAGTCGCTCATCAATAACGTCTTCGTTACCTTTTGATGAAACGAGCTTTTCGATGAGAGTTTCAGCAAGGCGAGCTAGCTCCGTGGCCTCTGCTGCATTTTCAATAATAGAGCTCTCAAGCTTGGGTAGGATAACTTGAAGAGTGTGCAGGATAAGTGTCGCCATGCGAGTGGGATCCATTTCGCCGTTAACAATAATTGTAATAACTAATTCTACCCATGATTTTAGGGCGACAAGGCGATTGTATCGGATTTGACGATTTTGGTTTGACGCACGGAGGAAGAGTAGTAGCTTATCGCGCTCTGTAGAAACCTGATCTTCTTCCTGCATGCTAACTTGGCCGGAGTTTAAAAGGTTGTCTTTCGTAAGTTGGAGCAAGGATTCCACGCTTGAAAGGTCGTATAATACTGGAAATCCATCTAATTGAGATGCAGCACAGACACTTAAATCCACATCTCTAAAATATTTGAGACCCGGGAAGGCATATTCCCACTCAACGTCAAGGTCGGCAAAATCGAAAAGGTCGAAAATCGAAGGGTGAGAAATGATCGTCCCGTCTTCGGATGTCGAATTTCCAAGTAAGGTTGATAATGTGTCCCGTTGAAAGGAAGGGGAGCTTTCTTTAAAGACGGCTCTTGTCTCAGTCGTCGCGTAGTCGAAAAGAAGACTTCGATAGACAAGAAATTCTGAGAGGCCAACTGCTGATTCTGAAAACCAGAAATCTGACTCTGTTATCCGAAACCCATCCCACAGCGAATCCGGAGCGATTATGGCCTGAGAGGCAAGAAGATTCGCAAGGAGCCGATTTGCGCGCAGTTGTGGTAAAACCAATGCCGAAGAGAGTGACGAGGTCCAAAGACACTGCAGTACATGGAACGCGAGCTGCTTTAAATGTATCATCCACGATATTATAGTTCCATCACCACCATCTGGATAAGCCTTGACCAAATCAATGATGGCGTGGAGTAACGACAGACCTTTTTCAAAAAGACTATCCGAAGCCACATCCAAGGGATTTCCGATACACCTAAATCCAAGGAGAACATGGGCTATCGTAGGTTTGTTCGGAATCATGTTCAGACATTTATCGAGTAATTGGACTAATCCAAGTTTGATAAGGTATCCAGCGGCTGTAGGGCCGTTTTCCAATTCGCGCATATCGGGAACCATTTGAGATGCCAGGGAACGGGCAATACGGTCGGCATCCACATTCGAGTTGAGTAGCTCCACCAGTTGATTGGGCGTCTGCCATTGAAAGATAGCGGTGGGTTTATTGAGTTTGCGAGAGGCCGATAACTTTTCCAAAAGGGCGAGAGAAGTAAGAGTTAGCTGAGGGTGGCCCGTTCCGCAGTAGAGACATAAGTCAGTTATCAAACTCAAGTTGTCCATCACACTGTCTTCGAACGACGCAAGAGATGTATTCGCCATGTTTGATTTCCCTTGATGTGGGAAACTCCTAACAAAGGGCCGAACAATATTAAAAAATGTGGCTTGATGGTACATAATCATATTCATAACATCAATGCTTTTGATAAGGGCTTGGAGTAGCACGGAGTCCGACGAAGCCTGTGCTACATCTTCAATGTCTTGATGCGAGCAAGCGAATAGCGCTCGCAAGACATCTTCATTAAATAACCATTCCATTATGCGGGAAAAGGGGTGCAAACGGAGATATGTCTGCAGGGGAACGTTTCCAATAGTCGTGTGGCTGGAAACGGTTGTTTGGTTAACCAAAGATACGAGATTTTCATTGAATGACTCTAAGTTAATGGCGACAAAGCTGAGACAGTTGCATTGCAAAAGTCGAGCTTCTTTCCCCTCTATGACCATCGACTTGTTAGCAAGCGCTTGACCCATCACGAAATCAATGTATGGCTCGATCCCAGGCATACGATATGAGGAGCCGAGCGATTCCGGGAATTGTAGGCATATTTGTGAGTCGCCGGAATCAACAGTGGGAGACGTTAACACGATCAATAAGTCGACGAAAGCATTGGTCTGGTCGAAGCTTTCCATAATCCTTTGAAAGACATGGCGTTCGTTTAAAGTAGGAGAGCTTGTTAAAACTGGCAACTTGGTTAATGATAGGGGTGAGGCCCCAGAGCCTGAAATCCATTGGTCGATTAATGTCCACATCTCGTTTCCATGGGTGGTTGTTCGTTGCAACATTATACAGCGCAAAGTAACGAAAATGGAAGCTCTCAAATAATGAGGTATCGGCGCGGCACAGAGCGTGAGGAGAGTATTAGCAATGTTAGCAGTTGGATACTTCAATATCCATTCACGAATTTGTGTATTTTCTTTGCAAAGATGGCTAATAAGGCGCAAGTAACAAGTAAGCATGACTGGACTTTCAGGTTCATCAATGTCTACAGTCTCAGGCTTGCGGTTACGTAGAACCGATGGCTGGGATGCTGGTGGCCGTTCAGTGACCCTGGTGGCGTACAGTTGCAGCTCGGCAAACATCTGGTCCCAGTTCATAGAGATGGATCTTCGGAACTTGGAAGATGACGAATCCTCGTCTTGCAAGAAACTGTGTGCTGAGGCTGAATTCTCTTCACCACCAGAAAGCGAACATAGCATCTCGCAAAAGGCGCTAACACGCGGAACAGTTTGGCGTTTAGATACCCACTGGAGGAACCCGTAAAGGTTGCCATCGGTGTCGGCCCAGAATTCTTGAGCAGGTTCATCCCTTTTATCAAATGTGAATGCAATGATCACGAGTAACGATTCAAGATGCATTCGAGGTTCAATTAAACCGCGGTGCAAAGAGGCATTTGCCGTTTCACGAAGTGCCGTCATCTGATCTAGCCGCTGCGAGTCTTCTTCCGATTTGAGGTGGCGGATCGCATCTGGCATGTTTGCAATCAAGGATTCCGTGAAAGCTTCCAAACCAACCATCAAGAGTTCGTGAAAATAGGCAGTAGGTCTGTCCGGCTCCACAGACAGCCTTTGCGCATCTTTTAAAATCAAACTGACCAATTCATTCCTCGCCGGGACATCCCACTCTTCGCCAGCTACCCCCGCACAAACTAAGAGTATGAACTCCAAGCCGCCAGCATCCAGAGAGGACATGAATGTTTGAGTAAGAGCTGATAACTCATGTGCAGGATTGATTCCCTGGAGCGGAGATACCGGCCCACTATCAAAGAACCAACCTGAATATTCAGCCAGCCAAAACACAACAACCGCAGCATGAAATTTCGGCAGTACCCAGTTCGCCGATTCTTTATTGCCGGCGATTGTTAGATGTAGGGATCTCGCCTCTCGGAGAGGGCCTTGTCCTTCGGAAGAACCGTACTGGGAAATCGCAGATATAAGGGCGGGAAGATGGTGCACCAAAAGCATATCGAACCTCTCGGCCTTCTTCAGTTTTTCAAGCAGTTTCCGAAAGTCCTCAGAGCTCGTGAACGTCCCCTTAAAAAGATAGTATAGAATTGCCCCGAGGGACTCATGTTGTTTGCCTAGGCTCTGACGTTGATATTCGAGTACTTCCAACACATCCGAATCTTGGGCCACCCCTACAATGGACGCCTTCTGTATTTGTTCCCCGAGAAGAACAAGCCACTTTTCAATGTCTCCCATCGAATCCATGCATTTTCTGGCATAGAGAGAACCATTGCGCAGTGGGCCATTCTGTATTTCAAGAACCATTGCAACGATGTCTTGCATAAGAGCACGGGTGTCTTCTCTTTCGATTTCAAATGATTCATGTAGGACAAGGCGAAGGCATTCGAGCAGAAACGCACGGCGCTCGTGAAAATGAATAATTGCGACCATCACGGGCGATCGATCTAGTTTTATCGTGTCCAACTGGGCTTGCATATAATAACTGGCAGCCTGAACCTCATCAATATCTAAGGCATCCGCAACCTGTAATACATCCTGTTGGAAAGCATCGTTGAGAGAATACTCAACCCCTTCAAGGTCAATTTTTCCTAGATAAGAGAAAGATTAGATTCTGTAACACGGGCGGGCGCAAAAAATCTAAAACAGCAATGTTCTATCTCACCAGAGAGAACAGCTTTTCGGCTTTCATTTTTCTTGGGCACTTTATCCAGGAGCTTCCTGAAATCATCGACCGTCGCTTCTAACTCGAACACCAATCTTTCGACGTTGGGCAAGGCGTTCCTCGAAAGCGCCGAAAGATCCTGATAAAGACCTCGAAGGCCATCCAGCACTGGATCGCCGTCCATCCTTCAGAACCAACGGACAACGGATGAAGGGAGCGGAATTCTGGCTTTGAGCAGCTCAAAACACGATCTTTGGAGCTGTTGCCGGAAGAAAGTGGCGCCGAAAGGCATTGGCGGGACCCACCTGACTTAGTAAGGCACGGGAAGCTTAGTCATTCACATAGTACTAGCGCCAAGCTTCAACGACGTCCACACTACATCCTGAGCTCTTCTCACAGCATTTCCCTTGTGCTTTAAGAAATTGGTCCCAATAATAACCTGATGTGTATATTTGGGATACCGCTTACTTGGTGGCCACTCGCACGCATTCAAAGCTAGGTACAGTCGCCGCAAAATACGTGGCCCTATGGCTTGCTAGCTTGTTGAAGTGGACTATGGAGTCGATAAATTTAGGAGACTCATTGTTTTGGTATTCTTTTCATGCGTGGTTGCATTAGGACGCTTGCAGTCCCAAAGGCGGCCCGGGCTAAAAATGGGGGAGGTCAATGTCAGTCAGGCTCTCAATCTGATCTCATCTGACCGTGTACGGGAGCGCCTTGATGGCCTTGGGGGTAATGACTTTGGACATGTGTAACAACGGTTTCCTGTGCTGACAACCTTATAGATCTGAAGCATATTTTACTTCAAAATAAGCGGACATCTAATCTGTAAGCCTTCATACCTTCCTCTGAAGGCTTGGCTGACGGACGCTCGCAATCAGAAACTTATTAGATGATAAGGGGTACCATAAAATATTTGAAGCCCTGTTTCGGTTCATTTCGGTAGAGAAGTCTGCTTATAGCCGGGCCACCAAACCTGGTCCTAAGTCCCTTGCAGCGTCACGTCTTTCGACATGTGCTTCGGTTTTCCGGACGACGGCAGATTTGTCTTCTAAAACGATAAAATCCAAGACCGTCGCGGCCGTCGTGTGCCATATCACTGATGTGCTCAGCAGCCCGGGTGACGGGCTATGGGAACCACTTAGCACTGATTACATTAAGGCTTTGAGGACACTCTTGCAGTATCCTCCTCATGTCGAGCATCTTGCTAAGGACGACTGGAATTGTCTTGTGGATTTCTGCCTTCGTGGACTTGGAGTTGGTGAGGAAAGAAGCGAAAGTCAGCTAACTATTCGCAGCGGCCGTTTAACCTCAGAGAGCTTCGACGACAGGGGAAGCCGTGCTAGCTCCACAGCTCCCAGAGCCGCTCAGCGCAATGGCCAAGTGGACTTGAAAAATAATGCTGAGGAGCTTGAACTTTGTATTCAGATATTGACTTCGTCTCCGGCTTCGCCTGTCCTTGACGCAGCTGAAAAGCTACTTCGTGGGTTAACGGACTATTTATCATCACTAAATGTGATGGGGAGAATACCCCATGCCGCATTTAGTGCCGTAAACTCAGTACTTGCAAAGTCAATAACAGATAATGTCTTGCTAATTCAAGAGACAATCTTTGATCTTCTTCCTACCATTCGGCGGTTCTGGGTTACAAAGTCTAGCCCGCTGAGAGACGAAATGTTAATGACCTTGATGCTTGGGAGCGATGTTCTAACCAAACACAAGGCCTCCCCTGAACTACCTATTGAAGCTTTGCAAGGCCTAGCTGACCAAATTCACCGAACTTACGTACGATTGCCAGAGAAAGACATTTTGCAAGTCGACGATCTGATATTCAACTTTGAATCGAGCCCAATTCCAATGGCCCTTAAATTTATGGCCCCTCGCATTACCGTGGGTAAATCCTTGCAACATTGGATGACTCTATCAACGGTAGCAAATCTCTTAAAGCTCCTGGATAACTTTTATCTCCATTCTAATCGTCCGAAAGTGGATGGGGAATCGAACAAGAGGCAGCAATTTATGTCAAGGATCGACGATATCTTCCGTGATGCGTCATTGGCCCCTGCTGTAAACCGAATAGCTGCGCTTCAAATTATCCCATTTGTCCTCTCTCGAGTGGAACTCAGCTCTGAACGCGTTTCATCATTGATGCAGCTACTTACTGTCAACGTTCTTGATGAAAGCCCAACGGTGTCTTCTTGGGCAATGATTGCCATTGCAAGGTTGGTTCCAGCTCCAGGAAATATGCTGCGTTGCATTACTAAAGATTTTGATAGTGTTGCTAGTTGCGAATCTGCATGCTCGGATGAGCTAAAAGCGAACTGGGCCCATATGTGGGAGTTAGCATCTCGCACTTTACCATCCCCTGGCACAACCCGCGCTGCATGCACGCTAATGTGCGCCATTATTCATTACCAGCTACTAGGTTATGTTGACATTGTAAGCACATTCGAATCTGTTATATCGTCGGTGGATCTCAATGGGCCTTCCACCCTCACCGATTCCGCGCTATATCTTTGGACCACTATGATGGATTTAAGATTAAAGACAAACCCGGCGCAAAGCCAAGAGATGGCCAAACAGATTTGCGGCTGGCTAAAGACAACTTGGACAATCGGTACAATTTTTATTACATGATAAACGTCTTTACGTTATGCTGACCTCGATTTATAGGTCCAGTTACTGATAGGCTTCATGCGTCTCAGATTGCCTGGTTTGCGCGACCTTTGAGCATACTCAACTTGCTTATATCTTGTACTGGCAGAAACTTCATTACTTTGACTCCCAGTTTCCACGGCCCGCTTTCTCGATTGGCCAAAATGTGGATTTTCTATAATCAGAAGCGCAAATTGGCTAAATATCTACTTCTCATCGATCCTCAAGATTGCTTCGAATGCTCCACTGAGACTTTCCAAGGAAGCATTGATATCTCGCCTTCTACAAGGTCTAATCCTCATGACGCGATTGTTTTAGACCTCCTTCAGACTAGACTTGATTCGTTTGGCCAGGTTTGGACGCAATCTTTTGCAGATAAATCTAGCCACACCACTGCCGAGACCCTTCAGACTTTGGTATCTCTGTGTGTGATCATATACTCGTTTATCGAATTCGTTCCTTCTCACTCTTTTCGTGCCGAGAATCTAAGCCGCGCTACTGATACTTTGTGGGGGAGTCTTTGCGAACATATGTCCCACGATGCGGAGTCGCTTGAGCATTGCTTGGACGTTTTGTCTCCTCTAATATTATCGTTGGAGCTTCCTTTTAATCGAAAAAGCATCATTCTACTGGCCCTTAGTAAATTGTCGTCAGGGTTGTTACCACTTCTGAACAATCGGCGCCAACTGGAAAGGGACGGAGTAGGGACAGGCGAAGCAATGGACCTTGATGATCAGTTTTCGTCCCAGGAGAGCAACTATGCTCAGACGCAAATTGTCTCAAAATATAACCGCGAGGACAGTGGCATGGTTATTTTCGAGGACACTGACTCCATCCGGATAGCGACTACAATCCAGCTTTCACTTCTCGAAAAGTTTTCTACTGTTAGTGACCCTACGGAGCTCAGCGCTTTCATTAGCAGCTATATCGAAACTTGGGATGAGGTCGATATACTGGCTGGATGGCCATATTTGTGCAAATTTGTGAACTGTATGCCTGGCATCCCTCGGGCCGATGCATGCAACTTGATAGAATATTTTGGTGAGCAATGCCTCCAGTCCTATAACCTCGAACGGTGCGAAGCGTCAATGTGTGCTTGTATACAATTAATAGCGTGCTTTGTCGAGCTTTGGACAACAAACGAGAACGATGACCTTTACGATTCCGCATCGGATATCTACATGTGGTTTGTTGATGTGTTGATAGGGAAAGGAGTGGGAACCTCCCAAGCCTTGATCAGGCTTGCAGGACTGTTAAAACAAGTGCTCAACATTAATCCAAAGTTTCTTAGGGAAAATCGCTGCCCTTCTCCTCGGACAAGCCTGTTCAGCATTCTCCGCGACGGCGACTTGGTAGTAAAATTCCACGTTTCGAGTTTGATTCCTGGAATATTCGGCGGGTTTGTTCTAAAAGAACATGACGCAATTTTCGATGACATTCTGGAAAGCCTTCCTCGGGATCGTGAGTGGGATGAGGGAATAGCATTGCGCTTGTTCGTTCTTGCTAAGCTTGCATCACGCTGGCACACGCTACTTCGCCGGAGTATATACCATATATTTGAGACTCCGGGTCAAGTGCCGTCATCTACGTCTTATGCCAAAGCTTGCCTACAGAATGTTTCCGAAGCACTAGGGCTGAATGATGCGAGAGAAATATTTAAACTATTCTCTTCTCAGATCATTTATACATGGTTAGAGACGCAGTCCCTCACAAAACTGCCATTTGGCGTATTCGGTTATCTCTCACTTAGAGATTTACTTGTCGATATTCAAGATGAAGTCATTGCCCAGATGGTTATGCGTGTCAAAGACGAAGACATGACTGAAATTTCTGCATGTCTAGGGTCGTCTTTTCCAAACTTATTAACCGAATCATTTTACAAAGCTGAGGCCTACAGCATTGCCCGCGATATCAGCATGCCCCCATCTCAAGATCCCAAGCTAAGAGGCTCAGAAAGTGGGATGAAAAAACTACTGGGACCCGATAAATTCTTGAGTCTTGTGGAGAGGTTCTTCCCCGAAATCGTCGCTGTTATTTTCAAGTCTATGGATCAAACTGAGCAGATCGAGAGAGCATTTGCGAAGCGTCCTCGATTCCAACGTGCTGGTAATACATTAAAAAATATTTGCGAGAGAAGCGCATCCGACGCCATTTTACCGATTGGCCAGCAGCCATCATTTCGGGCAAGATACCTAATAGACGAACTGGAATTCCTTTCCAAACGCACTGGCTACGACCTCGAGTCAATGTGGACCCCGGCACTTGTCTCTTTTGTGGCAAGGGAACTCATAGAATCGATACATCCAGCATTGGGATCATTGCATGCATGTGCTATTATTCGAAAACTGAGAGCCCTTGTCTGTATCGCTGGGCCGTTAGCCTTAGAAGATTATCCTCTCGAAATGCTTTTGCATTGTCTCGGCCCGTTTCTCACTGATTTCCAATGCTCCACAGATGCAATTGGCGTTTTCTGGTACTTAATAGACTCGGGACGAGAGCACCTCTCCTCTAACCCTTCTTTCCTAGCTGGTCTAGCTGTTTCCACGCTCGCTTCCCTTCGAGGATTTCTCTCTTCTAAGCACGACAGTACAACACAAGAAACCCATTTTCGTGCAACGATGTCCAAGGCGGAGGCGTTTCACCGTTGGTTCTCGGAATTCTTGGATGAATACCAGGCACCGGCACTCAACGAGGAAGAAAAAACGTCATTGCGAAAAATAATCAGATCGTCTCAAAACATTCGCCTTGCTGGCAATGCTTCCAAAAGCACGTACGAAGGTGAACTTATGGTGGAACTCCTGCAAGATAAAGTTTCTGGAAGGAAGTTGTTGAGTAGTCCAGCTTCAGACCTGGTGTTTTCTCGGCTATGCCATGACTTTCAGAGACCTAATACCTTCCGTGACGATGTTTTGGGCGACGATAAAGCTGCCTGTTCAAATACACTCGGATTGTGGACTTCGTTGGAGAACAACTCACTTGGCTCTGGCTATAGACTTTGGGTGGCCAGAGCGCTCGGAAGATCATACGCAGCCACAGGCGTAGTTAGTGAACTGTTACTTCGGGAACAGCGGGTTGAATTCCCTGAGGGCTTTAACGAGGACAATCTCGTGAACTCCAAAGTGTCGATTCTTCACTCCCTATGTGATTGTCTTTTTTCAAACAATCACCGAAGTGTCGGGCTTGCGGAGAGGACTTTGCAGATGATCATGGATGGATTAACTAAAAAGAGCGGTTTTGAGGAGTGCGAAGAGGCTATTCCCGCATCTTTGATGAAGGCACTGGTTTGGGCTCCCTATCGTTGTCCTGAATTGGCTCTGGGAGAAACTGAGAAATCATCCATTGACCCTAATTTGCGCTGGATGCCGTCTGTGTCCGTTCTCGAATTCGCTAAAGCATTCTCACTGGCCCTGTCCCTGAGAGCAACCGGTGATCCTGTGGTCGGGGCACTACAACCTATCCTATTCGCAATTCCTACTCTCGCGGCACAGCTGCTTCCGTATGTTCTTCATGACGTATTGCTGCTGGAAAGCGATGGGAGCCAAAAGACCCGACAAGCGGTATCAGCTGTGTTTCGGGAAGCGTTCCGTGATGCCCAAGAATGCACCCTTCCACATATCCGGCTAATAATTTATTGCATTCTTTATCTTCGGCATCAACCACTCCCTAATGAGTCCACGATGGATGAGAGAGATAACTGGCTTGATATTGATTTCATAGATGCTGCATATGCAGCCACCAAATGCCGGATGTATAAAACTGCTCTCTTATTCGTGGAGATTAATCATTCACGTATTGCTACGTCTTCTCGAAGGTCATCGGCTGTCAAATTTGTGGAACCTACAGAACTGCTTCACAATATCTTCTCAAACATAGATGACCCCGATATGTTCTATGGTGTCCACCAAGAACCTTCGATCGAAACTGTCCTTGGAAAGCTAGGCTACGAGAGCTCCGGGCTGAAAAATCTGGCTTTCCAGAGTGCGTATTATGATACAAGCATGACTATTGATGGAAATTCCGATGATACAAGCGCTCTTGGGATTCTCAAAGCTTTGAATTCAACGAATTTTCAGGGCATAGCAAATGCTATGTTCCGTGCACCAGGTGTAGGTGAAAGGCGGCCCGAAGTTTTTGATAGCATGCTCTCCACAGCTTTGTGCCTTAAACAGTGGGATATCCCAATACCTAATACCACCTCTCCTACTGGCAACATTTTCAAAGCTTTGCAAAGCTTAAACACATTCGAAGAAAAAGCTCAGCTAGTACAGGTTTTGGATGAATGCTTTCTAGACATGCTTGGTTGCTTATCAAAGGAAAACCAGTCACTTTCGTCTCTCAAGGACACAATGCAAGCCCTGGGGGTGTTGTCTGAATTAGATGAAATTCTCTCCTCCGAATCATACCAGCAAGTTGCGGATAGCTGGGAGAGGGTGTTAAATCGGAGCCTATGGCTAAAATTTGAAAGGTACGCTCCAGTTAAGTCTACTTTTCGATGCTATCCAAAGTTGACGAAATTAGTTTTCACGATATTGGGCAAATTCTAGCTAGCCATGAAGCAATCTTCTCAATGATTAGCCGAAAACCTCATTTGCGGACAATGTTAGCCACAAATGCCCGAGATGCGCAACTTTTAGAAGTTAAAGCAATCCGGGAATCTCTAAGGATCAGCCGAGAACACGATGTCCATCAGGCTTCTCTTAAGTCCGCTATGCTGTTGACGAAGTTGATTGAGCCGTGCTCTCAGCTCGGAGTCGAGATTGATGCGGCGGTGACTTTAGATATGGCAAATGTGCTATGGGACCAAGGGGAAATGACAACTTCCATTAAGATGCTGCAGCAACTCAGTGAGAAACGTGACGTGCACAAGCAATCAATTCCCGTGAACCGCGCAGAGATCTTAGCTAGCTTGGTAGGATAATATCTGGCCTAATGCCATACGAGCACTAACTTGGACTAGGGACATCATATTGCCGAGGCGAGGCTCGAAAAGCCCGATGTTATCATTCAAGATTATTTGAGTCCAGCCATTAGAGAGCTCAAAGGACATCTCGATGGAGAGGAAGCAGGTCTTGCTTTCCACGAATTTGCTGCCTTTTGCGATCAACAGTTACAAAATTCTGACATGTTGGAAGATTTCAAACGTATAGAACAAATCCGTCATCGAAAAGAGAAAGAAGTCCAAGATCTGGAGCAAATGATGAAAGCAGCCCAAGGAAAAGAGAGAGACCAACTACGAATCTATCGATCGAAAGCTAAACAGTGGTTTGATCTTGATGATCGCGAATATCAACGCTTGAAGCAAAGTCGAGAGACTTTCATGGAGCAATCCCTCGAGAACTATCTGCTTTCACTTAAAGCCTGTGATACCTTCAGTAACGATGTCCTTCGTTTCTGTGCCTTGTGGCTTGATAACTCGAACAGTGAAACTGCCAATAAAGCTGTCGCTAAGTATTTATCGCAAGTTCCAAGCAGAAAATTTGCACCTTTGATGAACCAGCTTTCATCTCGAATTCTGGACGTTGATGATAGTTTTCAACCTCTTTTGTTTGACTTGGTATTCAGAATTTGCATGGAACATCCATACCATGGGATGTACCAAATCTTCGCTAGCAGCAAATCAAAGGCCGGAAAGGACTCGATGGCGAAATCTCGTTACAACGCTGCAGGGAAACTCGTTGAACGACTTAAGAGCGATCGGGCTGCAGGTCCAACATGGGTTGCAATCCACAACACTAATATCAGCTATGTACGGTTCGCGATGGAAAAGGCGGATGAGAAGGTCAAGACTGGGTCTAGAGTACAGCTCCGAAAATCCATCACAGGTCAACGACTGGAGCACGATGTTACCAGGCAGAAAATCCCACCTCCAACCATGAAGATCCAACTTCGTGCAGATTGCGATTATAGCAATGTCCCGCGCCTTACAAAGTTTCTGCCGGAGTTTACGGTTGCGTCGGGAGTCAGTGCGCCTAAGATAGTCACAGCTATTGCGTCCGATGGACTGCGCTACAAACAATTGGTAACTGCCCATCCCCTTCTCTTTCTTCCTGGACTATCTACCCTAACTTAGACGCTTAGTTTAAAGCGGGCAATGATGATTTACGCCAGGACGCTATAATGGAACAGGTCTTTGAACAAGTCAGTAATCTACTTCGATCTCACCGAACTACCCAACAGCGCAACCTTGGTATTAGAACCTATAAGGTTCTTCCCCTTACTGCTAATGCCGGTATCATCGAGTTTGTGCAAAATACTCTCCCGTTACATGATTATTTAATGCCCGCACATCAGAAGCACTTTCCTCGGGATATGAAGCCGAATGCTTGCAGAAAGCACATAAGTGACGCGCAGACGAAATCGTTGGACCAACGGCTCAAAATCTACCGGCAAGTGACGGACCACTTCCATCCAGTCATGAGATATTTTTTCATGGAGAAATTTCAAAACCCAGACGACTGGTTTAGCAAACGGCTAGCGTACACGCGAAGCACGGCAGCGATATCTATTCTTGGACATGTGCTTGGCCTTGGTGATCGCCACGGTCATAATATCCTTCTTGACGAAACAAATGGCGAGGTAGTGCATATCGACTTGGGTGTAGCGTTTGAGCAAGGCCGCGTTTTGCCCGTCCCAGAAGTGGTTCCGTTTCGACTCACTCGCGACCTTGTTGATGGAATGGGAATCACCAAGACAGAAGGAGTATTCAGACGCTGTTGCGAATTTACCCTGGAAGCTTTACGTCAGGAATCTTACCGCATTATGACCATTCTTGACGTGTTACGGTATGATCCTTTGTATAGCTGGTCATTGTCTCCGCTTCGCATGAAGAAAATGCAAGATACGCAGGAGGCTGCTGGCGGAGCAGAAGCTGTAAGCGAGGGCGGGAAAGGGGCAGTGAACGAACCAAGCGAGGCGGATCGAGCTCTAACAGTGGTGGCTAAGAAATTGGGCAAAACGCTGAGCGTGGCCGCAACAGTTAATGAGCTGATTCAGCAGGCTACGGACGAAAGAAATCTTGCTGTATTATATTGCGGTATGTTGGCGTTTTGGCCCGGATCCTCTGCATCAACGGAATGCTAACTGTTTTCTCTAGGGTGGGCTGCATATGCATAGCTCCTTGCCCGGAACAATCCTGTTATGTGCCACATCTTCTTACCTCAAAAATGCAAATACTCTAATCGGAGAAAAGGCTACATGAATATAGTTCTTGGGTATGTCTTGTTGGTTTGTTCAAAAGTTTCGCTTTCCTTTCACGTCACCTTTTCGTATATCCTTTTCTCTGCAGCAAGCCCGCATTGAAATGTCAACTTTAATAAGTTTTAAGTCCGACAGAGTTGGATATTACATTTTGAGATAGATACCTAGCATGTACGGTTTAATTCGGCGTTACTGTAGATATTACATTTCATGGTGGTAGGCAAAGGTTCTACCAATCTAGCATTGGCTATCAGATACCGAAACCAATTAAAATATGGGGAATATTCGCAAATACAAACAAGTCTCGTTAATTAGGTAGTTATATTGTGGTATTAGCCCAGAAATACGGTAGGAATATCTGTATAACAAACTACAACAGCCATTGCATTAATGGATAAGCAAGGGTTTACATTAGGAGTCAACCTGCATGGTTAACTACTTCACTGTAGAACAGTTCAAAAACAGTCAATAATAGTTGAAATGCACAATATTGCCCTGTGTTAAGATCTTGAAGTTGACTGGGTCTAAATTCTAATTTTGTATCCCTTGACCGCCGAAGGGAGAATTCTACGGAGTACAGTTGAGGTGAGCATACACACTTGCGCAGAGCCCACTAGATATTAATTAGTAAGTAAACACACAAAGTCCCTTTGGGTTCACCAGTTAACTGATATAACTACTGACTCCTTAGGTTGAGAAGAGGCAGGGGAGAACTTCCAGGACCTGATAACCAGGACTTATTGAGGCATAAAATCCAACAAGATGCGGATTTTGCTCCACGCCTGTACTGTACAAGGATTTAAATTTGTTTTGAATTTATAGTCACCAAAGTGTGAAAATAAAATCTCACAGAAGACCCAAACCCGCGGCTTAGTTTAGTGTTGAGACATTGACTGGACGAATCTTTATGTAACTAGTTAAGGGGTTAATTAACAGCCAGCAATGTTCAATGTCAGGAAGTACGGCTTCCATGGACATCTATTCAAAAAGCAACTTAAGCTCTTCAATCCTTTCCTTTCTCCTTTCTTCTTCACTCGCTTCCCCAACTCTCAGGCCCAAAGAACCCGCGATCATCATCTTTCGCTCTTGTACTCTTAGCATCCTCTCCTCAATACTATTTTTCACCACGAACCTCGTCACTTTGACGTCTTTTAGCTGACCCATCCTATGAACACGATCGATTGCCTGCGCTTCAACGGCGAAGCTCCACCATGGATCCATCATGTATACATGATTTGCAGCGGTAAGATTGAGGCCTACGCCACCAGCGCGAAGACTGATTAGGAGAATATTCGGAGTAGATTTATGTATCTTAGGCTTATGGCTGCGAGTGGATTGGAAAATTGCAGTATCGTCGTCTTCCTCGTCTTCGGAAAAGACCTCTGGAACACGGCTGAATTCGGTAAGAACGGCTTTTCTCGCCTTTTGCTGCATGGTGCCATCAAACCGGAGAAAATCTAAGCCCTCGCGCGTCAACTGAGCACCGATCAAATCTAGAAACGAAGTAAATTGTGAAAAGACGACTGCCTTAGTGTTTTTGGGCAGGCTAGAAAGGTGGGTTAGGAGCGCAAAAATTTTTGCCGAAGTACGAGCGGATGGTGATAAAGGGTTAATACGTCGAATAGAAATGCGTGGAGGCGATGATGAATTTGTTGGGGAATCGGAATCGTCGTATAGGTCATCCACTACTGGTGATGGCACCGGGGACTTATGGCGCACAACTTCGAATATATCTCGCGTGTTTAGTGTTTCCCGACAAGAAAAACACCTAGGGATTTCCCCTTTATCCTTCTGGTGCTGGATGTAGCTTTCCAAGCAGTGCTTGCATGCACTATGCCAGCAACTGGTAACAGCAGGGACAATCATTGGTTCTTCTGAGCAGATTGGACATTCACCGCTTGAATCTGTCTGAATTTGTTTCAAAGCATGTGTTGTGAAATTTGCTGTTCGATCCTGAGGCTCAACGTCGTTATTAGAGCTAGTGGAGGCAGTGAAACGGTCGATTAACTCCTGGAGATCCATGTCGTCCTTAAGAGCATTCGCACCTTCAGAAGCCAAAGCAGCATCTTCTTCTTCTGCAACAATATTTTGGTTTCTCGTGAGAACTGGATGACAACAAGTCTGGCGCAATCGAAGAATTTGAGCGAAAATAGTGGTATACGACTTTAACAAGGTGCCCGCCGCCACGTTGTCATTAAAGGTACGTTTTGCACGAGTGAAGATAATGTCATAAATATCTCGCTCCTGGTCGGAAAGCTCGATATTCTCAATTGTAATAGCCCGAGCAGGCAGTGGCACCAAAGGCTCGCCTTCTGGGGTTTGCATATTTTTCGTCCTCCGAAGGACTAGAGGTTCTAGGACTGTTTGTACGACATTAAGGGCACGAACAAAATCTTTCGACTCGAATGGGATGGTAATAAATGTTCTCCAAAAGGAAAAGTTGCACCAAGGTTCAACCTTAAGGAATCGTACAAGACTAAAGAGATCTTCAAGCCGGTTCACGATCGGGGTACCAGTTAACGCCCACCTATGGATCGCCTTCAATTCGCAGCATGCCCGTGAAGTCTTAGACACGCGGTTTTTGATGTAATGCGCCTCGTCAAGAACTACACGGAAGAATTCTATAGAGAATAACCCGCTCTGAGCAATGCTGCTACGGCCGCGGTTCGAAGCGATTTGGAAAAATTCTGAGCGGACAACTCCATAGCTGGTGATTATAAGATTAAGTGGCCCTTCGGGGTTAGTAGAAGAGCACAAAGCCCTGAGATCAACCGATTTGTCACTTCCATGGTAAACAAGGACCTTCACGGATCCTGAATTGGATGCCTTTATAGCTTCACTTTCCCACTGAGAAAGCAAAGAGGTTGGAGCCACAACAAGGGTTGTGTATGGAGCTTCAGCTGCTGTGGAAGACGAGTTTGTTAATGCCAACAAAGCATTCGGAGATTGTTTGGAGCTGGTTTCAAGAGTGGCTGAGTCCGGTCTGTGTGAATGGATCAAGCTCATGACTTCGATTGTTTTCCCGAGGCCCATCTCATCTGCAAGTATACCACCAAGACAATGCTGATCCTGAATAGGAAATTCTAAGCTCAGCTCTCCTGAATAATGATTAACATAAAGTTTATCTCTGTCACGGACTTGAGGTAGCGGCTTATCATCAACGTCTGTTGCGGGCCAGGCGTATTCCTCCCAAAGGGGATGCATTGACGTTTCTCTATTGGAACTCATATCTTTCTCCTTACTTAGCATCCAATGTAATGCCTGTTTTTGATATTTTCTGAGGTCCATTGCGAAATAATTTCCGGGGGTGGCCTCTGGCATATTGAAATCGAATCGTTGCGCTTTTTGATACAGAGTATCAAGTTGGTCCTGGTCCAACTGCTCCACTTCTCCATCGTCTGATGATCGCCCTTTATCCTGAGATGAGGGTGTTTCCCCTTTGGTCCCATGTCCCTCGACCCTCTCAGCGGCTTTGAGCAACCCTTCCTTTTTGTATCGCGCGGTCGTTTCGTTAGTCGACGTAGGCTTGAGATTGATTTCGTCAAAAAGCGTCACAAGAGCCGCTTGTCGCAAGCGAAGGGCCTTTTCTTCCGCTGTTTCCTGTTGTTCAAACAACCGAGGAGTGTGATCCTCTTCTGAGGAAAATGCGCCTTTACGAAAGGAATCTTTTAACAAAAAAGCCCTTATTTGCAAGTATATAGTATCATTGACCCGGATCCGGTCTGGCGCATACACGCAAGTACCGGTGAATTTGCAAATCTTTTGATCGATCAACGTTGAAACCCACTCGGCAGTCTCCCGAGGCAATCTTCCAATTTCATCGCCGCGACTAGTTGTGAATCTGGTAATAACATCTGCTCTTTGATTTGTGGAACGTGAAGCGCCACGTCCCCCTCTGCCAGGCTTGAAATTGAGCTGCGCCTTGGATCGTTCGATGCGAACCTCCTCCCCATGTTTAAGAAGGCTCGGGCCAGAGCGAGTAGCCCAGCCACCAACCCCAAAGGCTCCGAGATATCTGGCTTCTGGATCCTCTGCAAGGATATCGACTTCACCCAACAGGGGATGTGGATCTGAATGAATGGCCGGTTGCAACGGCAAGGGCTGTTTGGATTGAGGCTGCGCCATTGAGGGGGTTTGATTCAACCTGGTAGCTCCCAAATCTTTCGCCTCTTTCTTCCAAGATCCATCGAAGTATATATTGATAGCTCTCTCCATGTTATCACCTGCCAGTTCCCGAACCTTTTGAATAGTGGTCTTGGGGAGCTCATCCCCAACCACGCTCGTAAAGAACCCAACATCGAATTCATCCTTTATGTTTGCCGACGGTGCTGTGTCTTGAACCGATACAGCGGAATCGGTGTGTTGTGCAATCGGCGGAAGTGCGGCTGATGGATCGTTAGGAGGCCCCAAACGCGGTGACGCGTCGGCGTGTTGTATGGATTGATCGCCGTCTGAACCAGCTTCCGGCTCATCGTCAAAGAAAAACCGCCTCTTCTTAGCTGGTCGCTGGTCTATATCTGTAAAATTCATTTGGAGCGAGGGCTGGTTGGGATTCTCGACGTCGGGATGCTGTTTGGACTAAATTGGAAAGAACGCGAAGTTCACGCGACTTCGGATTAACAAGGCCCCGGAAGCCGAAGCTCGGATCGGAGTATCTGTATTCCGACACGCTCGGGAAATCCAGCTTGAATGCTATTTTGCACCAAGGCAGAGAGTATCACTCCGTACAGTGCTTCTTCATATCTCAAAGGGCGTGTCAATTGCCTAATTTCGGCCATTATATAGCTACCGTGGTGCTTCTAGCTAAGCTAGCTACGCAAAATATGGCTTTTCAAGCAGACTCGGTTTGCCTGAGGTGTATACTTCGAGGGCAGCGGCCCATCTTGCCTTCTTTTAACGGGCGGCGATGGAAGCGGAGTTGGTCTTCAAGCTCGCCATTACAATCAAGTGCAGGGAGTTCCAGGGCGGAATTTGAATCGGCACGGAAATATTGTGTTGACCTTCTCCAGTGAGCATGATACAGCCCCAGTTGATTTGCCCTGAATCTTGCCTAACATTCGAATGCCTAGGAAATACGATCGGCCGTCGTACACCCTTAGCACCTTTATTCCTCGTCAAACACTAGACTTTTACATCGCTCTTCGCGCTCTCAATGTTTCCCTGTCATTGATACCTGATTCTACATCCAATCCAACGATTGGCCTGATGCGTCTGCAGTTTTGGCGGGACACTATCACACGGACGCTCGCCGGAACTCCGCCAAAAGAACCTATTGCCATACTGCTAGCCAATGCACTGTCTGAGCTTGATGCTAGAACAAAAGGAAAATCCCGGATAAGCAAAGGATGGTTGATGCGATTGATAAGTGCTCGGGAACAACCTTTAACCAATACCTCGTATACAAGCATCACAGCCTTGGAGCAATACGCTGAAAATACTCATTCAACCCTTTTATACCTGACGCTCAGTGCCCTCCCTCTCACATCTTTAACAGTTGACCATTTGGCATCCCACATTGGAAAGGCAGCTGGAATTGTCACCGTTCTTAGGGGCTTACCTTTGGTCGCCTTCCCCCCGCCTCCAAACCATCACTCTAATCAAGATTCGCTCGGGGCCGGAGGCGGCTCCCGCCAGGGGCATATCACCTTACCACTCGACGTGATGGCGCAGACAGGACTCAAAGAAGAGGACGTCTTCCGGCAAGGTGCGGACGCACCCGGGCTTCGCGATGCTGTCTTCACAGTAGCGACACGCGCTAGTGATCATCTGATTACCGCACGACAGATGTTGAAAAATCTTCGCGCGGGAAAGGATGTGGGGCACGACTTCGAGCACGAAGGGGAGGAGGGCCACGAGTATTATCAAAACCAGGCCGAATCCGGTGACTCCGCTTCAAAACAGTCGAATTTCGCGGTGCAACTTCAAGAAGTCGAGCGGGGGTTTGGAATACTGATGCCTGCATTGCCCACGAAACTTTGGCTAGATAAGCTGCAAAAGGTCGATTTTGATATTTTCAACTCGGAATTGCTCTCCACGGATTGGAAAATGCCTTGGAAGGCGTATTGGGCCTTTCAGCGAAAGGTATTTTGATTGGAGCCAATATACTTCCGTCCCTTCTAGCCATCTGCTGTACATATATCGCCCGGAGCCGCCCAAATTATGCAAGAGTACTTATGGAAGGCGTAATAATCTCGATGTCTCGTCTATTGATATCGGTGACGATAAACCAAACTTCTTTTTTATCTATCCTTCCGACGCCGCCTTGAACTCCAAATCAACCGTCTTTGCGCTAGCCTCAATAACCACCGCTTTATCATTTCGCGCCTAACATACATCAGCCTAGGGGTCCCAACACGGCGCACCCAAAGGATGGGGCGAATACTCACATCAGGAACATCATTGTCACGAAGACGAACGGTACTGCAATAATCCAGAAAAATCTACGCCGCAAATCGTAAGTATACCGCCCAAACGGGAGTCACTGTGAAAAGCTGGGCACTCACGCATCGCTATGATTGTTAACGCCAGTAAACCTTGGGAAATTCATTCCAAAATAGCCCTAGTCATAACCAGTTAGCTATCATCTATGATAGGTAAAGAGGTACAAGGACTTACGGTAAGAAAGGTCAAGGGAAGAAACATGCATGTCACTAAGGTCAACTGCTTCATACTTTCGTTCTGATAGGCACCTGCAACATGTCAGCGCTGACATCGCGCTTCTTAATGACTTCAAAGACGAGCCCTAGATCCACGTACCAATGGTGTTGAAAATCAATTCAATCATATTATCCGCCAGTCGGCGCATTTGATCGTATTGTTCGGTGATGGTAATGCAATGATCCAACACGTCTCCTAGATAAGTCTGGCACATTGGACTAATCGCCACTGCTGAAGCCATTCTCACTCCCTCCGCATCAGGGTGTGCAGAATTTCTGCTGGGCGGCCGCACAGGTTGGAGGAAAGGCGTGGACGCAACCTTCTTGATATCCAGGCCAGAACTATGGTCACGCAGAGAATTGATCACACTAGCCATAGGTTGTATTGCATTCCGGAGCACAGAGATCTCCGAGGTTAGAATGTAGAGAGTCGTAGACTGATGTATATCAGGGTCAGTCAAGACCTCTAGTTCTAGTTCTCCAATGACATCTTGATATGCCCTTGTTACTGGGATGGCAAGGTCGGTAATGGCATCGATTATTGCCTGTAAAACCATGCTTGCATCGCAAGATTCCCGAAGGATGGTTCCCGGGGACCGCAGACGCTGAACAATCGGTCCCTCTATATCATCGCCGCTGGCCTCGAAAAACGACGTGACGGTATTATCTGCGTGAAGGAATATTGAAACCTGCTCGATTGCAACCCCCAGGCCCCTTGACGCAAGAGCAGCATGGCGTTCCATAAATTCAATTCTATCTTCATTCGGGCCGCCTCTGGACCGTTGGAGAGTGCGGATGGCGCGCGGTTGTAGATTGTTCTGACTTCCATATTGCCTCAGTCGCCTCTTTTCAATTTTAGGCGTTAACAAATCTATTAACGCGTCTTTCAAAACGCCTCCCATTGTGCCTCGTTTGCTGACAGCCTTGCTCGCCGTCGAAGTCCTGATCCCCGGTTTGTTGGGCACTTCGTTCTCCGTATCGCTTCCAGCCTCCGATTCTTCGCTCGTCTCGGCGGATTTGAGCTTGATCAACTTCTGCATTTCCAGCAACACAAACGTGTGGTCCGAGTACCAATCGGCTTTTGTTCGATCTATCGAATGCATCAAGTCCTCAATCGCAAGCTTGTGAAGCCGTTTATGCGTAGCCAGCAGTCTAACAACATCCCAACTAAGTCCATTGACGTTAATCCATCGACAAACAACCCAAGGTTCCCTCTCTCTTTCAAGAAACCCCTGTAGTGTATCGTTATCCAGCTGGTACACGCGTATCTCCTCGTGCGAGAAATCCACTACTGTGATATCGCATCGCTTGTGTATCGACTCCGACAATAACGCTTCTCCCTGCACGCGAAAAGGGGGAAGGACCGGCTCAGAGGGATCAAGGCCGGGCTCTTCTCCAGGGCGCCATCCCGGTTGACCAGCCGCACCATCGGGATAATATGAACGAGCTGTATTGGAGCGTCGTGCGCGTCGTTTTATGGAGGGCGAGGAGCCGGCCTGGGCGCCATCATCGGCAGTAGAGGCATCATGGCCGGAGGATGATGGCATCAGGCGATGTCGCTTTTGCGGCGTCGGACACGCTTGCGCCTCGATGTCCGGGAGGGAGATGGAGCTATCCTCGGTTGATTGTGCATAGTCGCGGACTGAGATGCTCATCGTGAGTCGGCGAGCGCTGGACCATGCAAGCTAATTCCCGAAAACTGGAGCCAAGAGATGCTTGCAACGTCACAGACGCGAAACTAACAATGGGAGGCTGTCAAAGCTAAATGTAGGAAATAAAGAATAGAGCTCGAGCCAATATGTCCAACGTTCATGCAATGGCCATGCGCAGGGCCGTCAACAGTGGTGGAAGAGGCAATCAGGGCCTTGCCAGGAAGCCGGAGCCCCTTGCTAAGCTTGGATGCTCAGGCTCAGCTGGTCAAGATCAATACAACACCAAATCTAAAGATACGGAGCTAGTCATTGTTATATGCTATATCCAAGTAGACAAACGGAATCTGCTTAAATACATCGTACAATCATCCACAGAACGAACCCTCGTCGCATCAAACATGATATACTATGTACTGTACACTGCGAAGACATTCCCCAGTTGCTCATGGCGCACCGCACCGCCTAAGCACCACCAGCGCCGCCTCAATGCAACCCGTACACAAACTCCCCCTGGCCCAAAACAATAATGGTATTATCACCAGAACTCACAAAACATATAGGAGAAGGACGCAATGCCTTCCTTAAAGAAACAAACGGAAAAGGCTTGATCATAGCCATATTAACAATTAAGTGTATGGGCTGTAAGAAATGTATAGAGAGTGTGAGAATCATATGGGAGGACCTCTTATGGAGAAGGCGATACTTTTGGTTTCCACCCGTAGCGATTGCTTGAGAATTGCGGCGGTTTGGTCAAATTTGCCGGTCCATTGAAGCTTTCGAGAAGCTTAGGTCCTACTTCCATAAGGACAACGCGTTGGGATTCAGCGTACGAGGGTTCCTTCGAAGCCCCCCGTTTTCGACCCGATGTTGTAGCCGCTTTAGATCCGGGCGTGGCAGCCTTAGTTTTGTATAGTTCCCTGATGATTCCCCGGAGTTCTTTGTCGTCGCTAACAATCTGCGCTTTAATGTAGGCCGTGTTCTGGGAGCTTTCGAGTGAGGACATGACTGTTTGTCGTGGTATGTATGTGTATTTCTCTGGGGCTGGCGGAATAACCGGTTTGATAGCGGGATCTAGGAAAGCCCTTTCACCTTTTAGGAGTAACTGTTCGATATCGACGCTTTCACCTGGTGGGATCTTTTGTGGATGCGAGGGGGTAACGCAATCCATATCGACTTCTTTCCTCAATACATGATCAATATCGACGGCCGAGAAATACGCGCAGGACTGAGGTAGATCATCGATGCCCATTTGCTGGGAGAACATAGCCCGAGTCCAGACATTCGCAACCTGTAACGCCATGGCGGCTCTATATTTATCCTCCTCTTTAACAAGATATCTGATTTCATCGTGAACACTGATCGCCAGGCGCGCGTCAATATTAAAACGGCGAATCAAAAAGTCCATGGACACAATGAGCAAGTGAAGGTAATCGACGCCAGATGACTGAATCGCCCAATTAATGCGTGAAGTCATAAAACTGCCTTTGTTAATGAACCGCCGCATAAGAGCCTCAGTGATTCCGGCGCCTAGGACCGGGGTTCGAGGCCTCTCCTGGTCCGCAAACTCCTCTAGTTTATTAAATACGAAGGACTCGGTGCCGCCTCTCCAGAATGGCGATTCACTTATCATTTTGCGCATCGTCCGCGTACCTTTTGTCTCCCTGTAAAGATTAGATGCGATCAATTTGGTTTCCTCCTCGGATATTGAAGGGTTGAATTGTCGCAGCAGAGTGGCAGCAAACTTGAGCCCAGCGCCATATATTCGGCCGTAGTTAAACACTTTGGCGTTGTTTCGAGAGATACCTAAGATTTTCGCGGTCTTAGAGTGCAGGTCAGTCCCAGCGGCTTTGGTGCCCTCTAAAGTCATAAAACCAATCGCATTGCCCCCATGGATTTGGAACTGTGCGTCACCAACAAGACTAGCGATCCAAAGCTCTTCGGAGTCTACGTCGGCACCAACGAAAGCATAGCCTGGAGGAGCTTTGACCATGGCCTTGAGCTCAGAGCCCACACGGTTGGCCTTCGCATTGCTAGCAGTTAGCCAGGTATTCTCGACAGCTCTGCGGGTGATTGTTCCCATCGGGATGATTTGAGGCAATATGAATCCGAGATGCGATGACCGGTTTTGCGGAATTTCGTCTCCCGATAGCCGACGCACGTCTTTATCATAAACAACGATTTGCCTAGCGATTCGATCCCTAGCGCTTATCCAGTAGGAACAAGACGCATTCATTTCCAATGCTTCTTTGGCTAACGCGAATTGGGACGACAGCTTCCCACCTTCGAAATATTGCAAGTAACCCTTCGCGACAGGGCTTGCACAACGCGCATCTGGCCCATCTTTGTGTGGCAACTTGTAGTAGACATGTTGCGTATCGGACTTTAGGGCTTCACTCTTTTCTTCCATCATATCACATTGTACAACAGGTTGGTGCTCGTATTTATGGACCTCAGTTTTGGGAACTTGAAACGTCCATCCATACTTATCGGACCACACTAGCGGATATCCGTCCCAGGCAAGCTTCAGCAGTAGCGGCGCAATCCGGGTGCGCACAGATAGATTCATAGGGGCATTAGCTTTGGGGAAAAGATCTTTATACCATTTCGGCATCCCAGGCAGTTTTTGTCGTGCAGCAGGACGAGGAGGATCGCCCTTCTTCTTTCCTTTCACCATTTTGATTTCTTGACCAGACCAATCGAGTTGGCGCAGCCAGGGGTCATTGTTGTATACCTCAGGTTTATCTTTCGCTTCGACAGCAACTTGACATAGCTCCTCTAATCTTTTTTGGACATCGTTTAACCGGGTATTATACGTTTCTTCAGCACTCTTAAGATATTGCGCCCAGGTCTCGTTAACTGGCAAGATGACCGTGGAAAGATGTCGTAAAGCCCCGAAGCTTACTGGGTGTGGGCAGGTCTCGAGGAAATTTGGAAAGACTTTGCGATACACACGATGGGTGATTGAGACGTCCGCGGCACAATAATCAAGGAGTTCGTCTAGCCGCGCACGAATGCCCTCTCTATCAAGTTCACCGAAGTAGTCTCTCTGGGCTTTGTCGATAGTGATATTACAATGAAATTTGGCCACGTCTCGTAGCGAATTAATCGAGCTTCTTCCCACCCATAATTCCTCCTCTTCTTCACTCAAAGCCTTATTTTCCAGGAGCTGGGCAAGTTCAAGAGAGTCCGCTTGCCGAGCTATTTTATCTCTTAGGTCGCGATTCTTCTTATGTCGCATCCAAGTTGGTCTTTGCTGCGAGCACATTCCATTAACCGCCACATGTAGGGACATTGTGTCAAGAAAGAAGTTGCGCGATTGTTTCAGATCATATTCTTCAAGTACCCTAGCCCGGTCAAAGCCAATATTGTGCCCAATAATAACTCGAGACTGGGAAGGGTCGCCCAAAGGAACTAGATGCTGACAATCCTCTGATTCCCCAAGGAGCCACGGAGAGAGCCAAGCGTACCACGCCGTAGGACTTGCCGCACAAGCCATAACAGCGAAAGGGTTATCTTTCCACATAACCTCCGTGTCAAACGTCAACATGGTTTCATCGGGCGCTTGAACGGCTTCTATGGTGCCGTCGGCGTTGTATTTCGTCCATCCGCTCCTCCGATTCCATTTCCGCGGTGCAGCTGGAAGATGAATAGACATATACTCCTTTGCGAAATCCAGATACGGCGCAGATGCGTCCATGCCTAGCCTGTGAAAATGCTCGTCAAGAGACTCGCCTTCCAGGCGAGGCAAGTCAAACGCGATAGGAGGAGAACCATCTTGCGCTTTTCCAAGGAGTTCATGGCGCGATAGATGGTCCTTTGAAAGGGCCACTAGTTCTGGGTCCGGGGGGTTCGGGGGTCGACGAAATATTTGTGAATGGACATGACTGCTCAACTGTTGGACACCGATCTCATTGAATCGCGCCGTCGACGGAACTAGAAGTAGTATTAGGACATTATCCCAACCTATGCGACCACGGTACACCACGTACCTGCAAGAGAGCTTCTTTTCGTTGTGCTGCCGACGTCATTTGGAGCTGTTTCGGCAGAGTAGCGCCTCGATAATGCGGGCGGTGCTTGCCGAATGCGCGAAAGTAGCGGAGTTCTCTGCAGTTGGAGGGAGGCTCTTCTCAAAGCCCTCGAAGTGCTGGCAGTTGACACCAGCATTCTTGATCGAGCGCTAAACCATGTTGTGGATATCGATCTTGTCGCCGAACAGCATCCACAGCTCTGAAGACTGAAGTTCAGATGAATCAAAGGCATCGAATTCCCCTGATTAGTCATCGAAAGCGGTCACATGAGAATCAAGATTAGGCTAGCCCCAGAGCGGTCTAGCCTCCACTTTATCGATAAGCAAAATTACATAATCATTCGGTCGCTGAGCTCATCGCCTCCAATTCATCTTCCCGAAATGAGCTGTCGTTGATTCACTTGCACTGGACTTCACCTCCGGCTACTCTCATCAGCCTTTTATCTACACTCCGCTGCTACTGCGCCCTCTCTGTTGATCCTTTTTCGGGGTGTTTAGGTGTCGAAACCAGCTGAAACTTCTCCGTACCGCCACCCGGTTGCAGCGGAATCCCAAATACGTTTCTTCAATCTACCTCCTCCTCCACGGCTCATAGCGACATTATCCGGCACACATACCACTTCCATTCTTATCAGCGTCTGAATCACCGGCTCGAACCCTTCACGAATCCCTCACTTGAAATATGCCCCGGAGCTCGTTTGTCGACCTCACCACTCTCTCATCATCCCCAGCGACCAACGATAGAGATGAAATCCGACGTTTAACTGGCTCATATTCCTCAATGCCGAACCCTTCTTCCTTCCACGTCTCAGAGGACTCCCACGATTCCAAACGACGAAGATTAAACAGCGATGCGGCAGCTGGTCCTTCAGCATTGACGTCCAGTGCGCCACTTACTCCCCAGGAGGATTATGCTACTGAAACGCCTGACGTTGACGCAATTGACCTAACGGACGTTAACGATCCATCTTCTCTCGCTCATGCGCTATCCAAACAACAGGAAGATGCAGTCAAGGCACAGCATTCAGCGAACGATGAAACCGGTCGATCTACCCTAACCTCGTACAAATGCCCAGTCTGTATGGATACACCGGTGGATGCTACAACTACTATTTGTGGTAAGTAATACTCCTGGTATATTACTTCTTTGCACTAATGGGAATTTAGGCCATCTATTCTGCCACAAATGCATCATCGACACGCTACGGTTTGGAGAGCAAAGACGCCCATATGAAACTGGTAAAGCGCCACGCGGGCACTGTCCAGTTTGCCGAAAAGTTCTTACCAGGGCCGACGGTCCCGGTCCCCGGCGGAATTTAATTCCCATGCAGCTTAAATTGATAACAAAAAAGAAGCGGTAGGCTGTGGCCCCGGTTTCCTTTTAGTTATGTACATTTGACGAGAGCGTCTCTAGACAAGTACCATGGGGGTTAGAAGCATTTTTAGGCGTTGATGGAAGCATTTGGAAGATACCACGGTCTACTGTTTCACTGTTTTAAAGCCCTTTTCTTTATTTTGAAATAGCACATAATGATAGCCACCTTCAACACTTCTCTGCACATATATCTTTGAAAAAATTGACATGTATATACATGTGCTATTGACAACAAACTCTTTGAGATTGGTGTATTAACCACGCAGATAAGCTCTAGGATGTCTGCTGAGAAATTCTAGGGCTATAGAGGGAAGCTATTATGAAAGTATTTACTTTCCTGCCATACTTTCCATCGTATTTCGCCTGCTCTTTTCGCCCAGCGTGCCTCTAACCATCGCATCACCTCTTTTTCCCAGCACTACCTCCAGCGCTTGCGTCAACGCCGTAGAATCGTACGTCATTCCCACCACCTCCCCCGACGGACTTTCCACCTTCCGTCCATAGACTCGTACACACTCAATGCCCATCTCGTTCAGACGCTCACGGTCCACGCGCGGAGTTGCAGGCCCTTCAAGATGAATAACGTGTGTTACATACGCCGTGTGTGGCAGTGAGAGGCCAGGAGTGCTGCCCTGCGGCGCGGATTTGACGGGAGCGTGCGACTCGGGAATCGCCACTGTGCCGTTTAATTTCTGCAGCCCGCGACCTCGTCCGCGTGACTCTTCGCCTGCACGCACGATAGCTTCCACGAAATCGGACGCCGTGTAGGGATGGGTTGACGGTCCTGTTTCGCGGTCCAGGGAGCCGTTTAGGATGAGGATCTTGTAGCGTGCCGGGCAGGTTGATATTGCTTGGCCAACGCCGCGAAGGATTATGGAGGGAATGATGGAGGTGTAGAGGGAGCCGATGCTGTATATGATAGCTTGGGAGGAGCGAAGAGCTTCCAGCACCCGAGGATTTGCAGGTGGGCGTATTTCTTGGCCATATGGATTGATATACCAAACACGGGAAATGCGGCTCGGGAGCTCTTCCACAGCAGACTTGGTGAAGTTGATGTTTTTGTTGCGAAGTGTCGGAAGGGAGCCGGGTAAATGGCTATCTTCATAAGAGAGGTCATCAGACTCAGAGCTGAAATCCTCTCCATCCGCTAATAAGAGGCTTGGCCGTCGCCGAACAGGCTGTAGCGCCGTGGTTTCGCTAGGGTGAGAAATGCTATTCTGCCCGACGATTACGGTGCCATCGGCTAGGGAGGCCGATATATGATGCGAGAAGTTGGAGTTGATTGCTGGCGTAACCCGGACATCCTCCAGCGGTACGGAGCATATGCTTCCGAGTAGATATATTGCGCTTTCGAAACTTCCGCTGAAAAGACGAGCTCCTGTGAGGAACAGATTCCCCACACTTGCTGATGTGAAGTCAAACGTCGAAGATGGCGGTCGCGCACGCTTCAATATCTCAAGATTGAGGTGATTCAAGAATGAGCGGATGAGTTCCCTTTTTGCTGGGGTGATGGACTTCCACAGAGGAGAAGTTCCTTCAACAATGGAATACCACTCATCATGCGCAGCGTCAGCCGCAGGTGGCAGTCGATAGTTGAAAAACGCTTTGATGCCAGCTAGCTCCAGATTTGTAGGACAGTCCGGGATAAGGCGGACAAGTCTACCTAGTGATCATGTTAATCCGCAACTCTTCATAGAATGCTTGTCTGCGCGTCGACAGGGATCGACTCACTTCGAACGTCACCGATTCCCGGGCCTCCAAACACCCTGATCAATTCCGACGACGAGCCGCCATTATCGCTGATGGGAATAATATAGCTCAGCGGGCAATTTTTGTTTTTGCGCACGGCATTGAATACGTCGACGAGGCTGTTCGCTGCGCTGCCTCCGGAGAAAACAACAATGCCCCTGACGGGGTTCGTGGCCATCCCAACACCACTTTCTGCTCTGTGTTTCTACGGTTGTAGGAGATTCGACACGGAAAAGAGAAGCAGAAATCTGCTTATAAGCGAAAGAAGTGAATGGTTTTGGCCACACTTTGTGTCCACGTTGCCTTTTGTGCTTGTCTCAGATGACTATCGCGGGCTGAACATTCGAGCAAGGCGTCATGACGCAACCCAATAAAAAGTAGCAGAAGCAAGTAGTCAACCAATGCTCCTCTGTACAGGCTGCTCGAAGATGCCCTCTGCCACAGAAGATCTTGAATGTTGGTGATGGGGTTTGGATGAAAGGCGGCGTTGAACTCGAAGTTGACTGACGCGTCGACACACGGGAAGTTGGTCGTTCTTCATCATTTGTGCTTCTTCAATCATACTGACTGGATTCAACGGGAGAAATCAATGGTGATTCTGGCCAAGCTGAATATGAGATGAAAACATGTTCTCATAATAAATTAAGGATACGATATTTGATTAATCAGATTATCTTTGCATCTACTAAATCTGTTAAGTCGATGACCTGCCAGCACCCTCCTCTCCATTAGACGCTCCCGCCGAGTTCGGCCTGGATTGGATATAAGGGTGCTGAAGTTGTGCGACGGCCATTCAGCTGCGCTGATCCAATCTCCAACGGCGAATCCGTTGGCAGTTGAGCGTGCGACTCGTCTCACATGCATTGGTAGTGCTTGCTACATTTTCCGCTGCAGCACATGCCGTTGTTAACACACAAGAAGCCCCATGCTACTTGATAGTTAGCATGCGAGATAAATAGCTAGTATTATGAGGCAACGAGGGCCGAAGCTGGGGCTCACAGACGTTCGCACTTTCGGGCCTTCAACGATGTCTCGAGGCATTTGTTATCGTGGCAGGTTTTGCTGCAGCAAGCACTGTCTACCGCGCAAAGGCTCCCATCCTCTAGTGGATTGTCAGTATACGGGGTGGAACATGGCTCTAAAGATGCTACTTACTGACGCACTGGGGTGCGAGTTCCTCTCGAGCATCCAACGTGCCGATTCTAGCACTTTGTTCTGCGACTGGGATAGCCAACGCGAGACTGGCAAAGAGGGGAAGAAGAGCAGCGGTAGAGACCTTCATGACGGCAGTTCCGCACGGTGATATTGAGAGATTTGACGCTAGGTTTTCAGAGGTCGCAGACTGCTTTCGTTTGCTGATGCGGACCTGGGCAGAAATGATTAGGAGCATGGGGACGAAGGTCACGGATATATTTATATGAGAGCTTCTTCGCGACGGTCAACTCTCCGCTTCCGCTCTACTCCAAGGAAACAAAGAAGTGTCCGGCGAGTACAGTTACACCGACGCGGAGTATTCGCCGAAAGGGCATACTTAAGCGGTGTAAACCGGTTGCTTTTGCAAAGACATCTATCCAGTTGGAATCAGAGGGATAATGGGCTTTGCTGTGAGATACGAAGCCAAAACCATACTTTGTGACCATAAAAACGAGGTGCTCCCTAACAGCCGAGAATCATCTGATCAAATCCATGCACACAATGTATGTATATACATTCGTGGATTCGTTCTCCATTGTCTGTCTCAATATCCCCATACCAGTTACAATGCCAGGGAGTTGCATGAATGGCATAGCCAAGCGGCTTCTGCCATCTGTACTGGAGTACAGAGTAACGCCTTGTTAGGATACTCGAAGATCATTGAGCAAGAATCAGAGTTGACGGCGGAGGTCGTACCATATCACCGCAAAAAAAGTGATGTACGCTGATTCCTGCCGTTGTGCAACTGGTCAATGCATGAATGAAGTGGATTTTCATTCATGAAGCCTCCTCTCCCGCCGCATATTAGAGCTTTTGCCCTGGAACTTGATTTGCCCTTATCATTCATAGCTCATTCCAGACCGCACGAAGCCTGGATTTCGATTTTCGTCGGACAAATGCTATTACAAGCATCATAGTGTTGATAAATGTGACATCAGCTTTTTGGAGGTCTGTTTACCTATTTGATACTATCCTCCCCAAGAATATTCAGAGCCTTCAATTCTCAACTGAGAAATTGTTTGATACCCGAAACTCGTATACCCCCCACCAACGATCCCGACGCACGGAGATAATGAACAAGGTTACAGAGAAATTCATTCAAATTGGTATAGGTATGCACATTATTTCTGCTACAATTTCAATTTCATGAATCATGGCGCTATTCAGAATCCTCCAGAGTGCTTTAAACGGAAACAGCATAATACCTAACTGTCGCGGGGCTTTTTAATGTGCAACTTCTCCTTTGCCTTGGTAAAAGTGATCCCGGCTTTGTGAGTACCTGTCCAAAGCCCACCGTGGTGGTCCTCAGGTTTCTGCCTATCCACACTGTGACGCTTGACAGGCTCCGAGTTGGGGTCTCGTCTCTGTTGTTCGTCCAGGAGACCTTAAGAATATGCGTTAGCTTCTTGACCGTAATCATTGCAAAACCGCAAGGGGAAACGAAACACATACGGTCAGCTTCTCTGCCAGCCCCAGGCTCTTTGGCGTCAAAGTTACCACCCTCTGCTGCGAACCCGGTGCTCCGAACCACTGTTTCTTCGCCCGGTTGCTGTGCTGTTTCTCCCCCCTTTGGTGTCTTTGTACTCGTTTGTTCGTGGCTTGTGTCGGCCGCTCCGGCGTTGGTCGACAGCCCTGCCTCGGTCTCCGCAGGGTGATAATTTTCTGACTCTAAAGTGGGTTTAGTGTTGCTTCGGTCTTTCATACCAGGGTCCTCTTGCATTTCGCGCCTGTCAAACTGATTTCCACTCCCGCCTTGGTTGTGATATACCTCAGTGAGTTCGGGTCCCGTGGCCCGGTGCTGGGGCTTAAAGTCTTCGTGCCTGTTAGGAAAGGAGGCGAATGGTTCATTTGAAGAAAGCTTTTGTGGTGCTGTCCCTGTGGGCTCCTTGAGACCGGTGCTGGGGGAATCAGATGGTGCGGTTTTGAACTGTTCTAAACCGCTGGATCCAGACACATCTCGCCCTGGTTCCATTGGGCCCACTGGCTGGATACTGCCACCCGTGGTCGGAGCAGTTGACTGCATAGGGTCGTTAGGCATTTTTGAGGCACCGCTAAGGCTTGAGGTTCCTGCGCCAGGGAGAGTTGCTCCCACGGGGACAATGCTACATCCAGCAATGCCGGTGTGTGGACTCGTGTGCGGATTGGCTACTTTCGCGGAGTGACCTTCTGTGAAACCAGAGGTTTGCGTGTTTGAGGAATCAACCGGGCCGGATGCTATGAATAGAAAAATATGTCAGTGTTTAGCGTTTTCCTCAGATATGTATATACTTCTCGCTCTGACTGATATAGTGGGTGACATTATTTACCAAACACTCCTTCCCAAAAAAAACCAATGACCGCCAAAAAAGAAAAGGCTCACAGCCACCACGGGGAATGAGAAGAGGGATAAAGGAGAGGTCAACGCATACACGACACATTGCCCGCATCATACGGATCTGAAGGTGTTCCTTCTCCTTTTACACCGGAAATGGGTTCCTCGCCAGAGACATTGCCGGCATCGTATGGGTCCGATGGTGTGCCCTCGCCTTTTACACCTGCGATGGGCTCTTCCTTCGATGCTGGTGGCCGCTCCTCGCCCCAGATCACTTTTTCCGCCGCGTGATATGCGTTCTTCATCGTCTCCATGAAAGCTTGGGTATATATTGATCACAGAATAAGATAGCTTAGTTGAAAATTGCAGAGTAAATTGCTCAGGAAAGGAATCTCTCGATTCAAACCATCCTCCACATATATATACTTCTCCCATGGCAATCCATATCCAAGTTCATTGCATACTCCGTGCAGGCTCCCAATTACCCAGGCCAAAATGACGTTGGTGCGGTGACGTCACATCAGATAAGGCTGAAGGTCAAGACGTGCGCCAAGACTTGGGCCAACTCGACAGTTTTGAACTTCATGGCGATCAATGCAAGGGAGTCAAAGGGCCTGTTAAGTCATCATGTTTGCAAACAAGAAAGGCAGAAGAATATGGTTGTTAACTAGAACAGATTGAGAGATAACAGCAGCACAGCTGTAAGCATAACACCCCAAACGCCAACATGCTTCATACCCAGCAGAAAAGAACAACGCACATACCAGCTTACCAGGGGACCAAACATCGGGTGGCGTTTTATTGTGCAGTCCCATTGTGCTCTTCCGGCTTCTTCAGGTTTGGGTTCAAGGGGTTTTTGGGATCATAGCTCACAGCTTTTACTATTCCCAAGCCTTTGGTTCGACCCTCGCGGAACAGAATGCGGTCTCCAACGGAAAGGAATTCGGGTCTCTGGATAAATCTGAAAGCGACCAACGCACGGTCGCCCGTACGAATGAAGTCGCGATCAATGTCGATAATCGCACATGTTTGGCTCACCGCCCCAACATGAAGCATCGCTTGGTATTTCGGCTTGATAGTGGTCGCATGGGAAAGGATCAAGACTGTAGAGCTCAAATTGTAAGTACCACCGACCGTGTACGGGGAACGGGTAAGTACTTGCCTTCTGCAACAAACTCGCGAAACACTCTTGGGGGTTTCTCGAGTTTTGGTAAAACAACCATGCCTTTGCGAACTTCTTTCCTACGGACGCTTTTGAGAGCGAATGACGCGCTTTGGCCGGCGGAACAAGCATGAACAGGCAGGCGTTTTCGTTCAATCGACTTGATTACCGTTGGTCTAAACTGACCAAGGGAGTCAGGCCCGATAAGAACATTGTCACCTGCATGGACCACCCCGGACTTGACGACCCCAGATACCACAGTACCCACAAATGGGACTGAAAAGGTATCATTCACAAGGAATTCAAACGGCGCATCAGGGTTGTAGTGGCCGTGGTGAGGAAGGATGTTCAAAAATGTCCGTACCAGATCGAGCGATTCTCCTGTGACATTGGACACTTGGAATATGGGGCAAATGCGCTGATTGGCAAACTGAGTAGCAGTGTTAACAGTTTCCTCCAAAGTCTTGATGAAAACAGGGATTTTTCTGGCTCCGGGAGATTTCAATATTCGAGTTAATTGGGTCAGCGTCTGTTGAAGGATCTGTGGCGGGCAGATGTCGATTTTGGTTACAACGACCATAACTGGCACATTCAGAGACAATGCAATTCCCAAATGCTCTTTGCTCATACCAATCAATCCGTTATTGGCCGCGACCATGAGTAAGCAGTAATTGGGACTACTGCTCAGCATGCCAAACACGGTGGTTCGTAGGTATCGTTCGTGCCCGGCCAGATCAGTGAAAGAGATGACTTTGGCAGACTGCCTGCCAATTTCCTCCCACGACTGCTTGCGCTGTTGGCCACGTCCCACAATGTGGCCATGTGTATCAAACCCCATGATTTCCATACCAACAGAGCTAGTCCTGCCGCTCTCAATCTCATGTTTGTGGCGGAAGAGGTTGACTCTTGCCCTTCCACGCCCATCATCCAATTTGCCCTTCACCAGGACACCAAGAAGGGTACTTTTGCCCGCATCAACGTTCCCGACAACCGCGATTCTAGTTTCGATAACATCTTCCACCGTACCTGCTACGCGTCGAATCAAGACTTTGCCATAAGCGGACTTGATGCGGTCGCTTTTGGTTTCTGCTTCGGCTGGGCCACCGACATTATATGTCAGAAGCACAGAGCAATCAGCCTGGTAGAGATGAGCTGCTTCCTGCAAGCGGCGTAAAGCGAGGTCCCATTGTTCCTTGTTGAATCCCATCCATTCGCCGTTGTCTTCCTGGCCAAGGTCGAAGATAGTCTCCCCCTGTCCTTCATCGACTCGGGATTTCACGACCGTAGCAAGTTGTTGGAGAGTAGTTTCGGCGTCCGGGGAGTCGTCAAGTAGTAAACTTTTTAATTTCACCGGTGGTGAGCTGTCGGAAAAGCCCAGCTGATCCAAGATATCTAGTTCCGGATGCTCTTCCGCCACTGCCGTGGAACGAGTAGCCGTAAAATAGCCGCTGTCGCTGGGTGCGACCGAGACATCGCGGGCTTGCGACCCGCCGTATCGGTTCGCCTGCTGCTTTTCAACGTACTCTGCGAACTCACTAAGGGACTGTTCGTAGTCAGAGCAAAGCTGTTACCAGGCGCAAAGGCGACATAAATGCGTACCAGTTCACCCCTCCTTCTCTCCTCGAGCGTCTGTTTATAGCCTTTTTGACTCATGATAAGAATAGGACAATTGAATGCATTTGGTGACACCTAGAAGGCGAGCGCGATTTAGCGCATGAGGTTCAGCTTCGTAATCGAGTGATCATTTCCTCTAAAATAGTATAAGAATAATGAATAGTTGTAAATAAAGATAGCTGGAATTTTGGAGGAACTGTTATAGAGAGATGTGATGACGTTGAGGACAGCGGGAGCTTAAATACACGATCGCATCTGGCTGAGGCTTAAACTGGGGTGATTTCGACGCCGCAGAAGGCAGGCAATATGAGTAATAGCAACCTTCTCCGGCTGTCGCTAGGCTACATATGAATTCCGCCTCTATATGATCGAGTCATCTACTGCACACTGACTGAGTGACTCATACTGGAAACAGCCAAAAAAAAATATAGGAAATTAAATGACTGGCGGGAATCCACGGAAAGATTATTATGGCTGGTCTGTATCATTCAAAGTGTTTCTAGAGGCCCAGCTCGAGAATTTTTGGCAAAGCTCTAATCCTTTGCGATTCTCCTGGAAGGTCCATGGATAGAGGACCATCTGTATATCAATGAAAGGGCTCATTCCATAATCCCAGAACTGCCTCCTCTCTAGCCTGATGATGTTGGAATTCTTATTCATTTCTGACTGGTCACCCAGTAATTCGTGTACGCATAAATTGTGGGAAAGGGTATTAATTCGATTTCAAGGTGAGGACTGCGGCGATATGAGGACAACAGAGTCGCCTAAAGTCGAATTCAGTAAACGGGCTGGTGACAAAAGAGGCGTAGATATAACGAACCTCGAACAAATAGCATTTCTTCTTGTCGCTTTATTGTCTATGCCAGAGTGAGTGTCGTGCGCCATTGCCTGGACTCGCCTGCGGCTCTCTACCTTGATAATCTCTTGCTCATTCTCGTCTTCCTCCACCATGTAGATTGTCTCCTCAACGTCGCCGAGAACCAGGTTGCAGTGGCTATCGTAGGCCTAAACAAGTTGTTACCATGGCGCTCTAAAAAATACAAGAAGCGATTTCACAAACGTGTAGGCGGCCTTTGAGTTCTCGGTCTCCTCTAAGCTTCACAAACACGATCTCGTCGAGTGATAATCGGACCAAGTCAAGAGGCTCCGAAAAGGATGGCGCGGCGCCATCATCTCCGTCAGCCATAACGGTGATGTTGACTGAAAGTAAGAGGAATAACGTGTCTCTAGAGAAGCATCGCCTGGGGCTCAGCGCAGTTCATCGTCTTGATCTTCTCGTCGATCGGCTGGTTCATGAAGCACAAAGATCGGTTCCAAAAGGAGTTTAGCGCGAACTTCAACGGCCTCAAAATCCATATTCGCATAAACGACAAGAGGGACAGACGAGAGCGACGACAGGACCAATTGCCCCGAAGCGGCCAACTCGCATTCACTAATAGTCATTGAACGCCAATTGCTGTTTCTTCCTTCGAGTGCGAGCCGCTGTGAATGAGGGGAGTTGGCCTCGTTGGTGAGACAGTCGGGTCTCGGATCTGTCCGTCCTGCTTATGGAGGATTGCTAGCGAACCGGGCCTCGGTGGCCCTATGAGAACGCCATCGAAGCTCTTCAGACCGGTCTCCACGGTCTCACGAACTCCCTCGTCGCGAAAACGGAGCGCTAATAGTGGAAAATGGGCGCCAACTACATCACGAACAGCAGCATCACTTCACGGATTCGCGGTACCCCAGCCCAACTCGAACATTTCGGCTAGTGAGCCTTTTGCGGGCGAGGATACAAGGAGCCCGCCGGCCCCTCGCAACTTGGAACAAGGCAGTGCTGCGCATTCTATCAACGTCCAAGCGATCCTTGAAGAAGCACAGCCAGGGAGAATATTGGCTGCGTTGAAAAGCTCAGCCGAGTTGCAAAATGCAATACAGGAGGTACCAGCTGCTACCTATGTCGAGCTTCTACGGTTACTTTCTCCTGCATATTTCATTGAGCCGTACAAGGAACTGCACGCTCATCTTCACCCCCTGACCGCACATCTCAATCGGATCCTCCCTTTAACTATTCGCATGGCCCAGTTTGCGGAACAACTTGATGCTATCGTTAAACTGCGACGTCGCGCGGGCCACCGTTTGGGACTCGCCGAATATACCCAACTTCTGTCATGCTCTGCGTCGATGGGATACGGACAGATGGCCAGTTTTCTTTGGACGGAAATGGGCGAAGACGGAATCGAACCTACCGTTGAGTGCTATAATTATCTCATGGAAGCTAAAGTATGGGATCGTGCCTACATTGCGAAAGAAAATCATAGGGTACGGTCTACGCAATGGATATATGACAAGCGGAGGCGATATCCCCGTAACCCCGGCTACCGTGGGTATAGAACAGGTAAAGATGGAGTACGAGATCAGGTCCACCAACTGTTTCGTGCAATGGTGGCGAGTGGGTTGATTCCTAACGAAGCTACCTTTATCAATGTTATGACCGCAGCGAGTCGGGAATGGGACATGAAAACTGTCAAGACCACGCTACAAACCGTCTGGGGTATCGACGTTGACCTACTTGAAAACGACCCGGGTAGCCATCCACCAGTATCTATTTACGCTACCTCATCCCCTCTTCACCCTACACCCCGACTTCTTCACGCCGTTGCTCACATTTTCGGGTCGAATAATGACTTCTCAATGGCTTTGAAGCTAGTGGACTTTGTCTCCCAAAGTTACAACATTCCAATCCCGCAGCGCGTGTGGCAAGAATTGCTTGAATGGTCATTTGTGCTCTCGCTTGAGAGATTTGGGGATTCCGGCGATAGCATGGTTGGCAAGATCCCGCGGAACTCGCCAGTCAAAGTTTTCGAAGTCCTCACATCATCACCCTACAATGCCTCTCCAAACTTCAAAATGTACAATATCCTCTTCAAAGTTGCCTGGATAAAACAATCAAAGGATACCTTCGACCATATGAAGAGTGGTCGTGAATTGTTCCGAGAAACGCTGCGAACGCGAAATCGCCTTTTTCATCGACTACTCAGGAGGCACGGAGAGATTGCATCTACTCGCAACCTTAATAACCCTTTAGATATCAACCCGTCACGGAGGAGCAACCAACCAGACGACGATGAGGTATTGCCCAAACCGGCCCACGAATACCGACTCGCTCCTCTTTTCCCATCCATCACCTGCCCCGGAGATTACTGGGATCTATACAACACCGTCAAATCGCTCAACATAAAGGTCGCTCGAGAACTCTTGTACATCCAACGATGGATTCGACTAATCCTGACGCGGCGAAAATGGCGCGGGACGAAAGAGCAGTGGGAAAGACTAGGCGTTCCCAATTTCATAGAGGAATGGAAGGAATTTTTGCCCTACCAGGTCTTTTACCATACAAAGACCGGCGTAGTGGAATTTGACCCTTCTAGCTTCTGGCCCGAAGGCCATCGATGGGATCTTGCAAGTTTCATGCTCCCACTTTGGGATGCGGAGAATCGATTGCTTAGCAAGTCAGAGCAAGAAACATTCTTAGATGTAGCACCAGAGCTCACTACAGATGACGATGCACCGGGCATTATGACGGGGAGATCGTAACCTACGTTTTCTCGCTGGTTTTCTTGTTTCTAACCCATCGGCCACCTTCTATCTCTCCTCCATCAGGAGCCTACTCTTGTCATTTAGCGCCCTATTTCTTGTCTGCCTTGTAAGAGCGACCCTTTTTGTTGTTGTATGTACAGTACGTGGATTGCGCATGCTGGCCCGAATTTGGGATAAACATGGGTACAACATTTATGCCTCCTTCTAGAGAGCAGGTCGCATTTTCAATGTATAAAAGAATTTACGCCTTCACATGTAAGTCACGTAAAACGAAGCTGTCCTTCAACATAGATAGGGAGAATTAGATTTTTGCCTTGGAAAACACCAACCTTATATACATTGTTGTATGTACGAAGAACGCGCCCGCTGAAGGACGTACCGAGTATCGGCCCCAATGACAAGCAAGCAGGACAAGAACGGCGCTGGCCCCTGAAAACAAATCCGGGTACCTCGTATGCTCCGTAGGTTAAACTTTCTACCAAAAAATCCGCCCAAAACATCATTTTGCTCCCTGGCCCCTTGGACGCATGAGGTATTGATACTGGTCAAATTAACGCTGAACTCGAATAAAGTGGTCATATTTTCTCTCTTTTCAGATCATTAACGATCATATACCGCCCGATCGTAATCCACCCCCATCGGAACCAAACCATCTGACTTTTATGCGCCTGCACCATGGCCTTCCACGCCGAAAACCACTGGCCTACAGTACTCACAAAGAGTAACCTGGCCGGCGGGGCATCCTCTCCTTTGGCCACTACATTGCTACCGCTCACGCTTGCTATTATATTTCCAATTGCGCCTATTAACATGCTGATTGGCGCATCAAAGATCCCCGAGTATTTTCGCACGAAATTGGTAGAAGTAAGAGTGTACAGGTAAACAGGACAGGCGTAGTTTTCGTTTGCCTTCACAAGGATCTGTAGAAATGCCTTGGCACCGTGGTAAAGGGAGCGGTGGTTGGGGTGGTTGCTGACGCCGGACGGGTCAAAAGTGAGGAGAACATCGATGCTGGCATTCGTGCGGCCGTTGGTAGAGCCGTTGGTACGGGTAGAGGTTTTTCGATGCTGTGTAGAGGAAGGTGAAGAGGTGTCTACATCGTCGTTGGTACGGTTAAGTGCAAGTTCTGGAACAAAAGCAGAAGCTAAAAGAGATCCGATCGCTGTTGCGGACCATTCGGTGGTCATGCTATCCGGAAATCGGGACGGGTCGTCGAGGACGAATACGTCAGACGGGCTGCGCAGACCAAGGTGCATAGCGCTTTTCCGTAGCTCCTTCTTGCGAATATGGCCAAGTCCGTCTGCATCGCCTGTGTTCCATATTCTCAGCAAAGCTAGATCCGAGGACTCGTGACTAACGTTCACGCCGTAATTGACAAAAGGGCAGTTGGAAGATTATCCAGTCGAAGGCACATACCGGAGCTCAAGCACAGTATCTTGACATGGTTTCCTAGCTCGGGCTTTGTCAGAGCCAAAAGTGTTGGCGCGAAGAACATGGCCTCATCGTCGGGGTGGGCGATCAAGAGACATATTCGCTGGTCTCGTAACGTTGGAAAGCTGTTTGCAAAAGGTGACGATGGCCCAGTTGCCGATATTGCCCACAGCGCGAAGAAGGTAACGGGTAGGAGGGCGAAGGAGATAAATGTGGCTATCGAAACCATCGCCGGTGATGGAGCGAGCCGGAGCGGGAGTTGGAAGCTACTTGAAGCGCCAGATTATTGCAATTGAACCAACCGATGTAGACTGGATTGTGAGGAAAAGACCATAAAGCCCGTCAGCCAGTTTCAATCCAGTTGAAGCCAACGGGGAAAGCTAAGGACGGATGGTTCGTGATCAGGTCACCGGACGGGGTGCAAGACGGGCGGCGGCCAACAAACGGCACGATTTTAGGAGAGCCGTATGCGACAGAATCCCAGAAAGCTCAGGATATCATTTGACCACGCATGACGAAGCGCAGAACGGGCATTGTTTCTTCACTGAGAATTGAAACGTGGCATATCTTGAGAAACAAGTCTTGGGAGTATGAAGCGCGAAGTTGGTGAGGCGGTAAGGTCGGTGCTGACGGCTACACTACGCGAGTCTGAGGGAGGAGGCAGCTCACGCCGTCCCTGCTCGAACGATTTGGCTTCTCTGACAGTAACAGAGCTTTTGCATCTAGCTGTCTCAGATCTTGCTCAAAATATAGATTGATTTTATATCGACTTTCTTTTGCAGGCGAAAATATCCCTCGCCGCTCTTGCACTGCTGACTAATTACATCGGCAAATAGTTGTTCCATGCCAAGACAATGTTTATATAATCTTTTGTCTTGAATACACGTGACACATCTAGTTCAACGCTCTTTTTGGAAGAATCGCGTTCACGAAACAGCATCGACGTCTGATATGCTGGAGTTGCCAGACGATGGCGCCCCGGAACCGTAGAGAACGCCGTGCGGCTGCGGCGACGGGCTCCTCTGCCGACAGCTTTGATCCAGACTCGATCCCCATGGCTCGTCCTCCAACCAGCCAATTCGCATCTCAAAAAAACGCTCGAACCCTCCTTGAAATCGCGGCCGAACGACGAGCAGCTACAGGCAAAGCAGAAACTGAATTCATTCATGTCTCTCCGTCTGGTCAGATAGTCGGGGTAGAGAAACTTACCGACTTATCTGGCTCTGCTGGTACTTCCGCCCCGGCATCGGAATCCGACCATGACGACGAAGCTCCGGAGGACGACGCTGTTATACCTCCGCTCGCAGACTCTATTTTCCTTTCCCTTCCGCTGTCAGCTCTTCATTTTACGCTATCCTTTCTAGCCGCACATCAGTATGCAGAGGAGATCCCGCTTCAGAAGTTAATCCGAAACTCGCTATTCGTTGCCTTTCCAGTTTTGACGTTCTTAATTCATTTTGCCCATGGACACTTGGTTTCGATCAGGCTGCCCAATTTCCTTGATAAAGGACCAGTGACAGGGGACGAGATACCGGGTAGCCAAGCAGCTACTAGACTATTTTCACTGAAGTCTCTTTTTCCGCTGACTACCCGCAATATCATCTTCTGCGTGATGGCCGTAGCTTCGGGGATGCATCTCATCGCTACGGCAAACGAAGGCTCGTATTATGCAGTAATGAAGAAAACACCGTCAATTGGAACCTTATGGGTCTGGTGTGTCCTGGAAATATCCCTTGGTCCGGCTATCTTAGGCCTTTTAATTCCTGTTATATGGTCAGTGGGGATAAAGGGCCATAGCATCATCTGATTGTGGATTAACTCGCTGCCACAAGTCACGACCCAGTTTAAAACTATCAAATAGTCACCAATACCGAATACTTTTACATGTCTGTGGCCGGAGTCACGTCGCAGGGAATTAATCACCTGAGCGCCGATGATCCAGCTACACTACTTGAGGCCGTATCCTACTTCTCAGGGAAGGCTCTGTCTCTTCTCTTTGGCATGTTCCCGCATGGTTTGAATGAATTCCGCGTCTTTCCATCCTACAGTCGCTGTTGGTAATATTTTCAATTTTCAATAAACATACATTCAACTATCTTCCTGTCTCGTACATTACAGAGTGAGCCCTTTTATCCCTTCCTATTCACTGCATTCCCACTCTTTCTCCCGAATACTCCGATTACATGGTTTTGTTCCCCAATTCCTCTCCTCCCTATATTCTTCTCGTTTTCATATCAGGATCGAGACATATGTCTCAACAAACCGATGCCCGCAAATTAGGACCGTATCTTGTCATCAGCCATGTGTTGCCAGCGATGAGGTTAACCTCGCCTAAAATGTCGTTGACGCGTGAAAGTGCTTCGATCACTATCTCTTCGGGATAGTCGCTATTTTCGATCTCGTTGATGGTCTCGGTTGCCTTCTCTTGGAGCTTGTATACTCCACGACAGTATTCGCGTCCATTTCGGGGCAATTCTAGGTACATGGAGTCCAGTGCATGGAGCTGGCGTTCCAGCTCCGCGATTGAAACGGAAAAGGGCTTGAGGCTGGTGTCCAGGCCGAGTGATTCTCGGATGGCTCGCAAGGAAGTCATCTCGACGATAATAAAATATGTGGTTCTCGAGCAGAGTAGTTTTGTTCAAGGACGGTGGCGGTTTGCGATGCAAAAAATTCCGTGCTTCTTTGAAGCGATATGGATCAAAACAGATGAGCAACGTATCGTTGAGGAGAAGGAAAGAGAGGAGCAAGAAGAGCATGAATGATTCAGAAATATATGGCCTAAATACCCTTCTCGCGACGTCACCCAACCGTCAGAATGAGCATGCCTGGTTAGGCATCCGCATCATCATATCCATACCGGCCGTTGATACCTCAGGGCATGCCCATCCATGGTTCCATCGAATGGCCCGAGCCAAATCTTTACTTCCCAGCGTCTTCCGTGCGAAATCATTCGAGTTCACCATCTGATCCGGCGACACGATTTACAGCCACACACAGTGTTGTCATGAGGAATCCGGGAAAAGGATTTGATGAAGCAGCACTCGACTCGACGAGGTTGCAAAAATGAGCATTACAAAACACGTTTATATCCCCGATACTGCGTGCTTGTATCTTCTTCTGTGCTTGAATCATATAGATCAGATCCCATACAGCTACATTTCGCAACAGAGGTCTATCCACGAAACATTAAACTTAAATCCTAATATTAGAATGGCTGCCTTAAACCCTTGTCCATGGATGGGTCTAATATTTACCTCCTATCTTTTGCCAGCTATGCCCGTAACATTTCATAGGCTTTCATTATTCTTGGAAATTCTACTTGGAGAGTTATAATACCAGCTTGAATGGCCACCTTTTGACTAAATGATGTTGATCCAGAACAATTTACTAGCTACAGGCATTAATTTTAGTTACCAAGGCAAAGGCGGCCCGGTTACCGGACCAGGCGGTCCCGCCGTTGATCAGATAACGAGTTGTTACAGGGCGCAAGACTCCAGAAGATCAACTCTAACTATATCATGACTCACCCCCCCAAGGAGATGAAACCGTCAAAAGAACGGCAGTGGCCTGCCTCATCCGCAAGGGAGAACTTCGCTTCACTAGTCGGCGCTTTTACGCAACATGGCGGACTCGGAAGCCACTGAGCTACAAGCCCAGTTCTCTCGGCCAGGAGGCACGATTGCGGGAAGCCTCAGGTACAGCGGTGGGCGTGAAGATGAACGACACATTCCCTCAGAGCTTGCTTTGCCACCCGTCGACCGTGGAGTCCATGCCTGGGCTTTCTTAGTTGGGTGCTTCTTCATCGAAGCCCTCATTTGGGGTATGCCCAAAGTCCCAGTTATTGTGTCTGCCTAATAGAATCGAAACAAACATCTGACTGAGAATCTAGGTCTACCATTCTCGTACGGTCTTTTCCAGGACTTCTATACTACACATGAGCCTTTCAAATCCGATCCTTCCGGAATTGCCGCCATTGGTACAACAGCACTCGTAAGGCAACTCTTCGCAAAGAAGCCGTTGTTGGGTCCAGCCTAATTTTTCATTTTCCAGGGAATGATGTATCTCGGAAGTCCTATATGCTTCGCACTTATGCAGAAGTGGCCATTTTGGAGAAAATGGAGCATCCACATTGGACTTGCCATCCTAGTCTCCGCGCTAATTGCATCCTCCTTTGCAACTGATGTCTGGCAGCTCGTTTTTACCCAAGGGGCATTATATGCAGTCGGAGGCACCCTTGCATATGGCCCGGCAATTGTTTTTGTTGACGAATGGTTTGTTCGTAGAAAAGGGCTTGCTTTTGGGGTCATGTGGGTAAGTCGCTGGCCTCAAGTAAATGGCTTCAGCATTGTATGTGATGAGTTATAAGTGCTGCACTAACTCATCACAGGCAGGCACAGGATTCGCGGGAATAACAGTGCCTTTCCTCATGTCCTGGATGCTAGAACGCTTCAACTTAAAAGTAACGCTTTTGGCATGGGCAGTGATCGTAGCAATTGTCTCAGTACCATTGCTGGTTGTCGTACGACCTCGAATCCCAATCAGCCAAAGTCACCGACCGCGGCGCCTGACCTTCGGCTTTCTTTACGAAAAATCTGTTTGGTTCATTCAACTTGGGAATATTCTCGAAGGTTTGGGTTACTTTATGCCCAACATCTACTTACCAAGCTACGCCAGAACTCTTGGGGTTCGTAATGAAGCTATCACTGCAACAATAGCCCTTCTCAACGGAGCGGCTGTTTTCGGTTGCATCTTCGTCGGATTCCTTATTGACAGGTTTCATGTCACCACGGTTATTCTTATTAGCACGATTGGGGCGACATTTTCTATTTTCATTTTATGGGGCCTATCTTCTTCAATCGCCCTTCTCTGCATATTCTCGATTACGTATGGCTTTTTCGCTGGAGGATATAGCTCGACGTACGCCGGGATTATCAGGGAATTGCGCTCCGATGAGAGTGATGGCGGTGGTGAGCCAGGGATGGTCATTGGTTTCCTTGCAGCTGGTCGCGGAATTGGCAGCGTAATATGTGGCCCTTTGAGTGAGGCATTGGTCAAACGACGGCCCTGGGTAGGAAAAGCCGGTATGGGATACGGCACAGAATTCGGTCCGTTAATCGTTTTTGCTGGGATAAGCGCTCTTCTCGGCGGCTTGAGCTTTGGTGCTAGGCTGCTAAGGTGGATTAAGTAGTTTTTCGACTACACTTCGGGGGCTCCATGTGCATTGCTCGCAAAAGACGCGAAGGATAAGTCTATAGGTTCGAAAAGTATGCTGACGGTCGACCATCAAGGAGCAAGCATGGTCGTAAAGCGACCGATCGGTGTTAGCGCTAGACAGAATATTGAAACTGGAAAAGACTCCAAAAAAGAAGTTAATCTGTGCCTTACAGTCCAAAGGTTTGACTGTCTACCAGTGAATTCCACCCGAGAAGTCTCCATACTTCTTGGACAAACCAATCGCCGCTGTTCTTATCAAGACTTTCGGCGTTGTTCGTTGGATCAGTCATAACTTGAGACGAGCCCATTTCACAGGGTAGCCTTAACGAGTTTTGAAGGCTTTCATCGTCCTTGCCGAACACACCTTTCAAGAGCGTATTTTGCAATTTTCTCTTAGTATCACTGAGAAAGGTTGACACAGTAGTGCCTGTCAAGTCGGAATTTGCTTTGCAGTTTAGAAGATTATTTGTATGGTTTTCCCAAGCTGACAGAGCCCGCTCAAAAATCTGAATAAG